AGCCCAAGACGGTTACCTCACTTATCTAACATCTGGTAAATAAGCCCCGCTCCCACCTACTTCTGGCATCCTCATCAATGGTTAAAACAAATACTGTAGTACAGTTTATGTTGGTTGTTGGTTATTCATTGTCATTTAACAACTTAGACCCACTCAACATCTATGAATTGTAATACAGTGAGTTCTGCTATAACGCGTGTTTTGATAACGCGAATTTGCTCTAACGCGATTTATGAATTAGGAACAATATTTGTATAACGCGAACGCTTGTTTACTATAACGCGATTTTTGCTTACTATTTCTCCAATTTTTTGGTATTAACTGTGAATATGGTAAAGAAGAATATCTCCAAGAAGCGTTCTGGTGATAGAATTCCCGGTGATGATCGTAAAAGAAAGGATATAACACTTGAAGAGAAGCTCGATGTTATCAACCTCAAAATCACCCTTCTCCCCCATCAAGTTACATTCATATTTTGTCAAGGTAAAGTATTACATTTACTGTATGATTTCATTATTAGATATGAATGTAACATTTATTTAGACTGTGCTATCCTTTGTGTTAGGCTAACTACTAAATTTTTTCGATTTCGAGTAATCTGCACCTAACCCTATTTTCTCCATAAGCCCTGTTATTTCTATTACGCGATTTTCTATAACACGATATTTTACAAGAACACAATTATCGCGTTATAGCAGAACTACCTGTACCTGTATAAATGTTTAGGATTCCCCCAAAAAGAGTGGAGCTTTCTGATAAAATAAGAGGACAAAATATTTCCAAGAATTAATTTAAAATAAAAAATAACATCATCTAAATTCAATTAACAGAATAAACAATAAAAATACACCCATAAACAATAAGGTTTATTTTCAAGGAATAACAGAAGAACGACTTTTCACACAAATGCCATTTCCTTAAAACCAATTTTTTAAATCCCAATTATCCATTTTGTAACCTTTAACACTCAGCTAAGGATTTCCTACTCCACCCCTTAAAGTGCAAATATGAAGCATAAGGAATAAGGAACTTCCACTGATGATGGCCACCGTCTCTACAGCTGACTTCCACATATATCAATAACCATAGAAGAAAATATAAACATCAGATACTTAAAGAAAAGTACGGGGTGTATAGAGGAGCGATGAGGAGACTTAGGGTGAACTATAGAGGCACTACTGTACAATATTCACTCCTAAGACACACAACAACAGTGATGCAGGTACAGGACACTTAACAGGTCCTCACAATGTTATATACTGGTACCCACATTCATGTAAATAATACTGTACTGTACTGTACTGTTAGTGTATTTAAATTACTGTCAACCCTCGCTTTACGCGGTCCCACATTCCGCGTTTCCACGTTTACGCGGTACCCTGCCGAAACCGGAATGCTCACATTCCGCGGTGCGTGTACCCCTTTACGTGAAGAGCGGCTGGCGAGCCGCGCCATTTTTGGATCCAAACCTCCCGCCATCTCTCCCGCCCTCTCCCGCCATGTTGTGTAAGCGGCGCAAGCAGGGTGAGCACAAGGTCGCCCAGTCATCAAAACATTACCGAGTTCTTCACCCGCCACCCACCACAGCCGGCCCAAGTCAGTGATAGTGATAATTATAGTGAGGATATGGACTTATATGGACTTTGAGGGGTTTGACAAAGAGGCCCTGCAAGCCTCTGTGGTGGATAGTGATACAATTGATACAAGTGATACAGGTGAGGGCCAATAATCTGCCCTCTGCCTCGGAACCAACCCCCCATCCCCGTGTGCCCAGCCATCTTTTCTACTAATGTAAGTGTTAAAAAACCTAATATTATTGATATTTCTCTTAATTATTAATTGTGTGTGCATACCATCATAAAATTAAGAAGTTATTTTTACTACAACATAGGTATTGTGTCTGAAAAAGTGGAGTTTGGGGGTCGGCCCGGTCTCTATTTCAATTAATCCCATATGTTATGTTGTTCACTTTACGCGTTTCTCACTTTCCGCGGTACCCTGTGGGTTGAATTAACCGCGTAAAGTGAGGGTTCACTGTATTCTGAAAAGAAACAATAATATTATTTTATACACTGGGGTAATAGGGTGTGTCATACGGAGGCGAATTTTTTTTGTTTGAGTTTGAAAAATCGGCCCATGGTATTAATGATGTAGTTCTATGTGCAGAATCATGTGATATCTTCAGATTTGAAAAGTTTTCATTTTTTGCTAGGTAAATTTTAACTTGAAATCTTATGAAAATTCAGTATTCCCACCCTTTTACCAACACCACTAAATAGCTTATTAAATGTATCAGGTTAATTTATTAGGATGGAAATGATCCAGAATAGTGAAACGAATGATCTTGACACATTTATTAAATTTAATATTCCTTTAGAAAACAAAATCATCAAATACAAAACCGGTTTTACTACTACGACCCGGTGTTGCTGCACACCATAGAGAACATGTCTTTCTTGCTTCTGTTTCTACTCATCACCTCCCTGCTGACCACCTGAGCTCGGATGTAGCCTTCCCTCCTCTCCTGGCTGTACACGTGACTGCTGGCCTCGCTCACTTGCTGTACACAACGCTCTATACTCTGGGTGTGCGAGGGCCAGGCAGGGACATGCATGGGGTTGTCCATGAAAGCTCTGACTTGAACATTGGTGAGGCTGCAGGTAAGAGGGGGCTCACTGCCAGCCTGGATGTTATCCAAATCTATGAGATCAGTGAGGGTCTTGGCACCTAGATTGACTTCAGGAGTCTTCCTGACCCTGAAGGAATCGTCACCAGCTGATTCGTCATGCCCAGATCCTCTCATAAGTTTCATATCCAAGATCTTTTTGACTGCCACTCTTCTCTCCTCCTCATCCTTACTGCAGAGCATTGTCTGCAGAACTGTCTCGGGATGAGCATACCAGGAAGATCTCCTCACAGTCTGCTCCGCAATCTGAACAACCTTCCTTGGCTGACTCCTCAGGAGCTCAAGCTGGAAGAAAACATGCCTCGGACCTTCGGAGAACGATGACTTGACCTTGGTGTTGAACCAATTTGGCAAGTAGACACTCACGATGAATTGGACAACAAGTCTCAGGTTGTGAAGCTGGTTCCCTTTCAGTTTATGATGAGCGACCCAAATTCTGCAGAACCTGAGAGCCGTTGTGAGCCACCTAGAATGTGAGACTGGACCTATCTGCAAGTAAGCAAGTCTATCAGGCATGACCCCAGTTTTGATGGCACTGCAAATCATGTAACCATAGTACTGGTCAGTACTCAGGTCGTCAATGACAGTAAGTGCAAGCTCAACGAGTGGAGGGCCAACTGTGATTTTTTCAAAGCTCGGATTTATTTCTAACTCAGTGGCAGAGTCCAGCATCTTGCCAAGAGGACCAGACCATCTGTTGTTTGAAAGAGTCTTGCCATCCAGCTCCTGGATCAGATGTCTGAGTGGCAACTCGTTGGTGTGGAGGTCACAAACAATCCAGACCAGCTTCCTCCCAATCTTCCGCTCTATCCACTGTATGACCCCCTGCCCTGTGTTCGTTGGTTGTCCCTCCAATGGCCTGCAGGGTCTGGTCTACGTTCCTCTCTCTGAGCTAGTTCACAATGTTATCTGCCACTATCTCAGCTGGTTTCCTGATGTCATCTTTCTCTGGAGTGAAATGCCACAAATACTTCCCTCCTGGTTCACTGCAGCAGGAGTAGTGTTCCTCCTTCACCATGGCAGGGAACAACTTGTCAGAATCTCCAACTTTCATGAACACTTTAGTGTCATCCCTTCTCCCATCAAAGAACAAACAATTGATTCCATTTTCTCTTATCCCCTTATCAAACTCCTCTTCTAGGTTACTGACAAGTTTCTCCTGAGCTCTCCTTACTTTGTTATGATATATCACCAGGTGAACATCATCAGGTGTTATCAAACCACCGTCAATCCAGGCAGCTGTTGCTATCTCTGCAGTTTCTCTGAGACCAGTGTGGTGTCGCATGCTGGCCAGAGCTATGCTCGGGATATCTTTCCTATTTCGAATCTTATGCCTGGAAGGTTTGGGATCATTATTTTCTGGGTTAGGGACAAAGTCACCATTCTCCTGGTCAGCACTCGGATCAGCCATGGGGAAGTCATTAAACTCTGAATCAGCTTGACTCCAATCATCGGCCTTTTTTACCTCACTCTGGGCCTTCTCAAGTCTCTTTTCCTCGGCAACTCTTCTCCTCTTCTGCCTCTCTGTGGCAGCCTCCTGTCTCTTGGACTCCGGAATATCTTGGCTAGAAATCATGAGAGCCCCTATACTGCCAGTCTTCTCTCTCTGTGCTTTGACAAATGCCAGTTCGATCACAGGAATCTTCAGTTCACGCTTGCAAATACAGGAGATGTGGGCCTCGGATTTACAGTCACGATCGCATCCAAACTCAGGACAGAGAACAATTGGGCACTTGCAAGTAATTATGTCAAATAACTGGTCCAGTTGCTTGGCAAAGCTGTCCTTAACTGCAAGTTTTCCTCTCCCAAGAGAGATATCTCTTGCCTTTTCCCAACTGGCTAGCAGTCTCTCACTAATCTTCTTCTGACTTGTTATGACTGGAGGCTTGAACTGAGCGTTAGCCAGAGTGTACTGTGCCAAGACAGCTTTGGTCATATCACTGGCAATGTCTTTGTTTGTGTAAGATCTTTGGTTCTTTTCACTGATTTGCCTGATTAAAACACCGTATCTCAAAGCATCTCTCAATGTAGGCAACTCCGACTTCAGGAGCTCTCTCCCAGACCCAAGATAGTGACTGAGATGGCTGGATTTTTGGTTCCTCGTCCTGACACAAGCAGCCATCACAAATATTATCAACTTATAAATGCATCAGAATATGAAACAGAAAAAAATATTGTTACTTGGGTTGTTAAAGAATGAAGTCAGAAAGCAATGTTCACTATTTAATTGTAATGCACTAATGCAGCTGTACGTTAGATTTTCGATAAATTTCACGCTAAAATTTACCTAGCAAAAGGTTGCAAAATATTGAAACTGAAATTATTTTCTGTTTATATACACTAAAATCTACCAAAAAAGTGATGGGCCATTAGTTTTAGCTGATCTTCCCTCCTATGACACACCCTACTGGGGTAATAACATTTCACATACTGTGCCAAAATTAACTGATAACTGAAGAATGTATACACATGAATGTATACACAGAAAAAATACCACACACCTGTAATTACTGTCCATTTTCCTCAGGAAACTAAGTTTTTCTCTCTAACACTTGCTTCGTACTTCAAGCAAAATTCCTTAATAATTAAAAACTGTACACTGCCCCCTCGCTTAATGCGGGTTTATTCAATGCAGATTCGCTCAAATACGTTTTTTATTACTAACTGGTATTACTTACATGGGGCCAGGCTAACATGGGAAAATTAAGTTGAATGTGGTCAGGTAGAAAACGTTTTGCATGGGCCAGCAGTCGTGTCCATTACAGTCCACGGGTAGCATCCCATGCCATGTAGGCTCAAGAGTTTTGCAAATGCTTGATCCAGCCTCAAACAAAAACTTCGCTTGGGTTAACTTTAGTTTTTTTTATTCCTTTCGTCACCATGGCTCCGCCTTAATGTTCTCTAAGCAAATTCCGAGTTGCTTTTTTATTTACACTGTATGAACAAACACATCAGACCTTATGGCCAAAGAGTGGTGTGAGGAGTGACTGGCAGGTAGCAGCTGACCTGCACCACCTCGCATGCACACGATGACCACCACACTGGCCGCTAAATAACTTTACTTTCTACTCTTAGCCATAATCACTTCCCCACCTCTCTCTCTCTTGCACACATATTCACAAATAATTATCTTCCATAGGTCAAAATCATAAAAAGAATAAACATTTCTTTGTGCACCAGCGGGAGGGGGAGAGTTTCCAGCCAGGCCGGGTTACTATGGTGAGGTTTGAGGGAGGCCACGCATAACTCAGCCAGCTTCTGCAAATGATAGAAGTGTAAAACTTTCGGGAACTGATTACATGGACATGCCAATGCCTCCACAAGATCATGTTTAAGTGAATCTGGTAAATATAGCTGTATTAGTGAGCTAATTTAGAGCTGTACAATGTCTTTGAACTTTGGTTTAGGTGTGGAGGGTAGAATTTTTGGGGTCTACCTGATGCGTCCTCTATCCCCCCCCCCATGTTATAATGGGTCCGTTCTACACTGCAATTTCTGAAAACGTAACCCCGCATTAAACGAGGCGGCAGTGTATTACTCAACAGACGATACAGAAGGTGAATAATAATAAATACAGTGATCGGGACGATACAAAAATTCTTGTTCATTCATCATCAGTCTCTTCATTTTCTTTCTCCACTGCCATGATGACATCGGGAGTCACCATGAGTATTTCTGAGTCACAGATGGAGCCTTGGGAATCATTGGTTTCATTTTTCACATTCATCAGGTCTTGGCTGTAAATATTCGATTTCCTTTTCCATACCATCGCGTCCACACTGTCGAGTGGTTCTTTTTTAACTTCTGCCAAGAGTGACCTGTCAATAGGTTCAAATTTTACCTCCATAAAGTGAGGTTTTAGGTCAGACTTCTTCTCTTTCACCATCATTAAGTCTGGGCTATCAAGGGTCTCTTGTTTCAGCTCCAAGAAGTCTAAAATGTCAACAGGTTCGCTCTTCACATCAAATTTACCACAGTCGATCATACCCTCTCCTGAGTTAGTTGTCATGATCCCACTTCCACCATTTGGGGAGGAAATGGACAAAGTTAAACCATTCATCTTGCCACACTCTTGAATGCTCGTGCCATTGGCAAGTGATCCACCTCCTTTATGGGATTCCACATGTTTCATTAGGGTAGCTTTATGTCTGTAGGATTTATTGCACGTTAAACACTGGAACGGCTTCACTCTTGTATGAACACCGATGTGAACTCTTAAATTGCTCTTGTTTGAAAATGACTTAAGGCAAATTGGACAATGAAAAGGTTTCTCTCCTGTATGAACTCTCTTGTGTTCATTCAGACTCCCTAACTGACTGAAGAATTTATTGCAAATTGTACACTTGAAAGGTTTTTCCCCCGTGTGGGTCCTCACATGTTGTATTAGAGTCTTCTTGTTGCTAAAGAATCTAAAACAAATTGAACAATGAAATGGTTTTTCTCCTGAGTGAATCCTCATATGAACAGTTAGACTTCCTTTTTGGGTAAATAATTTTTGGCAAAATGTACATTGATATGGCTTTTTTTCCTTGTGAACTTTCATATGCTCTACCAGAGTCTTCTTATATGGGAAGTACCCAAGGCACTCAGTACACTGGAATGATCTCACCCCAGAGTGGATCTTCATGTGATGTATCAAATTCTTCTGGTTACTGAAATCCCTCTGACAATCTGTACAGTGATATGTTTCTCCAGTATGGATTTTGTTATGCTTTGAAAGACCTTCTTCACAATTAAAGGTGTCATCGCAATTGGTACACTTAAATAACACCTCCACAGATTTACTACCCACAGGCTTTATCAAGCCATCAACGTTTGCAAATACTTTGTCAGAAGTTAAAGGAGGAACCTCCTTGGTATCCATCATGAAGATCTGCAAGACTTTTTCTTTTGATTAGTACAAATCACAAGATAAATCTACTGCACAGAAGGAAGTCAAATGTATTCACCTGGTCACATCAACACTTGAATTCCAAAACGACAATGGATGCTTACTCTTCCTTTACACACAACTGTTGATGCTGACCAAGTTCCCACAGGTAAACCAAAGTATCATTTGGTGGCTAGTGATGGTGACCAAGATGTGGGGGAGTTGCTATACAAAGGACGATATTTGGGTATCAATGCTGAAGGAACAACACTGATGTGCTTGACCCTGAAGAGCTGTGGTGCTTGAGAAGTCTGGATACTGAACCTAGAAGAAAAATAAACTATTTTGCTCAAATGGTTGATCAATATCAGTCATCTACTGTTTAATGTATACATTATATGTCCTAAGTTAAGTGATTACTATTAAAATGAATGACTGATCTTGAAATACTGTTATTTCAGGGGTGTATAGCCAGGTGATTCTCATAATACTGAAATGGCCAATTAACGGAACTGCGCTCTAACTTCCATCCCTCATAATGCACGTCAAAATTTATTTATTAATCCACTCCAGTACTGTTCACCTATTATCTCTCCCCCCAACCATGATTCTAAAATGAGGAAGGAATTGGTGCTCTCAAGAGGTTATGAAGTTTTGTATAAACTGAGCCTGTCTGATCAGAAGCTGCATGCCAAAGCTGTGCTTATTACCTTTAGGATTTGGAATTAATCTGTCAGTCAAAATTCAGCTCCTGCTGACTAATCCACTACACTAACCTAAAGGAGAAGGGTTGGGTACTGAGGCATATGACTCTGGGCACTGATGGAAAGCAAGAATTTGGACTAATCCTTCACTTGTAGCAATAACCCCTAAAGCCAGATGGTGACTACAATCAATAGCCAGCAAAACAAGTGAAAGGAGGAAGTACTACAATACCTCCAAGAATATAACAGACATGCACCTATAGGACATGTGACTTGTTTTATCACCATCAATTGAAGCACCTGCAGGTTTTGACTCCCACTTTCCTACCACCAAGATGTTCTACAATGTTATCCTGGGATCTTCAGGAGTGAGCAGCCCATCAGTGTCCAGTTCCACAATTACTGTATCAATAACAAACTTCTCAGTAAAATGAAGGAGACAGTAAACTGAATAAACCTTTTCAATATAGTCGTGCAAACATGGGCAAACAGCGGCCCGGACCATGTGTTTGTGTGACCCAGGAGTGATTGTGAACTTCTATTTAATGTGGCCCACAGTTCAGGTAGATGCAGCCAGTTTATGGCGAGTAAAGCAATATTTATTAAAAGAATAGTCTTCACACACAATTTATTACTGTTTCATCACCTATGAGTAAGTAACTACAAAAATGTAACAGTGATATAAGTATAATTATATTGTCAACAATGTAAACATTTTAACTTGTGTGAGTTCATGGGCCAAGTTCGGAGCGATCTGTTTGATGGATTAGTTGCTATATAGCAGTGGGTCACTTCGGAATTAATTAAGGTTGGGTAAGTCCAAGTGAGGTCATGGGCAGTGGTCACACAGGGTTTAAAATTAACAAATTAAGTACAGTACTTTCAAAGTAACACAAAAACACCTAAATAAAACCTTGGAACCCATAGTTGGCGAGTAATTAGGATTGAAAAAATGTAATTAGAATTTTCCAAGCGTTATTACAACCACTAAATACCCCGCAACCGAATCGTGGATTACAGATTTGGAATCAGCATGCTCAGGAGTACCTATGTTGAGATTTTCTACAAAACACCTAAATCTCAATGCGGCCCATGACTGAGAAAAGGTTGCCCATGCCTGTAGTAGTGGACAGAGTCAGGGGCGGATCCAGCAATATCAAAAGGCCAGCAACATCAAAGTCGAAGATGATCTTTGTGGGTGGGGAAACATATAGCACAAAAGATAATTAACTACAGTTTGTACAGCTGGATATAACCCAAATCATTTATATAGTCAACTCTCGAAGATCCGGACCCGGGATATCCGGATTTCGGAAGATCCGGACAGAAATTGTGGGGTTCTGGGCCAAGAAGGCTCCTAGAAGTTTCCATAAGAAACATTCCCAAACCAGGGCAAAGAGCATGTTAGGCCCATGGGCGCTGCTTGACCCGTCAGTTGCTTGGACACAGGTGCCCGAGGAGGTGGGAAACATAAACAGAGTTGACAATTGTTGTTTGTGGGAATATTATTTCATTCACTAGTAATGACACAATGTTTCTTGTCATGTTATCATAGGTAAATGCATGGTTTATATACAGTAATTTGTTTATCACTACATTAGTACTGTATTTTTGGTGTTTTTTAAATCATTTATGATAAATATTTAAAAATTTCTAACGTTCTCTCTGAAGTAGAAATCATTTGCATTTTCATAGTCCAGATATTTAACATTATTTTAGAGAATAACAGATCTGCTTACCAATTGTGAACATACTTAGTTTGAATAAATGGACAGCTACAAAAACATTTTCTGTGAACCAATCAGCCATTTTTATAGAAGAGGGGCATGACTTACCGGTCAGATTAGCTTGGAGAAACTACAGTTTAAAAATGTTTACCTGTATTTGTTGTGCATACCCGCATCGTATTTTGTTGTAAATGTGAAAAAGTCCGAATAAAATCAATCAATCAATCAACCAACCTAACTTAACCTAACCTAACATACCCTAAACCCCCAAATATCATTAGGGTGGTTAATCATAAGGTGAAATTCACTGGGGGTGCTAATCTATAAGTGATCCCTTCTTAGGTTAGTTAGTGTTAGATTACATTTTTTTTTAAGGAGAAAAGCCCACCCTGGAACACGTCATCATCCCATAATGGGGCCGGAGGATAAAAGTATAAAAATATCAATTAGAAGAGAAAAAGAGTACAGTGCGTTAATCTACGCCACTAAGATGTGAGACAGATTGTAAGAGGATGGAAACACAGAAGGCAAACCATTCTACAGTTTGGTTGAGTGAGGAAAGAAGCATGTACTATAACGGGTTATTCTGGTGTGACCGACATCTAGACAGAAACGGTGGACAAGACGTGTGTTACCAGCCCACGGCCTTGCCGACGGTACACAGGATGCCAAATCCACCGAACATTGCCCGTTAAAGTACCTGTAAAGAGAGAGAGTGAAGCAACATTGAACACTGCGGCAGAGAGAAAGGGAAGAGAGATTATTGAATAAAGGAGGAGAGTTAATAAGATGAAATGCCTTTGATTTTGCCTTATCTAACAGTTGGACAAAAGAGACACCCCAGATATAAGAGCAGTACTCCAAGTTAGGACGAATGAATCCCTTATATACTTGAAGCAACTGATCAGGAGTGAAGTAACTATGGCATCTGTACAGCATCCCCAGCTTTCAGGAGGCAGCTTTAGCTATGTTGTGAATGTGTGGCTTCCATGATATATTAGAGGAAATGGTGAGGCCTAGCATATCTATTTTAAAATTTATCAAAATGGTTGCATTAGGTTTGGTTAAATTAAATTAAGTTAAAGTAGATCAGATTTGGTTGTTAGATTCAATTACATCAGTTGAATTTAATTAGGTTACCGTAGGTTAGGTTAGGTTAGCATGAGCGTGACTAATCTTATGATAAAATAAACTGGAGATGTTAATATTCAGGTAATGCAAAACAAACATATACTGGTACTACAAAAACACATTTCAGAAAAAACAAAGTGTGTGTGTGTGTGTGTAGTGATCTAGGTAATTCACAAAAAATACCACTGGTTCAGTTGTGAGTTTTTTTACTAGAATAATTTATACTATTACATACTATCATATATATATTTTTTTCTAAAATTAACATATAAATTTTACCAACTCATAATCACTTATCTCTGTAAATTCACCTGATATAATTTTTATCTTTCTATTCCTAGTATTGAGAAATAAAACTTTAATTACAATTACACAAAGAAATTAAAAAAATAACATAGAACATTAATAATAAAAGTTAAATAATAAATCATCTATGGTTTACCTGGTTTACTGGTGTTAGTTTTCGTTGTTCAGGAAGACCAGGTAAAAATCCATGTTGTCAGGACCCCGAGAAACTCTACACACACTCTGCCCAAGCCGAAACGCCTTATGTAGACCAAATCGTAACCATCATTCACGAGGTCATACCCTTTGGGATAAATTGACATTATATATAGCTGTTAGAGTGGCAACAACATGACAGGTTAGGTTATGTTAGGTTAGGAGGGATGTTCATTGTCTACCACCGAGCTCTTCTACCATGTCCTACCATCCCTTTATCTCTTTACTGTCTTTACAATCATCATTCCTACTTGAGTGTTTGTATAAAAGGGTTCTTACCTCATTACCATATAAATAATAATAATAATGAGTGGCTGTGCTGCTTCGCCTGACGCCTCTGCCCACCTCAGCCTAAAGCGGTGATTAATGTTATATGAAAACAACGAACGGGTGGACGGGGTAGTTAATGAGTTTAACAAGAGACTATTGTAATATACTTTCTTCTAGAATATTACAACTGTTCAAGTGATTATAATGTACCTAAATTATTTTAAATCAAGATAGTTTGGGTTATGTTAGATTTGATTGGGTTTTGACACATAAATTGTTCCGGGTCTTGGGTATTATTTTAGTTTTAGTCATCCAGGGAATAATTTAGGTTATGGATGGACCAGTATTTATAGCTTAAGGTCCGTGTTAACATTCCTACAAATTTCAAAAAAAAAGTTTAGGCTACATTAGGTTAGGTTAGTTTGTGTATCTAAATAGAGAGATGATCTAAACTGAATTTTTACCGGGGTCTTGTTCGTGGTAGGCTTTAGCACAGACTATTTCTATGTTCACTGAAAATGGTTAAATAAGGAAACATTTCCGGAATGTTTCTAGACCCTTTTTTAAATGAAAGAATGTACTATGAATTATTATTACACGTTTTCCTATACTCATGATTAAATCAAGTCTCTCTTCTCACCGTCATCTCTCTCACTCTCTTTCTACAAGGTGTGGTAGCCGGTCCTCGTGTTTTTACTTTTCACCTTTATCCTCTTCCTCTTCGCACTGATCGTCTCGTTAGCCGCTTGGGTGGTCGGTCACGTCTCTGATGTGCACTGTTGGCAAGTACTGGCTCCTGAATATATCGGAAAAATCGGAACCTGCTCCAGTGATGGTCAAGTCTGGTCTTGAATGAGCTCACACTCGGCAGATTGTTCCAAGAGTTCACAAGCTCCATCCTGAGAAAAGTAATAAGTTAAATAAATTAATGTTAACTCCTCTTATAATGAACGGCGATCGTCCTGGAAGAAGTATTATTATAACTCAGCAGAAACTAACCCTCTCCGGCTCCTGTCACGCATCTGTCTGTATGTCTGTCTCTCTCATTGTCTGTTTCTAACTCTTTCATTGTTTATATGTCTCTTACTGTCTGTGTTTCTCATTGTCTTTCTGTCTTTCATCGTCTGTCTCTCATTGTCTATCTCTCACTATCTGTCTCTCTTTGTCTCTCATTATGTCTATCTCTCTTATTATGTCTCTCTCTCACTGTCTATCTCTTTCACTGTCTCAGGTACTGTACTGGAGTTCAGTCGTACTCAAATTCACTCATTTTCGTTCACAGTACAGTATAGTATATACTGTAGGGGTATCGAGATATTAATGTTGTCTAGCACTCAGGATGGAAGGAAACTCTAATGTGGTTTTCTTATATAATATAAGTTATATGATAGACAGTCTGGTGCTGGAGGTGTCGTGTGGTGAGGAGCTGCTCAGTAGAAGACGTTCGGTGAGTAGCGTGTTGAAGGAGGTAGATGTGCAGGAGCTTCGTTAGAGAAGATGTTGCCTGTTGCTGGCCTCCTGGTTGAATGAATGGTGACAGCGTGGAGCTTGCTGGAGGAGGTGTTGCTTGTTCAAGAAGAATGGTCAGAATGAATCTCAATGGAGAGACAGAGCTTATATACCCAGCAGCCGCTATGAGTCATGTTGGGAAAACCCGAGAAGTCGCCGGTTCCTAGTTTCGTTGCTAGGATACGGTAACATCTGGTTGGTTGCTAGGGAAGGCGGTAGCAGGTGGTGGCTGTGGCTACGCAGTTGTAGGCAGTTGTAGGGGAGACGTCCACTACAATACTCCCCCTTCCCTCCAGGCGGTGTAGGAGACTTGTTGTCTGTAGAGTTGCTTAGCACATGTGAGGCAGACCGGGCGGTGCATGCCTCATGTGAGACAACGGCGATGGCGTGATGAGCCGATCGCTGAAATACAACTGTCTAGATACACACTATCTGTGGGAGAAGGGAGAAAAAGGGTGTGTGGAGGCGATGAATGTTGTGCTTCCCTCACGACAGGTACAGGGTCGTCAGATGCGCCTGCTGGGGTGTGTGTGGGCCTGGGTCAGGAGCAGGGGCTGCGTCAGCAGAAGCGGATTAGGGCTCGTGACAGCAGCTGGGTCCACGACAGCAGCAGGGTGCAGGACATTAGCAGGGAGTACCTGAGGGAGAAAAGAGGGGGTGTGGAGGCGATGGATGTTGTGTGCTTCCCTCACGGCAGGTACTGAGTCGTCAGATGCGCCTGCTGGGGTGTGTGGGCCTGGGTCAGCGTCTGAGGCAGGACGGGTGTGCTGGGGTCGTAGGATGTGGTGCTTGGGGCAGGAAGAGGAGCCGGTGTCTGCTTGAAGACTGGGAGCGTGATCAGTGTCTCCTCCATCCTGTGTGAGTGCTAATCTCCGGGAGTCACCATTGTAGGGGTATCGAGATATTAATGTTGTCTAGCACTCAGGATGGAAGGAAACTCTAATGTGGTTTTCTTATATAATATAAGTTATATGATAGACAGTCTGGTGCTGGAGGTGTCGTGTGGTGAGGAGCTGCTCAGTAGAAGACGTTCGGTGAGTAGTGTGTTGAAGGAGGTAGATGTGCAGGAGCTTCGTTAGAGAAGATGTTGCCTGTTGCTGGCCTCCTGGTTGAATGAATGGTGACAGCGTGGAGCTTGCTGGAGGAGGTGTTGCTTGTTCAGGAAGATGGGCAGAATGAGAGTTGGTTGGTGAGGAAGCTCAGAGGACAGCTGGTGGGTCGCCATGCTCGCTGGCGGGAGCGAGGACCGCCAGGCAGGCGAGGAGAAGCGAAGGCAGCCAGGCAGCGGCAGAGGAGGAGGTGTTGCTTGTTCAAGAAGAATGGTCAGAATGAATCTCAATGGAGAGACAGAGCTTATATACCCAGCAGCCACTATGAGTCATGTTGGGAAAACCCGAGAAGTCGCCGGTTCCTAGTTTCGTTGCTAGGATACGGTAACATCTGGTTGGTTGCTAGGGAAGGCGGTAGCAGGTGGTGGCTGTGGCTACGCAGTTGTAGGCAGTTGTAGGGGAGACGTCCACTACAATACCCAATTCACAAACTTAATAATTAAATTATATATTTAACAATTCACTCATAACTCATGCACCCAATAAACCATTCAATTATTCACAAATTCATTCATTCACTCAGTAATAATCACTTAATTCACTCACTAAATAATTTACTTACTCAATAATTCTCAGTAAAAAATTTATATATGGAATAATTCACTCATACACAATATTAATATCTGGCCAAGCTTAACCAGCAAGAGTAAAAGTGAACCCCATGAGTGTGATTGCCTATTAGGAACAGGTAGGAAACTGTGTACTCAACCTTTAATGTGCAAGACCAACACTACTTGACCCTTCATTATCCCAGCTGTAAAGTTAGGTGCCCTGGGATAGGAAGCAGCAACCTAAGGATAGGAAGCGAAAGAGCTATCCTCTCGACCACTGCAACATTTATTACTTTTACTTTAATTCTCTTTGCCACTGATTGGCTGGTTAGCAGCATGGACAGTCAGCCACGTCTCTGTTACGCACTGTTGGCAAGTACTGGGCATGAACTGGCTCCTGAATGTACCTCAACCTGCTCCAGTGTTGGTCAAGTTTTGTCTTGAAAGAGCTCACACTCGGTGTCGTCACAACACTTTCTGGCAGATTGTTTCAAGAGTTCACAACTCTCACTCCGAAAAAGTTTACCCTCACAGTTTTCTGGACCTGTGGCTTCTTCAACTTTGAGCCGTGACCCCTTGTGGGGCGAGCGTCCGCCAGCTCCAGGTAAGGACACTCAACTGAGTAGTGCCCGCGAGTTGTTTGAATCTTATGTAGCGAGATGGTCTTAATTTACAACCATCGTTACAGTGGAATATAGCATCACAGGATATCGTATCTTGAGGTTTACTTGTACAGTATATGCTAGCCAGTTGCAGGCGTTCTAATCTCAATGGCAAGCTGATGGCCCTCCTTTGGACATTTTCAGTCAATTAACAATCTCTAGCATATCTCAAGGACCAGATGGGGTAACAGTACTCCAGACAGGGAAGCACTTCACTCTTGAAGATCGTTACGCCCCCTAGTGTCGATGACCTGTGCCCGGGTGAGCTATTCCCCGTAAAAGAAAAGAAAAAAGAACCCCGAACGACCTTCTTATAAGACCTACTAGTTTCATTGCCTGATTCGCTTCTTCTCACAATGGCCCGAGAAGTTAAGTTCATTGTCAACATACACACCCAGGTCCTTTTCACATTTGGTCTCTATTAATGCAGTTCTTCATCCTGTTGGGACATGTGATATGCCTCCTTACTGTTGGTACATCCTCTTGCACTTTGTGACATTGAATCTTAGCAGCCATTTCTTCGACCCTTCTTGAAACTCACAGAGATATTTCTGTAGCTCTTCACAGTCTGTTTGGTTCTTAATTTCCCTGAATAACTTGGCATTGAACTTGACATTGTCTGGGAACATTTGTATGGAGGAGTGTACAGTATAGCTTCTGGCATGTCATATATGAAACAAACAAACAACAATGGGCCCAATACACTGCCCTGTGATTAATCATTCACCAGACCTTGGTCCTGGGCGGCCCAATTCTGTGGAGATAAAATTTCATACTGTACTTTGTTTGAATGTTGTTCTCGTACACTGTATATACATGAACAGCTCACAAACAACTTAACTAAAGCAGGGAAAACACTTCACAGTAAGTGCAAAATACACTTCACAGTTACTAAAGCAAGGATAGCATTTGACAGTCAGAGCAAAAGCATTTCACAGTCACTAAAACTCAGTAGGCATCCCCTGGGTTATGTAAAGCATCGTTAACATGAATTATTGTAGGTTAGGATATCGTAAATAGAGGTTTACCTGTCCATTGTTTACTTCTAACTCAGCCAATCATTGGAAATTGGATGCCACATGATACTCAAATTGCTTTTTTTTACTTTTCGATTTCAGGTTTGGTTTCTTCAGGTCCTTTTGTTTTCTTTTGTCTTGTTGGGTTAGGTTAGGTCTAATTTTTGCTTCCTCAAGTGCAGAAATTATCAGAGATCAACATAGAATAGTTATTATCTCTTAAAATACCAGAATATAAATATGATAGATTAATACCAAAAACTGTAGACGTCAGTTGCATGCTTCGAGTGGACAGACTATATACGTATATAAGTATACAGTATTTACACTTGCTTGAAAAGTTATCTTTGCAATTAGGTGTTAGACATTATGACACAATGGCCAAAAGATTTTGACAACCCTACTGAGACAACAGGAATTGCAGTGTTCATTCTGAAATTCATCAGACTTATCCGTAAGGGTAGTCTTTTGGAGTGAGTATACTGGATCATCCTACTAATCTACCTACCTGTACTATCTACAGGTAGTAGGCAGCTACCAAACAGAGATACTACCGCCTGGGAAGATATTGGAAGCATAATGTATTGTCTAATGGTAGACCCTGCTGCCATATGGCATCACGAAAATTGTAACCAAGTCCCAGGTTGCTGATCTGACTTTCTGCCTCATTTACACACAATTGCAGGGTCTCAATTGTTTCTTTATTATTATTATTATTATTATTATTATTATTATTATTATTATTATTATATTTTCGCCCACTCGGCCCCGATGTGGGTCAGTTACCTGTGCCCAGGTGGGCTGATCCCCATAAAAAATAAATAAATAAATAAATAAATTTATTACCAAGGTTTTTTTTTTTTATTACAATTCAAGAACTTTAGTTTGTTGTCGACTAAACACCCAGAACGTCCTCATGTTTAGTCTCAGTTAGACAAGTTTCTTGGTAGTGTTGAGACATGTGATACACTTTCCTTCTATTACTATCATTAAGGTAGTACTTCCTATTTATTCATTATTCCCATTGCTTTTCTCAATAATGAATTGACGTCTTTGTGTGTATCGAGAGAGAGATGTGATGCCTCATCAGTCAGGCCGTGTTACGTGTGAGCATATTCTACTTTTACCCATCCTAATGCTGTAGTTCCTCATTGCTCTTACCCACCTTGGACTTATCTGAGACACCACAGCATGTATGAAGGTGAGGGTAGTGCTGTGCAACACCAAAGAGGTGTGTGTGTTGTGGCTACCTAGAGAGATTGTGTTCACAGCTAGCATATATATTTTAAGTTTCTCCCTAACTTACTTTTCCATTCCTACTGAACTGACTCAAATAAAATCCTTCACGATATCAGAAACTTCAACATAAACACAAATGCTTTAGCACAACGTATCCCTAAATATCGAGGTTCACCAAAATGATTAAATGTACAAAAATGAGTGTTATTTTTGTCAGCAGTTTAGAAAGAAGGTAATTTACATTGCTAAAATACATTATATTTGTTTATATGGTACTGATATATTAAAATACATAATTTATATGTTTATATAGTAGTGATATATTAAAATACATGTTATATTTGATTACATGGATACAGAGAGTTTTATCTGTCAGAATTTTTAACTTGATGGACTGGTGTACATATTATATTGGACATTGGGTTTATGTATTAAGGTACTTGGTATTCATGTTTATATAGGAGTATTGTCTTACGGTACATCAAGCTCGGTCACACACACAACTTATATTAAGAGTACATTTTACACTTGTTAACACAGCAGCACTTACATACTAAAATACAATTTGTTGGACCATCTGAAGATTAATCACCGTAACCTAGTCTAATCCAACCCAACCTAACCTAACTAAACCCAACATTACAATCCAATCAAACCAAGTAACCTTATCTTACTTAACTCAACTCAGCTTTAACTAACCTAAACCCCCCAGGTAGCATTAGATTTGTTAATCATCAGGTGAAATAAGCTGGAGTGTCTAATCTTCAGGTGATCAAAGTTGTTCACAAAACACTTAAGACTTATTTTGTTTCTGATCAGAGCAATAGACCAAACCTGATCACTAAAGTTGATCAGCTGTGCCTGTGCATTGTGCCCAGGTGACCAGCTGTTTGAGTTTGGATAAGACCAGCTGTCGGAGGCCTTGGCGGAAGTTGGAGCCACAGATGGTGTAGAGGAGGAAGTTGACGGCAAAGTGAGAGTAATAGAGACACATGAACACTTCTTGAACCGCCTGAAGTTCCTCAACCCTCGCCTCTTCCCACAATGATGCTCCCTCTTCCTCCTCCTCCTTCTCCTCTTCTTCCTCATTATCCTTTCCTTTCAATACCTCTGGCTTTTTCTTCTTCTTCTCCTCTTGTTCCTTATCCTTCCTCTTCAACACCTCATCTTCTTCTTCTTCCTCCATCACTCCTTCCTGTACCTCTAATTCCGCTTGAGACAACGTCATCACATCCATCTAAAATTAAAATTGATACAGCTTATCTTTTCTTAATTCTCCTCCTCTTCTTAAATCCCCATCTTACTTCTCCTCCTCCTCCTTTTCTTCCTTAACCTTCCCTTCCTACACCTCCTCCTCCGGCACTTCCCTCACCTGTTGCTGCGGTTGTGTCGTCACTTCATCCTCCATCAATGACAAGGTTGACAAATCATCCTCCTGTGGCATCGTAAACATCGTAGCGCTCGTCATCATCATCGTGCTCGTCTCCCCCCCCTCCATCAGCTGGTAGTTGAACATGACGTAGACACGGAGGAGGTAGCTGTAGTAGTGGTGGTGATGGTGGTGGTAATGGTGGTTGTAGTGGTGATGATGGTAGTGGTGGTGGTTGGGAGAGATAAAGATAGTGTTAATAAGGTCCTATTCAAGGTTCTGACTCAAGCTCTATATTTTTCTCACGTTATTACTTAAAGGTCTTACTCACTTTGGCAACTGAAGCAAAATAAACATAGTTGAGATGAGTACCAACATCTTGCTAATGTTGTTATGGGCATGGTCTTTATTGGCTTGGGCGTGGTTTCTATTGACATGGGTGTGGTCGCTGGTGGTGTTGTGTGTGTGGTTTTTACTGGCGTGGGTGTGGTCTTTAGTAAAAGCCTGGCTGTGGTCTGTTGTAGTGAGGTGGGTGTGGTTTCTAGTAATCGTTTGAGTGTGGTCTCTGGTATGGTCTCTAGCAATGGTATGGGCATGGTCTATAATGGTGTGGGCATGGTCTATGATGGTATGGGCGTGGTCTATTATGGTGTGGGCGTGGTTTCTAATGGTGTGGGCGTGGCTCCTGGCAGCATGGACGTGGTCTCTAGTACTGGCATGGGAGTTGTTCCTAGTATTGAGGTTTTCGTCATTTCTGGCAGTGTGGGCAGGGAGGGGGAGCTCGTCTGAAACAAAGCAAAATAACAGTTAAGATGTGTGTGTCAAGACAGGAGTGTCTTGGTAGATATGGCAAGTTAGATGTACAAAGGTAGATAGATAAGTCAAGGTAGGTGTGTTATGCTTTATATATCATGGGAGATGTACAGTTGGGGATCATTTCCAATTAGTACACTCAATAAATGTCAATCCACCCTCTCCATGAGGTGTGAACCCTGAGAATATCAACTCGTGAATGCATAAAATTCTATCAAGTTGCTTTAAAATATTCTAGCCCCAGGCTGTCGTGTGCACCTCGTCACACCGAGTTACTCAGAGGCTTTGGATTCACGATACGCTCGGGGTTCACACCTCACGGAGATGGTGGACTGACATATACCGTAGTAGGAAAAGTCCCCAACTGTACCGAGACAGGGGTGTTAAGGCACTGTAGATGTGTCAAGGTAGATCAGGCAGTGGTAAGAGCACTTACTTTGGCCTGGAGATGAGTCGCTGGCCTGACCTGGGGATGACTCAGTGAGGTGACTCATACATGAGTCAATGATATGACTTGAAGGTAAGTCACTGATCTCGTCTGAACGTAAGTCAGTGAACTGACATGTTGCTAAGTCACTGATCTGGTCTGATCGTGAATCAGAAAGATGACTTATATATAAGTCACTGACCTGTGACTCACTGGTTGGGTCGTGTAAACCTGAATCACTGACCTGACTTGTTGATGAGTCACTGACCTCTCCTGTAGAAAGGTCATTCAATTGGCCTAAGCTTGATCCAATAATGAGGTGTGGAACTAGGCCATTGACCTTACGTGAGCACTGAAGGATCGACTCATTGTTCTGTATGGCTGTAGGAGTGGCACCATCTGACAACATGGCACCATGTGGTGTGGATGTAGACATGGGAACATGTGGCATGGATGTGGATGTGGCAACATGTGGCATGGATGTGGATGTGGCAACATGTGGCATGGATGTGGATGTGGCACTATGTGGCATGGATGTAGACGTGACAACATGTGATGTGGATGTAGACATGGCAATATGTGGCATGGATGTAGACGTGGCAACATGTGGCATGGATGTAGATGTGGCAACATGTGGTGTGGATGTAGATGTGGCAACATGTGGCATGGATGTAGATGTGGCACCATGTGGCATGGATGTAGACGTGGCACCATGTGGCATGGATGTAGACGTGGCACCATGTGGCATAGTTGTAGACTTGACACACTTGGGAGTGGTAGGATGAAGGGGAGACATGGCAATGTGGCTTCTGGGAGTGAAGCCTTGGGGTGGTGCGGGCAAGAGGGGAGTAAGTGGCGTTTCCCTTGTTCCTTCACACTGAAAAAGGCAGGAATATATTGCATTAGCTGGGTATTGTATCACACGCATGCACGCACACACACACACATTCATATCATCACCATATAAAATCCTTAAGCACTTGTGCTAAATGAGATCACAATGTCAGTTATTTATAGATACATCTTTGTTCCTGAATCCACCGTATTGGAATAACGTCACAATATGGCTGCCGTTTACTTACATCTTGAATGAGCGTCAGAGTCTCCCAGGTGAACCAAACACTTCTGTTTGATTATATTCAGCAATTAAAACTGTTCACCGATCACAAGAATATAACCCCAAGCTTAATTTGCCTTTAACCATCCTGAGGCTAACATAACCTATTTAAGAGAGAGAGAGAGAGAGAGAGAGAGAGAGAGCCAACACAAGACCTTACCATCAGGGTTCTGGAGGAGTCATTGTGGGCATCAGCAGTGGGTGTGGTGGCAGGGTGGAAGATCCTGGAGAAGGTCCACAAACGCCAGGCGATGAGGGAGTTCATGAGGACTATGAGGGCGAAGGGCAGGAATACCATTACGAAGATCTCCACTACAGACATCACCTTCATCATCCTCTGGTACTCTGGATAGAAGCCACAGTCCTGGACCTGCCGGTGACAAGGTTCAGATTTCAGATTTGCCCCAAGCAGGCGAGGAGGCTAGTTTATTGGCACTTCCTTACATCCTGTGCAAGACAGAGCAGAAAAGCATTACATATCCTAACAAGGAAGCAAGCGGAGTTCATGTTTACATTCTTTGACTTATATGATTAAAGAACGCAAGAATTAGCAAGTTACATGTGAGAAGGAGGAGGTCACAGGGGCATTGGGTGAAGGATAAGGTATAACAAGATCTGGGTCAAAGGTGTGAGGTCATAAAATCACAGAATGCATCTCAGTACCTGTAATATAAATTCAGAATGCCAAAGCAGCATAAGATTAAGAGTTCTCAAAAATCAAAGCCTTTTACAACTCGTCCAACCATTGTTACACTTCTGATTATCCATTAAGGTACAGAGCTATATTCTGGTGGTTGATGGGTCCACACTAACCTATTGTAACTTAACCTCACTTAACCTGATCTAATCTAAATTAATCTTATCTAATCCAACACAACCTAACTTCATCTGATCTAACCTGACCTAACCTAATCTAACTTAACCTGATCTAACCTAAGTTGATATAACTTAATCTAAGCTAACCTAACCTGGTCTAACTTAACCTAATCTTAAATGACCGAACTTAACCCAATCTAACCTAACCTAACCTCTCAAGGTAATATTAGAGTGGTTAATCACCAAATGAAATAAGCTGATGGGTGGGGCTGATCTTCAGGTGATCCAATATTTCTAGACACCCACTCCAATAACCTAAGGGTAGTACTCACTTGGGAAGAAGGGCCGTGTATGACGAGAAGATAAAGGTAACTGAGGGACGTGAGGATGACGATCACGCAGATAGACCACTTGGCGCGTCCTACTGTACAGATGGTGGAACGCTTCAGTGGGTATTGTACCGCGATGCAACGCTCTAATGTATAAGCTACCGTCAACCTGCAGGAGGATAGAGGATATGGAAACAGTGTGAGAAAAGAGAGACAGACAAGCAGAGAAAAACAGACAGACAGAGAAACCATAATGGTGAGAATTTTCAAAGGAATAAACTCTTAAAGTGTACTGCTAAGGAATGGAGGAGAGAGAGAAGAAGAGACAGAGACATCCAGCCCACGGTGGTTTGAGAACACTCACACGGGTAAAACATTAACAATGGAGTACCTTAGGTGAGTATCATAAGTCCATTGCTATTCATCGCTTACATAAATGTTCCGACATTCTTCTTGCTAGTCAAAACAAAAAGATTCCAGTCAATTTAAAGTTACTTTGACTATTATCTAATACAAGTGACAAATCTCCTTAGAATTTTGACATACAAATTGTAATGATCTCAGAAATGGTTGACAGATAGATTATTCAGTCATGTTGTCATACAAGTTTACATTGATTCAGTATGTATAATTGATAATACCAGTTCAGTGTGGCTGATGGTACTGTAATGGTAGTTGTTTGGGTGATAATGGTATGCAGTGGTGATAATGGTATGCAGTGGTGATAGTGATAGCTGTGATGATGATAGTTGTCAGTTGCGGTGATGTTAGTGGTGGTTGTGGTGATGCTAATGTTATGTGGTGGTGGTAAAGGAGGTAGGACACATACCACACACTAACACTAGCGGTGGTAGAGCCAACATAGTTAATAATCTTGCAGGCTGGGGCAGAATCCAACATCTCTAGGCGGAAGACAGCGAAAGAGTCGTGGTGAAGGAGCCAGCGTATGACCAGTAGCATCAGGAACGTCGTGTCAGAAGCCGCCATCGCTGCCAGATAGTAAGATGACGACCGACGACGAAGGCGAGTCCTGAGGAATACCGCCCCACTCAACAAATTCCCCACCACACCTGACGAGAACCAGACCCAAGACGCACAGGTTCGTACATTAAATTGATCTCTGGGGAATAAGTGAACAAGTTCCTTTAACTATGATGTTTTCTATGATAATTTTTCCCCTAAACTGAAAATGTGACAATGTATCCAACTGGCTGACTTAATCTAACACATGAAAAGGGATTCTAAATGATTCTTTAGTTATTTCTTTCTTTAATGGGGATGAGAGAAATATTTTAGTTTCAGTAGAGGTTAGGTATAATTTTCAAGCTCTTTCAGTTCCACCTACCATCTGCTCACCTGACTGGGGACGTGAGAATGCGTCCACAGTACCAAGGTCACTTTCCTGTGACTCAAAACTGTAATTCTGGATTATATTTAGGGGTAACTTAGGTATGTACCGATTTTACAAACCAATGCATATTTTCACAAATCTGTCAACATGTACATTAATCCCAACATCACAAAATCTTGAGTTAATTCTTCTTCATTAAAAGTTAAATATAAAAAGACTTTTCCATTTAACATTACAAAAGTGTGGGAAGTGGAACTAGATGTACATAATTATATATATCAGGTACAAGCAAGTGGTGACATAATGTGTTTAGTGACTCTCTGTGACAGGTCCCTGATAGTGACTTCCACAGAGAGCCACTGTGGGGACCTGCCAAGTCACTAAGGGACCTGCCAGAGAGAGCCACTATCACGAACCTGCCACGTGGAGTCAGTCTTAGTGAGAGTCATTGTTATCAGAGAGTACTAAACCAACATGAGATAGACTCTACAAGTGATGCACGACAAGAAAGTTCTCACAAGCTAAGGCCATGAAATAAGACATGACTTACCCACGATGCTGATGACTGGGATGTAGTAAATGTGTAGCAGGTCAACCATCGTCTTCTGCAGCTCCGCCTCGCCCTCCACCATTGCGGCTAACACGTTGCCTACACCTGCACGTCAGGATACACACGTCACCTGCACCTCCAAGTCTCGATACAAACATGTTAAACAACACATACCAAGTCCAGGTTAGGTTAGGTCCGGGTTCTCAGTGATTGGATATTTGTCATAAGTGCAGATGTGAAAAGGTATACTTGACTACTTGACTTAATGATTTAAAAAGCATAATGCCAATAAATAAACTAAATATTACACTGAGGCTCTACCTAAACTAAAAACGCTCATTTAAGACGTGACAAAATTAACGTAAACATTCTTTTCCGGGAATTATCTACTAGTTAAGGTAGAGTCTCAGTTTAATTTTAATATTATTTCTTTAAGTCATTTTTCTGATTCATGGAAGTTAACCCAGATTTATTTATTTTTTATTCAGTTCCAAAAATATTCACAGTACAATTTCTTTCCCTTATTTGCTTTATTTATACGTCTATAAACCAAGACAAACATTAAAAATTATCATTAAACACAAGTACAGAATATATCAGACAATGGTTCACACACTTCAAGAACATATAATGAAAAACAAGATAATTTAGTTATAATGCATCAACACCAGAAATAATTAACAGATTGTGGTTGGCTGTGATAAGTTGTTGGTGGGCTGTGATAAGTTGTTGGTGGGCTGTGATAGGTTGTTGGTGGGCTGTGATAAGTTGTTGGTAGGCTGTGATAAGTTGTTGGTGGGCTGTGGTAAGTTGTTGGTAGGCTACTGGTAGGTTGTTGGTGGGCTGTGATAAGTTGTTGGTGGGCTGTGGTAAGTTGTTGGTAGGCTTCTGGAAGGTTGTTGGTGGGCTGTGATAAGTTGTTGGTGGGCTACGGTAGGTTATGGTTGGTTGTGAAAAGTTGTGGTGGACTATGGTAGGTTGTGGTAGGTTGTGGTGGGTTGTGGTAGGTTGTGGTGGGTTGTGGTGGGTTATGGTGGGTTGTGGTGGGCTGTCATACTCACACTTCAAGAAGGACGTCTGAGCGGCAAGACACACACCGAGCGAGTGAGATGAAGGGAAACTCTCTAGGGGTTTGAGAGCTGCTGTGAGAGTAGTAAAGAGGGTGGGGGAGGGTAGGAGGGGATAGGGAGGGAGGGAAGGAGAGGAGGGAGGGAGGGAAGGAGAGTGGTGGGGAGAGAGGGAGGGGGTGAGTAGAGGGTGGGAGGGAGGGAGGGTGAGAGTAAGGGGTGGGAGGGAGGAAGGGAGAGAGAGGGAGAGAAAAGGCTAGGAGAAAAGAAAAAATGAGCATAAGTATTGTGAGGGAGGGAGGGAGTAGCAGGAGAGGAAGGAGGGAGGGTGAGTGTGAAGGCAGGAGGGAGGGAGGGTGTAAGAGCAGGAGGGAGGGAGGGAAGGAGGGAGGGAGAGAAAGTGTGAAGAGGGAGTGAGGGTGTAATTGGTCCAGTCAGAAATTTAGAATCAATTATATAAATTAAATGGGAATAAGGAAGAGAGAGCAGGAGAAGCAGATCGTTTGTACTGTAGTACTTTATATGAGAGAAAGAAATGTGCAATTGATGACAATGTAGTATAACAATGTACAGTAATCTATAATGAAGCTAGACTTGCCTAGTTCACTGTTTAAGTTACAAAATGACCTTAACTATCTGCCACATGGCCTTAGCATCAGATAAAACAGACAGGTTGAGATAGGATAAGAATAATTATAAACCCTTGGGGTCTGGATATTAGGGAGCCAGTTGGAGTTTCATGACATACCAGCAGGGATATGATTATATGTACTGTACTACTGGTAGTGGCTCACACCAGACAGCAGTCACACATTACTTCCTATGTGGAGATTCAAACTCACAAACATTGGCCAACCAGACCCCCAAAAAATAACCAATAATGTTTTGTTGATGTCATATTATGATCGATTTTGAGTTGATGAGAACAGTTTGTTGTTGATCAAGTTTTATTCTCATGTAAGGTACTTTAATTCTAATTATAATGCTGGAATAGTGATTGGTGAAGCCACTGGGAGTAAATGTGATTCATCTTGAGATCCTGTTTGATTACCGAACTTAAAGCTGACCCTGGAAATATAATGGTTTGTAAGTGAGTCAAGTGAGGGTGACAGAGTACAGTACTGTAGTGTGTCACAAATATGTACCAATGTGTGTTTTTGGACCCACTACTGTACCTGGAGATGACAGGAAAGTATGAACTATTTAATATGTTAGTTCCACCCAACAGTGGCCAGGACTTAAGCCTGGGCCTTCACACTACAGACTTCCTGGCAATACAGGGAAATCAGAATATGGAGATCAGTACTTTATAGTTTCTCACATACTGTATGAGCTTTATATAAATACACAATATAATAGGTTTTGAAAGGTGTACTGTGAATCAAACTGAAAAAAAAAATTAGCTGATACATATTATATACAAAAACTACAATGTAGGTTTGGAAAAAATTGGATTGTGAAACAATTACAAAGGAAAATATAACAGTTGAAACTATGAAAACAATTGTATAAGTCAGGAGGATAATTAGATTGAAAACAGAAAGAATAAGGTATCGAATAATACTTCTCATTGACAAACTTCAAAAATTTATTCGCTCTCTAGTCTACATATCGCCACGGCAACATGAGAGAACACAAGGCACTGTCAATGCACAAGGGATCTTATACAGTATATGGACAGTAATGCCGAGGCAGCATCATTGTGAGCCAACCTTACCTATACATATCTCAAATTTCATCATAACTTATCTCATTATTTATCTATACAATTATCAACTTATCTAAACATTTGATTTTATCTTAATGATTTCCTTTTCAACTTTTATCTACTAGGTTGACCATTTCATTTACCTACTGTACTTCTAGTTTGAAGAAGCTACATGATAGTGGGGATAAAAAATATATTAAACTATCAAAAAGAAAATGTTATGAAGGTTGACATAATGGGAAGAAGCACTCACTCCTGTGTTTACTGTACATATCTCATCAGACAATCATCCGAGAACCCAGTGAGGCCTCTTAAACAATATAACCATAACCAAAGGTTCCCTCTTGATGATAAAGGAATACGAGCATCAATTCCATCGATATTAAAAACAGTGCGACTTTGTTGTTTTTCACCTAAAAGATGTTCACATGACAAAGACTTTGAGAAAAAGCCTCACAAATATACACTGAGAGATTTAAAGTACAGGTCTACATAATTACTGATGGTCTGTACAATATAATCTGTTTCATTTTGTCTGTGTGAATGATGATGGATAATCATCACAATCAAGGTACAGTACAGTAGTTGCTCCACAAATTACTACAAGCAGAAATTCTCAGTGGCATGTGATGTTCCAACACAAATTTATGTTTTCTATTTATTCTACTGCTGTAAGGACATATAACATGCTGCTTACAACAAATATTTTCTTCTTATCACCATTAGTGGCCATACAAAAATATTTTGTAGTGGGCCCAAAAATTACAGCAAGAGAATATTCTGAAGTCTGTTACTTAAAAAATGTAAGTAACATACACTTTATTAATGACAAGGAAATATTACCATGATATAACTCATGATAGTTTGTAAACCATAGCAAATGTTTTATATGAAGATGCTATCTCATATTAATTCCCTTTCAAGACAAATCATTTGTTGTAGTATTACCTAATTAAACAACAGTACATTTTTGCATACAATACACTAATACTGTATATGTGAAACCTTTTTAAAATCAAACTAATTTCCACCATGGAAAACAAAGAGCTAGTACTGTATATTGAACTTCATCTTGCACTTGATACTCCATCTTGATACATGAGAAGATAATAAGATGATTAACAAGATCTTAATAAAATCAATCATAAACACAATATACACACGATTCATTTTTACTGTACAGTATTATATTTCAGGAGTCATATAAAACACTACACACTTCCTAATTCATCCCACTCACTACCTTCAGTTGTACTTCAGGAACCATCCCAATAGTTTCTTTAATCCCCAAAATCCTACCCAGGGAGACTACCATCCAAGACACCCCTGAAGAGATTTATCCTTCACTCCCTCAACCTCCTCTCATTAAATAATGGCTGGCTGTATCAGAGACCAACTAATGTGTACAAATCAGTGTTACTTCAAAGATCTAGCATTACCTCTGTGCCTGGACCTCATCATGTACAGACTGTATAGCTTTCTCTTCACAAAACAGCACATACATACATACAAATACATATTGTTCATTACCTATTTAGTGCCACAACACATGAGAATTTAACCAAGGCTGGAGTGAGCTATATTGAGGGGCAGTAACATAGGGTTTGAACTGCATACAGTACAAATATTTATGGTGTATAGTTTTTTTTAACATGAGCCACTCTAATGGTACTATGTTTTTTGTGCATATTGCTACTCTATCTTTAACACCGTAATATAATTTTTTCTTTAAAGTGAGTTTGATAAATATACAATCAAAAACCTAAGAAAACATAAAATTTGTTCAAACTTACATGCCAGCACACTATTAATCCATGGCAAAATAAAATCTATGTTTGAGCAGGAACTTGCCGGTTGCTCTAACATGAATGGCAAGATAACGAGAGAGAGCTTCTACGACTCAGAAGGCGGTAATTTTATAAACTACCAGCGTCGACCTCAACACCATACATTACTTGAAGAAACTCATTACCTCCCTATAGATTCCACATTCTGTAAACTATCAACAGAAAAAAAAGGCAGGCTGGAAGAGTTGCCACCTTCTTTAATGTAGAAATATCATCCCTGCACTTTTACATCTTAAATATATTATTTATAAATACTTCCATCACAACCAGACTGAATATGACTACTGTACCTTACAAATATATTATTATTATTATTATTATGCCCTTTAAGAAAGAAATCTACAATCTACAATATCACTTGATGAAAGACAATTTCCAGAGCAGTAAAATAAGGTTATCTCTAACTATTCCAACGCTACGAGTAAAGGCGCACAATTCTGAAATAAACAAAAGTGAAATGGTGCCAGTTACCAAACATCACTTAAGAGTTTGTGCAGATAACCGTACAAGTCAAAAGTTGTGATGATGTTATGACTTATAAATCTAGTCAAGTAAAGCCAAAACAGACTTTAGAGAAACATTACTTTATTATACAGTACCTTAAAAAAAAAAAACCATTTCTTACTGAGTTTATATGCCCTTGTTGTATTCTATCTAAATAATTAACGTCTGGTGCCATCTGCCACAGTAAGAACACCAGTACACTTCCCCACACTCAGCTCTCTTCCACACAAGACACACTCCCCCATTCTAGTCTTATCTTTATAACAAAACTTTCAGCCACAGTAACAAACTTTTATATTTATAGCCATTTTCTAGGCTTAGTCAATTAAGAAAATAACAATTTCATAAGACTCAATAACACTAATAGTATGTGTTTTGAGGTCATGTTCATTACACATCAGTCTGTCTGTCTACCATGTACAAAACTGCATACAGTACATTGACAGTAAGTGGCACAGGCATAAACTTTCCCCACATCTCACTTGGTGGTCATGTGTTCTCTTTCAAATGTAAAACACCTAAAAATTATGTTTCAAAACACTGGGTGAGAATTCTTCATGCTGGCTGATAATGTTTACAAAGTCAAGTCTCCAGCCAATGAAGAACTACCTTAGACAATCAGTGAAGATCATGTTAACTGATGCCAAAATTTCTAAGTCAAACAGGAGCCAAAACACACGTAAAGAGACATGGACGTTGCTGATTATATAATTCAGCCTGAAAATTCTTGAAAAAAGTTGCATATTCAATTTCCTTTTGATCTGTGACACCTAGCTCAGTTATTAAGAGAAAACCAATTGTCCACAAAGTGTCTGACAGAGGTAGCATTATATACCCCTCCCTTTGCCTACAGTAGGGGCATAAAATTAAATCTATACTGTATATTATTCCATGTGATCTTTTACATACATTCATGGTGTCCTCATGCTCTTGTGTGTGTAATAACAGTTGCCATATTTAGATGGTGTGCCCACATCTAAGTCCCATATAAGACACATTTATGGTATCGTTCTGGTCCAACAATGTTCTATCTTGAGGTTTCTTGTATTTACACCACATGACAAACATTTTGCATGAGACTATCACACACAGTTCTGCCTGTACTGTGTCTACATAGTGTATCTGAGGAAAAGTCAATACTTGTCCATAGTAATAATACTAACTGTTATACAGTATACTGTTCAGCTTGTAGTGTATACCAAAACTTCCATTACTATAGTTATAAGCATTTTTATATAATATAAAAGAACATATTATTAACACAACATATTGGTAATATTTTTTACTTTACAATTTTATGAAAATTTTAAAGAATTAGATCAATTCAGCAGCCTGATATATATATTTTAGCGATCTTAACCTAGATATACTGTAAAATACCATCCTTTTTTATATACATGAGCCAATCTATTAATCCACCACACACAAATAAAGAAATAATTTGAGATACTGTATATACTCCCCCACACACACACTATGCCCTCATCATCATATTTTTAACCACACTATCAACCAAACAAATCTCCCAAGGTTTGTCTATACTTCAGCTCCACCCACACAAACAACTGTCAATTCCATCTCATCAAATTTTTGGCTCTTTCCCTTCTAATCTGTGAACAAAGCGGAGTCCTACAAAGCTTTTTTTTTTACTGCCTCGTTGACTTTCCTTTTTGGCCGAGATTTTTGTCAATTTGAAAATACTGTATTCCAAATATTCCCATGAAAAATCTAAAAGCATAAAACTTAGACAATGTCAGATCTTCACATACACAGTATAAACACCCAGCCTCTTAATTCCACATCAGATTACTGTATACTCGCTCCAAAAAGTACCTTTACGGAGGGGTCTGACTGATGTCAAAACACGCCCACATTCATATACAGGTATATCATAAGGGCGATGTTTAAGGGGGTTTCAGGTAAGGGGTTTTGGTTTACTGTTTACAGTTCTACTAAGTGTATGATAATGTTTCAGAGCCAATATCAATACTGTACACTGTCATGGACGTCATTCATCATGGAAACATCACAGAGTATGCGTGAAGCAATCATCATCCTTCACAACGGGGGCTACAGAAAAGCACACATTGCGAGGCAGTTTGGCGCTTCCAATCCAACAGTGGCATTCGGGATATGGCACTATGAGGATTCGGGCAGCATTGACAACCAGCCTCGGAGCGGCCACCCTCACTACACAGCTCCAGAGGAAGACCAGGTTAGTAATGTCTCAGTAAATACATAATATACAGTAAAGTAAATGAAATAACTGGGGGTAATTTATATAAATAACCACATTTCATATTAATATTGCCCTTTCTCCGTCCCTGGACCAAGCCATAGCAGCTTCCCATTCGTGATGTTCCATTTTGCAGTGCTGGCACCATGTGCACTGACCTTGATGTATCCTGTAGCTTTCAGACTATCCGCAACAGACATTAAACCATGAGGATGCACAGCCGCAGACCAGTGCAGATACCCAAGTGTTGGCCGTTTTGAGAGTATGCCAACAAGACAGCTGCCTCCTGTGACCAGGTTGTTTTCTGTGACGAGAAACTTTCTGATCCGATGCTCCTAGAGCTACAAATTATGTTTGGCGACAACCAAACACAAGGTAAGTCTGTCAAATATTCTCTCCCTCTCCCTTACCAGTATAAATAAGCAAGATTATTATGTGCCCATTGGTGCTAATATGCTCCTTAAGGCTTGTCTCTGACAATACTTTGTCAACATTGAAATATATCTCTATTTTTCATAATTTGTTTCAAACAGAATTACTGTGGTATCATTAATACCGCTTATGTAACTTCACATACATTCACTACTCTATGTGAAACCAAGTGTTTTCTGATATTTCTGCTGCTTGGTTTCCCTCATAAGACATTTGTATTCTCCTGTATTACTTTTATGCATAATTATTTTCTTTCATGGTTGTGAATGTTTCTAGTACACCTCCTGTCTTCTGGTGTAGTCAATCCATGTTTTCAATGTGTTTGCTAGTTTATGCGTCAAGTCGAGGATTGTCTATTAAACAAATCTTTATTTAATTCTCTCTTCAGATTCAAAGCCAAACAGGTTGTGGGTAAGAAGGGAGTGGGCGAGTCACCATGGGGTTGTTGGGTGGAATCCCTCAATTGGTGTCGGGGAGTTCGCAGATGTGGGCACATACAGATTCACTGGGCTGTAGTATGTTGATGTGTTGGAGAAGGTTCTGCTGCCCTCAGTGATGGAAATGCTCTACCCTGTGCCAGAACCCTTTTACCTTCTCCAAGATAACAACCCCAGCCACACCTGTCAGGTTGTTATTCCAAATATTAATCTAATAAAAGTGAGCGCCCAATATTGTTTACCTTAACACTAAATATTTAAACAAACTCTGATGTCCACAACGTGTATGAATCACAAATGTTAAGTGCGGATTCTGTCAACACATGCTTTCAGTACAACGAATATACAGTATACAGTATCCAGCACGACTTGTCAGGCACCGATGCACATGTATGTTGTCTGTTCCTGGATTTCTTCAATTCATTTCGTTGTTTACATTACATTACAGGTCTGAATAAATAACCCTGCACCATCTGGTATATGGTTTCATATGTCACCAATATTCTATCAACAATATATATTTCATAACATGACTGAACGTTAAGATATGTTTACGTAACAATGTTGATTTACTATAATGATAACATGCGCAGAGATATATGCCAAAACATTAATATTATGTTCCACAATGTTCTCAGTATATGTCAAATTTGTATAATGTATTATTATAATATATGTCTTGTCATTCACAAGCCATATAACCATGATGAATAAATGCATATAATACATATATAATGACATACAACACCATATCAGGTATGCAGGGCTACCAATATATGGCAAGGCCCTTGAGCATTTGTCAAATGCCATCATCTGCTGTGTCATATAGTCTAGCACACAATCTTAAAGCTACTTCTTCAAGCGAATCAACACACATACATTAAACTCATAAATATCAAGACTGACACCATTTATCACCCCCTACCCTATTTTTTGGCCAAGTACTGTAAGTTACCACAGACATCCTACTTACCAGTATACATTTGGCCTCATTAATTATTTGTGAGTTTTTCCCAATAACTGTAGAAGTTCCCTGGTTTCTCTGTGGGGAGTCTAGTGAAGGATATACACCCCCATGAAACACTAAAACATCTGGGTACTGTACTAGGAAATACACAATGAGTTGATGAAGTGAAAAATGTGAGGCTATCAAGTGAAACCAATTTAAAGACAGACTGGTGTACAGGTGTAGATCATAATGCTTCAAAAGAAAGGTGGAGTAGAGTATTATTGTAACAAAGTGAAGGTCTACAGTCATGCATCTGTAGGTCAAGTATAAAGCAATATATAGCAGTAACACTCTCAGCTCAGCAATAAAGATGTCACTAAGTTGGGTTGCTCAATGCCAGTAACTGAAATAGAGATACTCTCAAGGTTTAGCAGCACTTGGAGGACAGCACAGAGGTTTGCTTCTTTGTGCTCCAAACTTGTCATTAATTGATAAAACAACTGGGATAATAACATCTGTGAAAATTTCCACATGTTACTCTGGCTGCCTCAGAACATACTGTAGGCGGTTACCTCCACATTAACAATATTTTAAAATAAAATAAAAGCTCAGTTGCATTATGGGAAACACATCTTGCCTTTTTTTTACTGTATTATTGTGCTTTTTAAAACCTGTCATTAACATGAGGACACAACATGTACTTTTTTCATAAAATATGATAATAAAAAGCCACCTTTACATAGCCATCAGTTGCAGTAATTACTTGGTTATTGCTAACACATCCATGTCATCTCGGCAGCGAGGGATATACAGAGGAACACAAACGTGTTCCCATATGTCTTGAGGATAAGCGTTCTCTACACTCCATAGTGCATTATCCAGGTCATAACACTCTATCACCCCTGTAGCACGATCAAAAGTAGCATCCGAGTGAAATCCACCAATTACATAGAGTCGAGAGCTCATGACTACAATACCGGCATGATAACGTGGGGTGGGAACACGACTGACCACAGACCAACTATCTGTGGCTGGGTTGTAGCAGTCGATGGTATCAACCAGTACCCTGGTGTTTGTGGCCTCATCTTCATACCATCCACCACAGATATATAAGCAGTTGGAGTATGTGACACAATAATGGTCTGCCCGAGGTGTGAGGAGGGGAGCTCGGGGCTCCCATGTGCCTCTACTTGGGTTATATGCATGACAAGAATCTAGAACTTGGTCCCCTTCCAAGCCACCACTAACATAGAGGAGACCATTTAGAGCAGCAGCTGCATGTTGTGCCCGAGCACCTGGGAGGCCAGCAGTGGGGGTCCAGGTGTCAGAAGCAGGGTTATATGCTTCACACAAACTCTCATCCTCGGCGTTGCCGTCATCATTGGCTTCGCTGGCTCCTCCTACGGCGTACAACTGGCCGCCAAGTACACTGAGAGAAAATCTGCACCTTTCACGCTGCATGGGAGCCATGGTGCTCCACTTATTCTGCTGGGGATTATATCTGAACCCAAATGGATGAATGTTTTCCTGTAGAGATTGGTTGAAACAACCACCAATGACATAGAGTTGGTTGTTCAACACAGCGGTACCATAATTACACTGCTCAACATGAGGGATGGTGGTAAGATGGCGCCAACGGCCAACCGAGGGTAAGAAGTACGTAATCTCATTCGTGATGCCAGCAATACTGAAGCCGCCGACCTTCACCACTGCCAATTCTAGCCCTCTTGAGTTGACTAGGCCAGTAGGAGGTGCTGGAGTCATGGGAAGGGCCGTGAGACGGAGCGCGGCTCTCAGTGGCTCCTCGAGCACGGGTAGACGAGCCGCTCGTTCCAATACCGGAGCAGGAACCTCCTGTAAGTTGAGGGTACGCAGCAGGGCGGGAGCGTGCCGGGATCGGTCTGATGGGCAGTGCTGGAGCCAACCTGCCACAGTCAGTAACACTTGTGCTTCACTACAGTCAACAGGGTAGTCACAAGACAGGAGATGCAGTAACTGCACCACTGTTAATCGCTGAAAATCTGACATTTTACTGAACTGATGTAGGTGAGAGCTCATGAAGGCATACACCCTCTTTCTCAGTCTATGAAGTGAGTAAGTCTCTGCTATGGTGGCAATGTCCACACAGTTGTCCAGGTCAAGTTGTGCCTGCAATAAATCATTCATCACTGAGTCAAACACCTAGCACATCTGGATGAGTATAACCTTACACCACTACAACAAAATATATCAACTCAATCAATATTAAAAACATCAAATGTTTTCTAGGTATAACTGTGAAAATTGGCTGAACAAACAACTGGAAATTTTTCTGACATCACTGTATAGAGAAAATATCCCTAAGTTCCTGAAGATGGAGGAAAATTTTATTAAATATACCATAAAGTACATACAGGTAGACCTTTCTTTACAAAGCTTTGGTTAAAAAAGAATTACAAATATATAAAATTTGTCCCAGGCTTTGAAAATCTTCGAGTAACAAAATCATCTTTGCTATTTTCATAATTTCTTTCCTAAGTAATAATGAAAATACAATATGCTAAAATAATGGATTTTTTTCAGTACTAATATAATTATTTACTTCACTAAGATATACTGTATCATTATTCTCTAACAGTCACAATATTACCAGGTAATGTACTAATTCTACAAATAAGCTTGCAATATGTCATTATTCTCTTACAACCCCCAAATAGAGTAACTTAGTCCTCCAACATACTGTACTGTACTGGGGACAATTAGACTCGTCTTCACCAGCAGAGTTACTCAGCCAACTTATCCATTATCTCCTCATGTACACCCATCACCTCTTTTAATGAAGGATCTTTGAGGAAAAATTTGCTACAAGGAAGATATATATTTCAATCTCAAACTTACCATAATAAAAAATTTGCAATAAAAAAAAACTTAAAATCCAAAATTCATACTTTTTTTGAAGATTGCAAACAGAAATTGAAAAACTAGCAAATTTCTGTCAGGAGTCTGGTGGTACCACCAGGGCCGGATTTACCTACTTGTGGGCCCCAGGCCAACTCATCAGTGGGCCCCCAAATTTATAGAAATGTTTGCATGATTCAATATATACATATATATACAGTATATTCAAATGACTTGCAAAAGTAATTCAAATTTTCTAAAAGCCATTTGAACAAGTAATAATCCAGATATCAAATTTTGGTCAACAGGTCCTTAATCAGCATGTTCAGGAGTACCTATACTGAGATTTTGAACAAAATCCATTTTTTGGTCGAAAATTACAAAAATTTTCAGTCTTATTTATGCCTTACAGGATTTTTGGCCATTCTATTTTAGACTTACAATACTGTATACGTACACACACACACACAGATAGCTAAGACATTCTATCTAAGACTCTCAACACAATGCAGTCTCACCTGGAGATAGTTAGAACAGGCCTCAACGACGGTGAGCACCTGGACGTGAGCGGCAGCTGCCAGAACGTCCTGGATATTGGCCAGGTTGAGAGAGAGACGACTGGTGTAGGCATATTCCAGAAGACACCGTAGCCCGGCAGCACTCACGCCATTTAAACATATCTCCGACTGACAGCGCTCTCGCATTTCGTCGGTGAACATAGCACGGAAATAGTCGCTGCATGATGCGAGGACCACACGGTGAGCCTGCCATACATTAAGAATTAAACACATATAGACAATAATTGGCACATGACAGCGTATAATTAACAGGATGCTTAAAAAAAGTTTACCCAAATGCCTAAGATATCTTTGTGGCAATCAGGTGAATAATTGCACTACGACAGCAACATTGACCAAACTAGCAGGAGACCTGGCACATCAACGAGTGAGGGCAAATTTGCTGTTCACGTACATATTTCTGAGACAGTGTATACAGAGAGTGTTCCTTCATCAAGTACAGTACAAAGGTTAGTTAGTTACAGTAGTTTATTATTAGTTTTTAGTAACCATAGCTGGGAGGAATCTAATCAGAATTCCCACAGAGGTTGGGTTTACCAGCTGTCTAGGGTAGAACTTACTTTTGAATAATGACCATTAGGCATACAGGAAAAAATTTAAAAGCATTGATGATGATGATGACAATACCTGAAAGTAACAATAGGAATGGAGGAACGATGGAATTGTGAGATGAGTTGGTCACTTAATGACTTAACCCCCTGAGCATGATGACAACACCTTGACTACGATGACTTAAACCCTTGAGTATGATGACTTAAATCCGTGAGTATAATGACTTAGGTAATCCTTTGAGCATGCTGCAATACCTTGAGTACAATGACGTAAGAGACTCACCTGAAATGCCTCACCACCAGCTATGAGAGTCACATCAAGCAGGAGACCTTTAGAGCGCAGGGTGTTGAGACCGTAGAGTAGGGTGCCAGTGTGTGATGGATGCTCAAACTGTACAGTGTTTAGCGGCCGCGGGGCCACCGCCGCCCCCCCGCTCCGCGTCATTCTCACATCCCCTGCAAGATAATATCACCCTTTAGTAATGTGATGACAGAAACTAGAGAGTCATCAAAAGAATGGCAGACATGAACCATACAGACAAACATCATGAGAGCTAAGTTACTGTTTGGGAAGTATTTGCCAACGAACAGACACACACACACACACACAAATGAACTCTACTAGGAACTTATCCCCTAAACCATTAATCAAGTTTAACTACAGGATCAACTCTACATTATCTAAATACTCTGTACACAAAATATCTTATCTTTTGGCTACAATATCCAAATAATTATTTTCCTGTAAGTAACCTGAGACCTCTACTAAGTAACCACAACTCAACAACAGCCTCGTCTCTACATCTCACCGGCACCAAAATACAAATAAACTTCAAATAAATCAAGAATGAGAGATATTGACACTATCTTCAGGTCATAATTACATGTACTTATTAAAATATATATATATCAACTTGCTAACATGTAACACCTTATAAATGGGAAATATGTAACACCTTGTAAATGGGAAGTATGTAACACCTTATAAATGGGAAATATGTAACACCTTGTAAATGGGAAGTATGTAACACCTTATAAATGGGGAAGTATGTAACACCTTGTAAATGGGAAGTATGCAACACCTTGTAAATGGGAAGTATGTAACACCTTATAAATGGGAAAGTATGTAACACCTTGTAAATGGGAAGTATGTAACACCTTGTAAATGGGAAGTATGTAACACCTTGTAAATGGGAAGTATGTAACACCTTCTTGACAGGAACTATAGATAGGTGCACTGTCACTCACACCTTGTAGACAGGCACTACGTAACACCCTTCAAGGGGGTGAAGCGTGACACAACACAAAGCCACCCACGCTCTGCTTCATGTTGTCACCACACACACACACACACTTGCAGGTATTGTGTAAATAGTAAGAGAAATTCACATGCAACGACCAGGCCAGATTGACAATGTTGCATACAGCAAGAATATGCATGGTAGTTTCTATCATGACGTAGACTATCCTAACACAACCTAACTAAACCTATCATAAAATAGCCTAACCTAACACAACATAGCCTAACCTAACACAACCTAACTTAACCTTTCATAACATAGCCTAACCTAACACAACCTAACTTAACCTTTCATAACATAGCCTAACCTAACTTAACCTTTCATAACATAGCCTAACCTAACACAACCTAACTTAACCTATCACAACATAGCCTAACCTAACACAACCTAACTTAACCTTTCATAACATAGCCTAACCTAACACAACCTAACTTAAACATAGCCTTAACACATAGCCTAACATAACCTTTCATAACATAGCCTAACCTAACACAACCTAACTTAACCTTTCATAACATAGCCTAACCTAACACAACCTAACTTAACCTTTCATAACATAGCCTAACCTAACACAACCTAACTTAACCTTTCATAACATAGCCTAACCTAACACAACCTAACTTAACCTATCACAACATAGCCTAACCTAACACAACCTAACTTAACCTTTCATAACATAGCCTAACCTAACACAACATAACTTAACCTTTCATAACCTAACCTAACCTAACTTAACCTTTCATAACATAGCCTAACACAACCTTACTTAACCTTTCATAACATAGCCTAACCTAACACAACCTAACTTAACCTTTCATAACATAGCCTAACCTAACACAACCTAACTTAACCTTTCACAACATAGCCTAACCTAACACAACCTAACTTAACCTTTCATAACATAGCCTAACCTAACACAACCTAACTTAACCTTTCATAACATAGCCTAACCTAACACAACCTTAACTATCACAACCCTAACCTTAACTTAACCTTTCATAACATAGCCTAACCTAACACAACCTAACCTTTCAACCTAACCTAACCTAACAGCCTAACCTAACACAACCTAACTTAACCTTTCATAACATAGCCTAACCTAACACAACATAACTTAACCTTTCATAACCTAACCTAACCTAACACAACCTAACTTAACCTTTCATAACATAGCCTAACACAACCTAACTTAACCTTTCATAACATAGCCTAACCTAACACAACCTAACTTAACCTATCACAACATAGCCTAACCTAACACAACCTAACTTAACCTTTCATAACATAGCCTAACCTAATTTATCTTAACATAACCTAACACAACCAAACCTACCCTAACACAACCAAACCTAACATAACCCCCACAGGTATCATTATGGTGTTTACTCATCATGTAAATTACGCTGAGCGGCTAATCTTCAGGTAATCCAATTCAACTACTAAAACATAACTATATAAGCTACTGTTTTCCCACAAAATAAACATTATATTGTTATTTGGACGATGTGAAAGACAGACGGACTAGCAGTAATCAGGCGAAGAAACAAATTAAAATAGGCTTAATAATTACCAGGAAGAATGGGTGAGCACTTAATGACCAACCTACTGCGCTCCTCCTTCCTCCCACAGAACAAGGTCACTTCTTGATAAGGGTGGCCGACCACTTCCCTACAGACGAGGCTCAGGAAACAAGGCAAATAACCCAAACACTAATCCAATCATGTATTCCCTCAACTTGACAGCAAAATAAATAAATAATCAAATAACAACGAACTTTTTTTTTTACATAATGCTACATAACGATGGATAAATTTCACATAAACACGGGTTATTTCTGGAGATTGCTTGAATAATATTACTGGTCAGATGAGGAAATACGTGACAAATGCCGGACTAGAGAACAGGTTGAGTTTATGACGTACTGCATTAGACTGCCACAGTTAAACAACCTTCACTCTCCCACCAGAAGCAGCCAATGAGGAGCAGCCGTGGTGGTGTGGTAACCTTGTGTCTGTGGAGAATATTACCCAACACCACACCTCCTCCACCTCCCTAGGCTACCTACATCTTATTCTCTCTCTCTCTTTGTCTCCATACCAAATTATTCATCACACATGAACACCCATAATGACACACACACACAAAATAATAATAATTTAACTACAGAGACACGCACAGCAAACAAATTTTAACCACACACACACAGCGTCAAAGACAGGTTAAGTCAGCAGCAATTTATCCGCGTTAATACTGTGTTGACGGTAAGTGAGGTTGACGTCACCACACTGAAGAAACCTCCCCCTTCTTCCTTCTCGCTCAAATGACATGACTCACCTCAGCTTAAATGACTCACCTTAGCTGACATGACTCACCTCAGCTTACATGACTCACCTCAGCTTAAATGACTCACCTCAGCTTACACGACTCACCTCAGCTTACACGACTCACCTCAGCTTACACGACTCACCTCAGCTTACACGACTCACCTCAGCTTACACGACTCACCTCAGCTTACACGACTCACCTCAGCTTACATGACTCACCTCGGCTGACATGACTCACCTTAATGACCAGACGCAGGTGGCGGGTAACAGGTCAACTCCTACCTGGTTCAGCCCCTTCTCAGACCTTCATTTAAACAGTTGCAACACAAACTAGTAGAAAACGTCTTCCAATTACCTTACTAGATTCCAATTCTATATTTTCTGTTCGTTTCGTCATGAGCATTGAAGTACTTTGGGATTATTACTGCACCATTGTCTTACGAAACGATAACTGATTTTGAATCCTAGTTTGTCACTTTACTGTGGCAGGACGGGACTGGGAGGTGAACCATTCGTGTGGGAGAGAGAGGGAGCGGGGAGTACACACCGTCCACCTGCCACACCACCTCAATGTCAACTGAAGCAGGTGAGGGTGGAGGACTCAGCATCTCACCCTACGGTAACACCACCACACTAATTACCTTCATTCTCCTTACATATTTCTTGTACATTTATATCACAAGAATACATAAGGAAATACTGTACTGTATATCCAAGGTGTGTGTGTGTGAACAACTCGAACAAAAAACAAGTACAGTAATCACAACCAACCTTGCTTTGACACATCACAATAACAACTCCAAAGAATGACACTTCAAAACTCTAATACTGTACTGTACCATATTGGACTGTATCTCATAGCAACACTTCAGACAACTAAAAAGAATCTGTTTAACACCATGAGAAAACACATACAGTACCTGGACCATATTACATAAAAAATTAACATTCTTCTGGTCAAACGAGAATAGTTAAATTTTACTACAAATACAAATGTTGCAGTCAAAAGGTAATGCAGGGTTATTATTTGTTTGAATAAAAATCAAAACAAATGGCAGCCAATCAAGGTTCCCACACTATACAGTACAACACATTCATGATCACCCTCACATGTATCAAATTGGCTCGGATACCATATGACTGTGTATAGTACTGTATCAACAATATGGGGTTCGTGTATAAAAAGAAAAAAAATTCTCCGCTGAATATTGTACTTTCGTAGGGGTATAATATGGCTTCATCACTGTAATTGGTTATACAGTACAGTACTCTGTATTTTATAGGCCTATTTATTTAACAATATAACTGATATGATTCCATTAGAAAGAAAAACTCCTTTACATGTTGAATACCTCATTATTATAGTGAAACACCATCTACTACAGTACAGTATATAGAGAGGGGTGTCCTTTAGATGTTAAACCTCCATCTAACAGACAACTGTATATCCATTAGACTGTCGTCCTTTTGATCGAGGCTTCACTGCACAGTACTGTATCAATCTTGTTTACAGCAGCGCTTCAAAAACAGTAGTTTACAGGAAGCATCCGAAAATTTAGGCCATCCCAGATAAGATTTACACAGTTCATGTACTGGGTATTCAGCTTCACATTGAATCTTTCACCTTCACATTCCAAACATAAACTACTGTACTTAATACTATACTAGCTGAGATACCCGACATTGCCCAGGTTTGTTTTTCAAAAAGTTAAGTTAACCCAAATGGGCACAGCCATACCATAACAACATTCCACATTTAGGTGAGGGTCGACCCCTGCCCCCCACCCTCCAATTTTGATGTTTGTAAGCATTCTCAGGGATGGTTTACAAAAGAATAAATTACCAAATTTCATCTCTCAATCAAATTCTGTACTTTTAATAAGGGGGTTCCACCTTTGGGGTGGTCGGCCTAAACACTGGGACCAACCCTTCAAAACTCTACCTTAGTGACTTTTTAATGCACCAAATTTCAGCTCTCCATCTTCAAAACTATAGGTGTATATACGTAACATCCACACAAAGAAACAGACAGACACTTTTATATTAATTTTTGGTAGACCAGTTTGTATATATTCATCATATATAACTTAAAGAAAGAACTTTGAAGGAAGAACACACAAGAGTAAATAAATACCCAATACAATTAGATACCGAGGAAAGAAATAAGCCATATTCTTTACAAAAAAAGCCATAAAGCCAAGTTTTTAATCTATTGTAAGGTACAGTACAGTATTCCCCAAACAATCACTATTCTAACAATGAATACTCTAGTTGAATTTGAACCATCCTCAGACATTAATCTGGACCATAATTCTGCTCAGACTCTTGGCTTCCAACCACTGACCTCATAAATTTGTGACCTGTGTCAGGAGCATGTAGAAGGGAACTACATGTACTATACAGTTGCAGAAATGTGTTCCTACACCCGTCTCTCCAAATTTGCAACGTTGCAGTAGTAGTATCACTATTTATGAGTGAACAGGTATTGGTCGTGTAACGACGGACGTGATTGGTGAAGAGATTTGTTATAGGTCATATAGGTTGGCCGTTTGGAGACATGAGTTACCACAGGGGGTGTAGGAACACATTTCCGCAACTGTACCAGCAAGAGTTTACAACACTTCCTCGAAGTCGCTTTCAGTTTACAATACACTATATAATACTATATGTGTAGTTGATAAATAATCTTTGTACAGTACTAATATTCTTTCGTTTCATGTTATATCCAAAAATTCGCTTAAATGAAAATTCTATTCTTGCACCTCTTTTTCGCAAACCGAAAGCAATACAGTATCAATTTATCTGAATGTTGGTCTGATCGAGAATTTAACTTGCAGGCATGGCGCGCCCCAGAAGTCAGCTGGGGAGACCAGTTTGGCCTGCATATGCACAATGTTCAGTGCAAGTAAAGTGCTCTCTCTTTAGCCATGTGCATTTGTGCCATGAATCTGTACACATTGGCATCCAAGCAGTGGTGAATCCTCTGTTACCTCCACCATCACCAAGAGATCTCACAAACCTGTGATAATTGAAACCAAGCTTGAGATTATCAAGCATCGCAAACAGGGAGAGCCCAAAGTGATGTACTGGACACTCTAGGATTAAAGTCGCAGAGAGCCGCACGGAACCTACACTATTAACTTCAAGCAATGAAAAAAAATTTAACTGCAATACTGTAGGGGTACTTAAGCACTAGTGATTTTAAGTGGTATTTTATTTTTAATTTTAAACTTGTTTCATTTATATCATATCATTGTTTTAACTTATGATTTTCCTCATTGCCTGAGGTTGCAATGGCAAACAAATGCATTATTTGCTCACCAGAGGTGCCACCATGGCTGCTCACCAACACATTCACGCTCGCCCGCTCAGTCTTTCTGAGTGAGTGACAAGTAAGCAGCCGACTCTGCTGCAGATTATGACTTCTAAGGTGAGTGTAAATGGGTTACTAGTGATGCGAAAAGTGAAGTGAAGAGAATGGAAAGCTTAATGGAAAATATTTAATACTGTAACTAATATTTTTGGTTTGTTCATTTATGTAGGTGTGGGATTGTCAAGTGAGGGTGGCAGCGTGGCATCTGCTGCCAAGTCTGGTGTTCCCAGCATGGCGCGTCAGCTGCCGAGTCTGGTGTTCCTTGATATTGATATCGAAACAGCCTGTTGTTCCCGAGTCAGGTGTTCACTGGTGTTTTAGTTAGTAAGAAAATAAACTTGTTAAGTCAAGTTTAGTCACTTTTTTTGGCCTCCAGAACCTAACCTTATTTTACCCATTGATTACGTGTATGTAATTATATATCTTCATTTAGTATATAGTGAACATCGTTGGACCCTATCTCGCGATGTATCCCGACCCTACGGTACTTGTACGTAATTTTGTGAAAACTGCAAATCCTACCAATTATTATCAAGACTAAGAGTGCTGTTGTCCTTTATAGGGATATTACATGTTATTATTACTATATTATTATTATTATTATCAATGTAAGAAAGAATAATTTATCATCATCTATAGAAAAAGTTTGCAAATATGTTGCTGCTGTTGTATCTTATTGGCAAGTATGAAATGGAACAACATTATTATTGCCGTCTATGAAACACTCGGACGACGATGAATCCTCCTCCTAATGCTCATGTGTACAAAGATGGTGGTGGTGTTATGCAAGTACAGTACCAGCAGCGGTATCTTTCTTTACCAGGAGAAAAACTAGGAACAAAAACCTGAATAGGAAAAGTGTTATTCCTCCACCTGATTTGCTTTACACTTGAGGGAAGAAATAAGTTCCCTTCTACAGATACAGTACCGATATTTTTCCTTAAGTGGCTGGTTAACCTGGGTAAATGTCCTTAAATAATAAATAAACTTGCTGGGAAGTTTTAAATGTAGTTTGGACAGATATATTTACCTTATTTACCTAATGGCCACCTACTAGAGCGAGTGATAGATAAAAGTTGGATGTAAACGGGACTGTCTAGTATGTGCCAATAGACCTGTTATAGTTTCCTTCATTCTAATGTTCTTAAGCCAGTGACTTGTTTCATCTGTGGTATAACTGCAGTTTCGCACAACATGGATTTCAAGTTGAGCAATGTATTTTTCTGATGGTCTAGACAATTTTAAGACACTTTTCTTCTATGATGTTTCCCTCGCAAATTAAAGCACTTAAATATACCAGGGAATCCACTGAGGCGGAGCCCCCTGGTTAGGAGGTAAGGTTAGGTAAATTTAGGTAATTTGCAATGGAAACGTCATAGAATTAAAGTGTCAAAATTGTCTGAACCATAGGAAAAACACATAGCTCAACTAGTAGGGCGTATTGTCTGAACCTGCAGTTTTACCTCATCTTATACTTTACTTTACTTTCCTTTTATTTACTTTATCATCTTACCCTCTGTTACATACTGTTGGCAAGTACTGGGTATGTACGTTAAGTTGTGCAACCAACCTACAGTAACCTAAGTTAGGTTAGTTGAGAAAACTAATTTGCAATTGTAAAAAAATTGCAAATGTATAAAGGAACGTACAAAACATTTAAATAATCATCATCATACAGTTTTGTCTGTCAACATATTCTGACAACAAAGAAATTCCTGAACTAACACTGGGCTGTGAGACTTCCTTGCTTACAAACAAACCAGCTGGTACTGCTCTTCCAGAACCTGACCATAGTCTCCTTACTGGCCACAAAGTCTGAACAACTTGGTTATAATAATTCCCCATCACCATAAAATATCTGACAAAAAACCTATACAAGGAAAAGATCCCCCAACACCTCTACACCCGCATAAACAACCACAATAACAAACAATTTATATATACAACATTACAACGATGATTTAGGACCAACTTACCTAAAAAATTAACCCCTTTTGTCCCGTGGTGTGAGAGTTATTAGAAAAAAAGTGATTAGTGTTGACCTCCCGAGCCTGTCCAACCAGCACCATGTAAACAAACAACGTCGCCTTCTTACTCCCAGGACGGACAACACTACTGAAGACCGAAAACAAACACGATTAATTATTTTTATATACAATTGAATATCTATTTTAAATTCTCTCTCTCTCTGATTTATGGTATTATAAAAATAAAGTACTAATAAACACAAATGTGAACTTAGGTGTACATACAACTTATGTACTCTCACGTTAAAGCTATAGATTTATAAGGTTTAGGAGATTTTCGGACATACGAAATGCTGCATTAGTTTAAAAAAATGTGTATTAACAAAATATTAAAGTCTTCCTTGACCTAAATTATTGAGATTATTATTATATTATAACGTATTTCGATAACACATAATAAAAAATTAATTAAACCCAGATATTGGTATGCATGTCGCTGTACATACGGGGAGAAAAATCCAACATGGTGCAACCTACTTCCTGTTTCTGACCTCGACCGTAATATTCCTTAATAATAGATAAATATTTCCTAATTACCTCCTCAATTAAAGATTATCCTTTACATTTTATCATAAATACAGTTAATACGTCACCTCATATTAATAATAAATGGTTGAATGATAGATAAATATGATAACTGCAGCCAAGGTTCACTTTAACCCTTTGCTCGAAAATAAACTCAAAGCTTCAATATTAAATTTCAATAATTTTACACTTTACATTTTTGGGTACATAGAGTTCTTATTACATAACAAATATTTTGATATATACTCAGTATTAATAAGAGTATACAGTATACCACTATTTGATGAGAGTAGTCATAGCAATCGAATTAATTCATGAAAATTTCCCCGAACCAGTGAATATTACAGAAAACGACACGATCTTCAGCTTTAAGGGAGAAACTATGTTATAATAGGCGATACAGTGTGTGTGTGTGTGTGTGTGTGGTAGGAGGAAGAGTATGTGGTATTAAAGAACAGTACGTGTGGTAGGAGGAACAGTGTGGTAGAAGGAACATTACGTGGTAGGAGGAACAGTATGTGATGGGAACATTATGCGGTAGGAACAACCAACATCATGTAGGAACAACATCACGTGGTAGGAACAAACATCAATGGTAGTAAATCTTAGGCATCAATTAGCCCTTCAACATCTACACATTCACTAACGCTAAATTATGTTATTTTTTACCAAGTGTTAAGGATATGTGTCGAGGCAACACCTAATACGATTATTAATAAAAAAAAATCGAACTTCCACGACTAATTTAAGCCCATTTGATTGCTTTAAACGCACACACACACACACACACACACACACACACACAGGGGGTGGCAACTCGCGTGCCTCACTATAATATGTCCTAGGTTCAATCTCCATCCAGGGACAAATGTGAGAAGGGTGTTTTTATCCAGCGGCTATTTCTCAGTTGACGTGACTATTTCTTAATTGACGGAATCTATTTCTCATTTAATGATGGGGTCATTTTTCAATTAACGGTATTATTTTCCAATTAATGTGGTTATTTTTTTTTCAATTGAAGGGCTATTTTACAATTGCTGTGGCTAATTTTCAATCTATGGAGATTATTTTACAGTTGACGGCTGGTTGACGGGGCTATTTTAAATTGACGTGCCTGTCTTTTGATTGACAAGACTATTTGTTCTTAATAACTTGGCTATACAGCACCTCAATTGGCGGAGACACGGAACTTTTTTTTAAATTAAAGGGGATGAGGGTCTATTTTTCAACTGAGGACGGGACTAGGGGCTATTTTTCAACTGAGGACGGGACTAGGGGCTATTTTTCAACTGAGGACGGGACTAGGGCTATTTTTCAACTGAGGACGGGACTAGGGGCTATTTTTCAACTGAGGACGGGACTAGGGGCTATTTTTCAACTGAGGACGGGACTAGGGGCTATTTTTCAACTGAGGACGGGACTAGGGGCTATTTTTCAACTGAGGACGGGACTAGGGCTATTTTTCAACTGAGGACGGGACTAGGGGCTATTTTTCAACTGAGGACGGGACTAGGGGCTATTTTTCAACTGAGGACGGGACTAGGGGCTATTTTTCCAATCACGGTCTAGTTTTTCATAAGAGATAATCACGAGATAGTAAATGAAGATCACACCTGGTCTGGTCTAGTCAGGTGTGTGAAGGATTAATAGTTAAGCCCCACGTTAAATCCGATTATACAGTTTATTACACTGGTCTACAAAAAAATTTTTTTTTTCTGGCATGAAACCTTTTAACTGTTTTTTACTAACTTTAAGGTGCTGAATCCAAATCTGATCTCAGATTTGCTCCATCACGTAACGTGCCAGAATTTACTGAGCTACCAGAGATTGAGGATATAGACCGGAATTCACCTGTTTCTACTGATGAAGATGAAGAGACTGATCTTTTCAAGCCATCTGGTGAAGATTGTGAAAAGCCAACGTTGTTTACTCAGTCAGAATTGAATGATCTGGTCAGAGATCTAAATTTGCCAATACAGTCTGCTGAATTGTTAGCTTCCAGGCTTCAAGAGAAACGACTCTAAAAACCTGGCACTTGGATAATTATCCAAGTCATGTCTGAATCCTGTGGGAAGCTACATCTGCGTCGCACCCGCACGTTTTGCATGTTTACACAAGTAGTCAGGTGTACAGTATATGTACAGTTAGATACAGTACACAGAGTGAGATATATCTACAATGTACAGTATATAGTTAAATGCATGCATACACATATACGTTCATTATCGGACATTTTATATATATATATATATCCTAATTAAAACTGCTAACCTTACCTAAACTAACATTAAAGCTGTTAATTGTGTTAACCTAACCTACCCTTACCTAACAACAGCCTAATTAAAACTTTGCTAACCTAGTCTAACCTAACTAACCTAACCTCACGCAATCTAACCGTAACTGCACCTAACCTACTCTAAACGTAACTTATCATAATCTAACTTACTAAGTTTAACCTAACCTACGCTTACTCCAATATACTCTTATCCCAACAAAAGATTAATCTAACCCAACCAAATCACCAGTTTTAAGTTTGAAAATTTAGATTCGGAATTTGTTGGGCATTACGAGTCGTTATTTATTTATTTTTTTAAGTTTGAAACAAAATTAATTAGTTATAACCTGAAATAAACATTAATAAAGGTATATTGTATTAGGTCTTACAATCCCTGGCGTTAAATGTGATACTTCTATGGTTGTGGTAACTGCATGAGGCTTCCATATACAGTAGGTTACCGACCCCTTAGAGGCTTAAAGGACTCTCCATCATACGTTACGTTGGTCTGATGAGTCTCACGTCTCTCTATTCACCTACTAAATTTCATAAGAGTTCATTTTAAATTAGAGGATTTTATATTATTTTTTTAAGACTACGTAAAACGAAAGACACCTGACCACCATTCTCGTTGTCCGCAAGATCTATCAAGAGGAAAATAATAATAACTCTCTTACAATATCGCTCACAGTTTATTTCACTTACTGTATAGATTAACCACCCTAACCTAACCTCATCTCCTCAAATAGTGTTTGGGTGGTTAATCGTTAGGTGAAATAAACTCGAGTGGATATTCTTCAGGTGATCCAGCAATTAGACTAGGATAACCAATAAAACGGCCATCAGATGCTTGTTTCCAATTACTGACCGATATACTGTAATTATGGCAATATGCTAATACCTACATTGTCACTGGCAGGAAGGGTTAGGTGTATCTCATATGTAACACGCGGAACCTGGCCACCCTGCAGTGGTTTATATAGCATATACAGTATATATATACAGCGAGTCACCCTTGCAACATCAGTGTGTGAGGGACTGTCGTGAATGAAAGTGCGTGGACGCTGCCGGGATGGATCACTTCAATACTCACCAACTCAGTTAGTACATTTAATGTTTTTTATTTATAAATTATTATTGTTATTTTATATGCATTCTATAACTCATGGAAGGTTTGTTCGTGTGAGGGCTGTATAGTGGAACGCCAAAAAGGAGTTTTCCTTTAATTTCTTCATTTTTGTTCTCAGGAGAATCTCTAACCTAACGTAGACTTAATTTAACTTAGCTTAACCTAGCCCAACCTAACCTAACTCAGTCTGGTTTTGGTAACTTTCCATCCTGAAAAATAAGACGATGTGATATGATTATGTATCGTGTTGACCGTTGGTCGAGTGTGTGTGTGTGTGTGTGCTGCAGATAGTGCAGGTATACAATGTCAGGGGCGGATCCAGGGGGTGGGGTCCCCCAAGTCCCCCAGCTAAGTGGGTTCGCTGTGCTCGCCATGTTCCCCCACCCACAACTTCTTGGACCCTCCCTTTTGATATTCCTGGACCCGCCCCTGAATGTACATAGATAGTGCAGATAGACAGTATATGTAAAAAAACAATGTACAGTCCCCTTCACTATAGTGCGTTTACATGGGCTTGTCAGATTTTGTGCAGTTGTGGCAGACCTGTTTGTTTAATTCAACAAAAGACATCTCGCAATAATAAACACTGGAATCAAATTAAAACAATATTAAAATAAATATCTTAAAGATAATAATTTGTGGAACGTTTATATGACGAGTATATGTAAGCGCACTAGTGAAGGGGACTGTACAGTACATGGACAAGTATACAGGGATAAACAGTGTACATATAGAAAGCGCAAGTATACACACAATACAAACAGTTGAGTTGACTGTGTGTGTGTGTGTGTGTAAGATAAGTCATATTATTATATCTTCTTAAAATTCTCATTAACATCTCACAAAGGAGTATTTATTTATTTATTTATTTTTATTTTATTAAGAATTTTTTGTTAAGTGATCTGAAAACTGAACATCACCTGAAGACGCAAACACTATTTACTGGTTATGTACTTACTGTAGTACTGTATATAAATTACTAAACCCTTTAAAATAGATGACTACCCTCGGAGTACAAAAATTATCGTACTCGAGTGAATAGATTATAATCTATTCACTCAGAGGTATCGTAAAAAATAATCTACTTTCGGTGATCATGAACTTTGACCTTGACCTGAAAATACAGTAAAATATATACAGTATACTCAATATTGTTCATCCATGAAGCTTGATCAGGTTTGCCCGAGATATACTTCATTATATTACTGAGGATGGTGCGGAAACAGGCAGACAATGTTACTCCGGCCCGCACACACACCTTTGTTGACGAGGTGATAAACTTGACACGGATGTTATTAGTTTGCTCTAGTTCAATGATGGCATCTAGGGTGTGTTGGGCGGCAGGGGGTTGAGAGGCATTTGAGCCTCGCTAGCGCAGAAGTGCTATTACATTCTCGCTTGCCCTATGATCTCCTCCTACAGGTCCCCAGTTGTTACCAACACCTCGTCCCTCCTTGACCAAATATCCCTCCTCCTATAGACGGGCCTGCCTCGCTTTGCCATAAACAGATGAATTGTATAAGGAATCCCCCTCTCCACAGTCATCTTCTCACTATGTATGTAACTTGCTAACAAAATCTAGGATTCTTCAGACACTTGCGTCCTCAATGCATAAGTCACGAAGGCAAGTATGATTAACTCCGCATGTTTCCCTGATAGGCGCTGTAAACACTTTTGCGCTTCGCCTTGCACAGGGATCATGTGTATAGTGACCGGTAGTATAAGGCACCATTCATCAGGGGAACGGCAGTGAGTTACTGTCGCTCTTTGTGAATGAAGTTGTTGGTCATGTCAGTAATTGAGAGTCATGCATACAGCTGTTGTTGGTGGTGTTGTTCTCTTGCTGGATCACCTGAAGATTAGGCACCCCAGCTTATTTCAACTGATGACTAAATATCCAAATTTTAACCTTACTCACGCGTAAGGGTGTTTAATTAGGTGATTTAAGCTGGAGCGCCTAATCTCCAGGTGATCCGTCTTAACAATCATAAGATCAGGTGGTAGACAGCATGGCGTGATAACGGGTCCTCCCACCCTGCCTGCCATCACGTAGTGTCTGTCCAGTTGTGAAGTAAACTACGGGATGTCTAAAAATAAAATACATGTACACACTGCCTTACAGATTGTCGTGGAGGTCGTGTGAGTGGTTGTATTAAAACAACATTATCCTCATTAGTGGAAGCCCTCGCACATCAACAAGTGAGAACAATGTTGCCGATGTACTGCAAACATTCACACGATCTCCACGACATTTTTAAGACGGTGCATATACATTTTTATGAGACACCCTGTACGTCTATCTCAATCACTGCATGACGCTTCACATCTCGTAATACAGTAATACTGTATCTAAGTCATGCACGACCCTCAAAAGCATATTATACATCCAAGAAAACTAATTCCGCTTTAAAGCTAGATCAATCAATCCTAATTAACTCGAGGTCGTGAGTTGGGGGGGGGTGGCCGGTGCTCCCCCCGGCGTTTCACCCAAGCAACCGCCACAATACCTCATACTCTGCCAAAACTCCCTCCCACTGAGTATACTTCCATTGGTACTTAGTCCGTTGCTGGTGAATTTTTTTTTATTTGTATCACGTGAAAATTCGCCGCCTCAATTTATTTAACAACCCTAAAGGTAACGAAACCTAACTTAATCTAACCTAATGCTAACCTAATTCAACCTAACCCGATATAATTTAACCTAACGCAAACCTAAACTAACCTAATTCAACCTAACCTAACGCTACCCTAACCCCTTCAGATGGCATGAGGTGATGATATAACCTCAGGGGGGTGTAATCTTCATGTGATCTTTATTTCATATTATCTTACTCCTGTTACACACAATCAACGGTAATCATGACAGTGTAGGTGTGTTTGCCCTCCCCCCCACCCCCCGACTCACGCCGTTCCTCACACAGATTACAGATAAGTAACCCTGGATAATGCTGCTCTCGTGTACTATTCTGAAGGTCAAGTGCCGGACACACCTTGTACAGGGGGTATACCTAATTGAAAAAAAATGATTTATGATATATACAGGTATGGTTGTGTTGTGACTGGCTGACTGACCAACTGTAGTTATTCCTGTGATCTATGTATTGGTAAATCATTATGTTGTTTATTGGTGAGATTCCCTCCTAGATACTGTAGTAAGTTCTCATTGACCTGCCTTACCATTACTAACGTTATCTTCCCTCCCCACCAACCAGTCAACTGTGTATACGCGAATATTATATATTACTGTATGTAAGCAATGACAAAGTTCGTATATGATAATAATAATAATAATAATAATAATAATAATAATAATAATAATAATAATGTGTCAACAGGCTGGGAGACAGTGGCGCCACGCAAACACCCTCGGAGCTTGAGTGATCTGGCTCTGTCTCAAGTGACCAACGCTCTCACCATCGCTCTCACCACCTCACCTCTCACTCCAATACCACAGGTGAGACACAGAAAGGGATAGGAGAGAACAGAGACTGTAGGAGATTGAGTAAAAGAGAGAGAGATGAATTTGTTAAGTGTTTGCGTTCTGGTTATAAAGGTGTAAAAGTGTGTTTTCTTACTGGGTGACAACCTGAGTTTAGGGTAACAAGAACAAGTAATGAGGATTTTTTTTTACGGGAATTAGCCCACCCGGGCACAGGTCACTGACCCACATCGGGGCCTGGGGGAGAAAATGTAATAATTATTCATCGTAAATAAAATTTATAATAATAAGTAAAATAAAATAATAATGATTACAATAATAATAACACTAATAATAATAATAATAATAATAATAATAATAATAATAATAATAATAAAGAACGATAAAGAAATAAAAAAAATCAATAGTGAGAAATGCAATATGTATGTTGTGTTGTCAAGTAAGAGAAACAATTGAGACCCTGCAATTGTGTGTAAATGAGGCAGAAAGTCAGATCAGAAACCTGGGACTTGGTCACAATTTTCGTGGTGCCATATGGCAGCAGGGTCTACCATTAGACAACACATTATGCTTCCAATATCTTCCTAGGCGGTAGTACCTCCCTGTTTGGTAGCTGCCTACTACCTACTAAGGAGTATGGCAGATAGTTGCGTTTATACAGTAGAAAGTAAAAAGCTCAATTATTGATTCTAACTCCTTTCGTTATCATATTACAAGGTTTAATCACACAGCTATTGGATTGACATGTTGTAACGTCCAGTTCAGAGTAGCGACATGTTCCCAGCAATAGTAACAGCATCCTGTACACGCTCTCATAAGCCCTCCTCGCCCGCCTGATCGCACAATGAAGCGATCTAGTGGAGCCCAGATTCTTTCTACTCCTACTGTATTTCAGTTTCATCACTTTTTCTTCAACCCCTAATAATCTTCTTTCACCTCATAACTCATGACTCCGCCGCCGCCGATCGCACAAGCGGCACGATACCTGTACAGTCACGCCAAGCTCCCGGATCGAATCACACGTGGAGGAAACATTTCTTGCCTTCATAGTAATTTATTTTAATTACCATATTCAGGGGATCGGATTTAGTAAGGTCATTTACCACTTAATATCGCGTCCATTAGGTGTATGACGATCAGCACAATATAATATTTCTTTGCATAACGACCAAATGTCCGATTCAATCTCTAATCAACCCAGCTTTCAACCACCCTTCTTGTTTACGTAACCACAATATTGACCTCATCAACCCAACCATCATCACATCAATTTCTTCTCCTTTCCTAAATTTCATGTTAATTTATCTTTATATTATATATATATATATATATATATATATATATATATATATATATATATATATATATATATATGACGACAAGTCAACTTTTTAAAGTCAGTATACAGGCTGTAGGGGGTGGAGCCTGGAGGGAAGGCTGCGTGTCTGGCCTGGTCACTTGGGGATTATAAATTCCAAGGATACGTAAGTCACAATATTAGCTCTATATTAATGAAGCAGATTATCAATGACAAGATATTGATGGTCACTGTAATTGAACTTCGTATCCAACTTAATTTAAATATTTATAAGGATATACCTGACGTAAAGGTGATATGTATAATTTGGACCCAACAGGCGGTTGGCGTTTAGCTCAACTGACATACACTGAGCGACCTCCACAGAAAACAAAATTGAAGACAAAACTATACGAGGGAAATGTAAAGTAGATTAATGGAATAAAATATAAATAAACCTGGTATACATAAATTGCAGAGGTGAAGGACCCAGACTTAACCTTGGGTGGTGAGCTTCTCTGTTGTATCAGAGCGCGCCAGTGTAGGTGAGGTGTGGGGACAGTACCCCTCCATACACACTACTATATCTCATACTTGTTATTCATACAGTGCTGGTGTTGTCATCAGTGTTTCAGTTTCTTTATATCCTCATGTGTATGTGTTGCAGGAGCTGAGTGAGGTGTGTGTGGCAGTGAACACCATGTTGCCGCTAGAGCTGAGGACGGCAGTGGTGCAGGAGGTGGTGGAGACACAGGTCATTCACGATCACATCACCCTCGTCAGAACACTCCTCCTACACCTTCAGGTGGACGTGCAGCACCTCTCCCTCGTCACCGACAGCACGGGTCCCTGGCTACACCTCGGCCAAGACTACAGCACACACTTACTCGAACAATTAGATCCAACAACCAAGTTCAATCTCAACTCTCTCCACCTGGACGGGGTAACTATGGCGCCCGGAGTCCTTGCTGAGATAATTCACCGTTCTCCTCATCTAAAATCCATCCATGTTGCTGGTGATGAGACAGCTTCAGAAGTTCTATCTTACATTAAGAAGAATCCCCGGGGGCTACACTCGCTGCACCTCGACAATTGTAACGTGACAGACCTGGACGTGGTGCACGCCTTAGTCAAGAGTTACAAGGACGCCAACTCGTGGCTGGACATCGGTGGTGGTGATGACAACCTGGACACATCCTGCCCTCCACTGTGTCACTTGATAATCCAGTCTCCGCTGGTTACCCTGTGTGGTGCTGTGGTGCTGTTACACTCACTGCGTAACCTCCGCAACTTGCAGTACAGTTACTGGAATTCCTCACTGTGTAATCTTTTTGTGTACTTGAAGCAACAGTCATCAAGCGCTGCACCTTTTAGCCTCACGTCCCTCTCTCTATGGCAGGTGACTGACAGGGCTCTCGAGACCCTGAGCCTGTGTCCTTATCTGCAGCACCTCATGATGGAGTGTACTGACCCCTCCCTTACCTCCATGTCTACCCTCACTCACCTCTCACATCTCACTTCCCTCACTCTCAGACTCGTCCCCGAGAATCTAATCGTCGCTGCCGTCCAAGCTATCGGCAAGAACCTCCTCATGTTAGAAGTCGAATTCGAAGAATGTGCTCGGACCTCAGTGTCGTGGGAGACTGTGGAGGAGATTCAGACCCATTGTTCGAGGCTGCAGCGACTAGAGTTACACCATGTCATCATCACCGCCGACCCGAGCAACTTCTTGTTTCTTCCTTCTCGCCCGAGATCCATATTTACAGAACTGGCGCAGATGAACCTCTCCGGCGTAGTGATCCAGCCCGTCCTCTTGGGTCGGCTGCTGTGCGACAACGTAGCGCTGGAAACTCTGGTGCTGGATGTAAATCATGATGCTCTCACCGACGCGTGTCTGGCTACGCTCTTGAAGAACAACAAGTTAAGCTTCCTGAACTACATCTACCTGAGTGGCGGGTTGTTGTCTGTGTCGACCATCAACTCGCTGCTCTCCCTGCCGGGGCTGGTCAGACTATCGCTCCACCTACCACGTTTCCCCTTCATCCCAGCGCCCACCTTCAGATGCCTGCAGTACCGCCTCCTAAAGGGAAACTATCAGTGCATCCTCGAGAACGCAACTAAGAGTGATTGATTTTGATGTCTCGTTTAGCGTTCATAATAACATTTTTGTCACCAAGAAAGGGGTCTGTTGTTTTCCAACCACTTGCTTTTTTATACACAACACCACATCTTTCTTACGCTGAGGAAGCCACGAACGTCTCTCGCTGTCCGATACATAAATCGAGAACGGAAAGAGCTATCACTTAACACTTGGTTCACACAATCGCCATAACAACCCTAACTATCATTATGTTGTAGTGTTAGAGTAATATCAAGGTCACAGCTTTAAAAACTTTCCAACTGAAATGTTTTGACACCTCGAGTGCAGTCCAGCTTACTTTTCTGTTGTGACCCAGCCTGACCCAAGAGAGTTCCCCCAATAAGGTCAGCTGGTTACCACAGGAAGGCAGACACCCAGGTTAGGGCAGCTCCACACGGGAATCAATAACTGGGCCACAAAATACAGATATAAGTTGTACAAACAGTGACGAATTGTTAATCTTTAAAAAGATATCTTGTAGGTGAGCCTCCACAGTACACAACGTTATGTACAGAAGGACTGTCACTCCTACGGGATATACAAACTGCGGCACTTATAGTTTAAGCCTAACCTAACCCACCCTAACCTAACCTGAACTTCCCCTAACTTAATCTAATCCAACCAAACCTTAACCTATCCCAACCTTTACTTAATTAGATATCTGGCTTAATCTAACCTAACGTAACTCAGGCTGCAGTTACTTAACAGCCATTTGGTTCATTAATTGGACAACAGAAAATTAAAATGGAATGTTTACATCCACCTCCTAAACACGTAAATTTTATACGTAGTGGGAAAATTATCCTCATACTGCTTGAAGGACGAGGTCATATATCTATTTTTTTTTAACAAAGAACTCAACAAAATGTGCTGTTAAACTTTGGCAAAGAATACAAACACGTATGCAGTACTTACCATTCATCGAAGAACTTCCTCTAGAAATATGTCAGGTGCTGAATTGGCAAGTGGGGCCCCAAACCCAGCCAGTCATGTCTTAAACCACAAATATGATAGGGGTAGCTTGTGACCATTTGGGACCGATGCTCTTTGACCTGTCTCGATCTGCTTGCTGTCACATCCAAGCCATTGTCGTGCGAGGACTGATTGCTAACATGTCCATTGTTGGCATATAGAATCACAAACTGTATATATATTTATTCATATCTCCATACCTTTCCGTGAATAAATAAGTACTATAACTATTTTTACACAAATTTTCCCACTTATTTTACGTTTGTCAAGTGAAATACACAATGGAGACGTCTACGTCGAGGTAACGAGCTATTTTTATTAAACATTAAATCACTGTGAAATATTGGATAGGATTCTCAAATATAAATTTCTAATTTTTCTGTGCATTGGGATGAGTCAATGAATTTGGAGTAAAGATATTCGCAGTTTTACGTTTTTCATTCCCTTTTACGGACATAGCCTCTGGCCCGAACCATTTTACTAATCCTAAACTAAATATTTGCTAACCTACCTGTGACTTAGCTAATAAAACCTACCCCTAGCTAACCAACTTATCCACCCCTAACCCTACCCAAAATCGGGATTTTGCTTAGATAATCGAATCCAGGTCCAGATCACAACAATTAATTTCTGCCCAGTTTTGTCGTCATTAAGTTACCTAGTTAAACTTGAAAATATTTAAGTACAAACAATTCATATCCCATACCTAAAGTGTGCTCACAAAAATTCGCGCCTTCAAGTTTAGTGAACACCTGTCTACGAAATGTGTATGGCAAACACCAATACTCCAGCCTCTATACGGATTATATTAAACAATGGGGTGGTGATAAATGTTCCCTTATAATTATGGTCTCCACTGTACAATACTTCATTTAATTGAATATTGAACATTAAACTGCCCATGTCTATTTTTTGTTTTTGTATACCGAGTATATGTATTTAAGGCTACTATGTAACTGTATATTTGTTAAATATTTGGAAATAAAGTTAATAACCTCATTAACTAATCGATTATTACCAGCTGTAGCCTGTATCCCCCCCACCTCGTAAATAGGGTATTACAGTTTCACCCCCAATTGGATTAGAGTAGTAAAAACATCTGGAACAGCCTGCCCGAGGTAGTTGTGACTTCACCAACCATAAATGCTCTCAAAAATAGATTGGTTAAGTCATAGGGGAGACTTACAATACTATGTGACTATCACAAAGCAAACAGGGAGGTACTACCACCTGGGAAGATATTGGAAGCATAATGTGGTGTCTAATGGTAGACCCTGCTGCGACGATGGCACCACCCGTCTTTCTGCCTCATTTACACACAATTGCAGGGTCTCAATTGTTTCTCTTACTATTGACAACACAACATACATACTGTCGTTTCTCACTATTGATTGATTTGGGTCGGTGACCTTTGCCCGGGTGAGCTAATCCCAGAGTATTTAAAAAAAAAAAATCCTTAGATCAGTTGGAAATTTACCTCAAGTACAATATAGCCACTTAACTTTACAAAAGGCTCTAGCAATCAACAGATTGATTGCCGAGAGCTGTTCCTCGTACGATAATCCCAACAGCCCTTTAAACTGTAAACATGTAATCGTAATATGTAGTCACGATGAACACTTATATTGACGCAGTCAACTACCAGAATAAAAACACTTTCTCCAAACATCTACCGTTGGCCCGACGGACTAGCAAGCAGCAGGGTTTCTAGTTACGAGAAATGGACAACGATTTGGTGTGGGATCTTTGCTGGCCGGATTAGTGCTGAAATAAGCTTCATATAATTTCTAGTGAAAATTAAAATAGGTCAGGAAACAACGTAAAATGTAACAAACGGCTCAGATTTCTATCTATCCATCAGTTTAAAGTACTGTACTATCATTCACGGCCTTGACCAGCCAGCCACCGCCGCCACCACGTTTAAATAAACTTCATGACGCACTCACGTCTTCTCTTCAGCTGTTTAACTGTAGCACAAGCCTGCAAAGCCACAACTGTATTAATGATATCCATGGAGTACCTCGTCTAGACCGTTTTCTTTCCCTTGCTCAGAAGCGCGAACAAAACATCCGTGCGATACAGTACGTGTGTTTTACTGGCCGGACCGTGTTGACCAAAACGTTTGGAGGGTAAGTGACTACTAGTGAACCGCCACCTTTACTCTCCTTAAAAACCCAGCAAAATACTGTACTCGGATTCTATAAGGCCTTGCACGATGGCGTTTCTGCAGACCGTAGACACTCGACATTAAGATTTTCCTTTGTACAATAGACAACGATTATACCAGGTTATACTGTATTCACTAGCTATAAAACCATAAGTGAAATGTTCTATTGTACAAGTCACTTCACTTGCCATGACCCATTCCCACAGCTTCATGCATGTTGACATTGATCACGGACAGCTTTCCAACATTCTACAACTCGCCCTTCCACTATCCATCTGTTGTATATTAAACATCTCAGACCCTAACTGCCTTTTATTAAACCGGAGTACTCATATCGGCTGCCTGACATTGGCCAGCTATCCACCCTTACATTATCGTGCAGATCCAAATTTACTTACAAAAGTATCCAGCATTTAAATAACCAATGTTTAAACCACTTTCATAGCTTGTGCCTCTTGCCTTCTTTCCATATATACGTACTTATTGCATGTCTTAAAATTCAGTTCCAAAGATATGCATTTCATCCAACACCCACCGTCACTTTATATTCAGTATCCTCTGCAAGCACATTACGTGTCATCACCTGTGACCCCCCCCCACCCCAAAATGGTTTGACTAAAACTCAAGTGGCAGCAAGCTGGGCACAATACTATCACGAGTAACAGCCCTGAATAACTTATCCACTATAATGCTATGTAGCAAGTTCGACCATTACTTGTCCTAAACTTTGTATATTACTAGGAATTGCAATTTAATAAGTCAATTTAAATTCTATACTCGACCATGTCTATACAAATATATGCATTCATACATTTCATGACTGCCCCTTGCCAATTCAGATTCTAGCACCATACTGTTAATAGCTCACATTCCCTCCACTTCCTGGTACTGTACTGTAATATTAAATTTCAATGTTACTCCCAACCCCCGAAAAATTTGTCTTACTAATTAAGGGGTGATCAAGAAAACAAAAAGGTTAATAAATTTAAATATAATTAACGTAGAAAAATATTTTGCTAAAAAATTATCACAGGTTGTTGTATGGCAGCAGTGACTAGCACTGTGCCTATCATCTTTGGTGTCTTGTTGTGGCGACAGCAGACCTGGGGAGACAACGCCTTAATTAGTTTCCAGGTAACCATGCATAAGGAACATTAATCAACAACTTACTTTTTTAGATATAATTTTGTAATATAACACAAAACAGTTGTAGCATTGAAGTACAAAAGCTGAAGAGTGCACTCACACTAAGCGTGACCTAGCACCACTACACAATGTGCTAACCACTCAAAATGACTCAGTGTACCCAAACCCTATTACTGTAATACATTACTGCCTACACCACAAAACTGAACACGTGACCTACCTGAGGGTAACACCTAGACAGTTCCTACGACTCACTGCCTAGTTTTCATCTCCACCTCACAGTATATGATTCACAGGATGTCAGAATACACCATTCTTAGGATTAATTTATTTGTAAAATGAAAATACATTGCTGCACACATATTACAAAGAACTGACTATGCTTTGGTTAAATTCAGTAATATGATAATCATTTTATACTACACAGTATCCTAAATATATAAAATGCAAGCACAAAATATTTTTTTCAAAAAATGTTCATTGTTTCTCCTAGCACAGGAGGCAAGTGGCTAGTCCATGCGACGAATGGAATGTTTCTCTTGCACTGGCTCTTGGGTGTGTCGAGGAGCCTGGCTGCCTCCCTATGACCCTAGCTCAGCTTGCCTGCCTCAGTCCTAGCATATCCTGACTGTCTGGGGCCCTGACTCAAGCCCTGCCTGTCTGCCTGCCTGCATGGCTAACCTGCTATGTACCTAGTGTGTGGTGGAAAATCATAAATTAGTCAACATTAACTGCAAGGTTAGTAGTCATCAATATTTATTAAAGCACTCAAAATTCATTTTAAAAGTACCATTATTTCATCATTTATTTAAGACAAGACAGGACCCAATAAAGAAAATTGCCAACTTCAGTGAAATCTAAAAAAAAAAAAATAAATAAAATAAATGCCCGAATACGTACCAAAAATCCACCAGTCTTAATATCGTCTGTTGGGCCCTTGGTTCATGCTAACGGCGCCACCACCACCTCCGCCACCACCACTTCCGCCGCCATAGTTGTTGGGACCGCCACTGTTACCTGCATTATTGTAGTCGCCTGTTAGTAGGGGGGTGGAAACCTTTACTGTAAAATAATCCCTTCTATCACTACCTCAACACCTTGCATTTGATCAACTAGCTGTCCTAAGTTTTTAGATTCAAATGGTATCAAACTCCGTACAGGTCTACTACATATACACAAAGAAAAAAATACATATATACATATTTTATGGTGGAAACCTGATGGATCGCGAGATTATTCCTAGTATTACCAAAATGGTCGAGATTGTGCTTCTGCATAAACTATGTTTGACAGCTGTCTGTCCTTCCTCAATTTTAACCATAAAAATTTCCTCAAGATAGTGTAATTACAAGTTTGCCCAAACTGCAGAATGTTATTCATCCGTAGTGTGCATGTTTACATATGCCATTGGCTCGATCACAACCCAGACAAAGTTAACAAGCCTGCAATATTCTTGTAAGGTGGTTTAATCTTAGCAATAACTAATCCACAAATGAACTACTATTCCAAAGCTAATGTAGAAAGACAAAATATTCTCTCATCCCCACTTTAATTTGTTGAATATACATTTGTAAAATAATTAACTCCTAAAAATATAATTTCATCTACCGCAATCTTTGATGCTAAAGCATTCATATTAGCTTTTATGGGAAACCAAATTGCTTTCACTTCAAACTATTTTTCAAACATTTTCTCAAAAATATTCTGGGAGATTCACACGATTTTTTTTCAAGTCATTTTCTATCGAAACGTAATAAAATGGCATACCGGAAAAATCCTAGTGGAAAGGAAAACAGCGAAGTTCTTGTAAGCGGTCTCAGATGGTGACCAATGCATCTGCAATATGCTCCATTTACACCAACTTTTCATAGTCAATACATTTCATTGTAAAAAAATCACAGGGCAATGTTTATCCACTTCTCACTCTTCACCTTTTAATGCCGAGAAGATATACACAATAAAAAAAAAAAGGGCAACCGATCACGAATTAGAAAACAATACATACATTTAAGGCACAACAAATGCCTAGAACTAAGTCACAGACATTCATTGACCTCATTCTTTTGGTGAAAATGTAATTATGTACTATCTAGTTAACTAGAGCTAAATCTTCAGTTTAAGCTAAAATGCACAAACGCATTCTAAATTATCAGCAATGAGAACATTTACACGAAGTCCATCTAATAACCTATATACTCAAATTAACGCTTCACTTTCACCCATTGTAAAACACACAAGTGCTAACCTTTCAGACATGCCCAACTTTACTCACCAGTGCTCTGTGTGTGTGTGACCAGTGTTGTTTGTGTGTGTGACCAGTGTTGTTTGTTTGTGTGTGTGTGTGTGTGTGTGTGTGTATGCTCATTCTTGCAGGTATGAGGATAAAAATTTACATGGAAACATTCTTTCACATTCAAACCTAAAACACTATCATAACAAATAGATTAGTAATAATTTATACGGATTTAAATATTTCCACAAAAAACTTGGATACCATGCAACTGCATATATTACAGTGCATGGTGAACTACAAGAACAATGAAAGTTTACACAATTACTTACACTAGAGGTAACCCAATTTAGTGAATATATTGTCAAATGAGGCAAGAAAACCTTGTTCTCGGCCAAGCCTGTCTAACAATCGAGTATCAGGACTATGAAAATAAATGTCATATCCCCTAAACACCCCCCCCGTACTCGTGAAAATGCCAGCTGATTGCATGTTTTCTAGGTGCAAGTATCACCAGTACAATAAAAAAGCACTGGATTAACCACCAGATGTGTTACCAGCAATGTATCGAAACAAATGCGCACACATTTAGTGAAAAATTTTTTTTGCTTAGAATCAAAAGTAAAAACAGACTATCTCCGAAACTTGAAGAACAATAAATGCTGTAACAAATCATAAAGCCAAGTGTGAGGTAAAAACCTCAATTAAGCCAAATTAGCCAGCATGGATAAACTATTGCTTGCCTCCAATTGAGTCGCTGATCTACCAGCCAGCAGTCCCATGTTTCTAAAGATTCGTAATAATGGCTATTTTTAAAACAACTTTAACATAATTTTACTTTAAATACACAACCATTTGCAGACACTCATTAGTGCATCCCACACCAGTGACTAATTGCAGGTCTGCCAAAGTCAACATATATATATATATATATATACAAGCTCCTGGAGTAAACGTGTCTTCCCTGAAACCCAAAATTCATACCCGTAAACCCAAAGTAGTAGACAAATTTTTGTTGATATAGAATTCTGATTCACAAGGTTGAATCTCAGGGTTCATGGTTTAAGAGAGCCAAATTGATTGTACACGGAATTTTGCAATAACCTATTTCCTTTTTTGTTAACCTGTCCCAAACATGTTGTATCCCTGATACTCGAGTGCATTGACAATTTGCATACAAAATCTAGTTTTAAACTTTTTTTTTTTAATCCTTTAGTGTAGGAATGTGTGAACCTCTTAAACACCCACAGAAGTAGGCCAATGAAGAGGGGAATTATGGCTGCTACAGGATTATTGCTACTAAGCTCAGAAGCTGCCAGCCAACAAAATAAAGTATAGTATTTAATTACTGATGCATGTAAAAATTTACTCATTTGCCTATAAATGTTTTTATTCCATCTTATTTCCCGAGGTCTTAAGTCAAAATTTTCCCTTTTCTTTTTTTTTCCAAGTCATGACACCTTGTAGTACAGAACACCCAGTGGATACAAGGTGGGGTGGCAGCTGATTGGCAATCTCTTTCTCGAGCATCACTCCTGCACTTGCTCTCCCTCATGCACTCACTCAGGGCTTCCCCTTGTGACTGGCGCTCCCCCACTCCACGTTCCTGCTGTCGTTGTCACTTGTTGCTCTGCTCCCCGTCGTAGCTCGTGTTGCCTCCAGCTATGCCATGATAAAAGAAATTAATGTCCCCAATGAAATTGCCACGGTGTAAATACTCGCGATCCATCAGGTAGCAAGACATGTGAAAGCAAGAGTAATGGAGAGTGAATATTGATACGGGATGTAAATCAGCTGCGGTTTACAGACTTGGCTCTAGTGGGCATTACGGAAATAGGGTTACAAATGTTAGGGGACAAGTTTGTAAGTGTGTACAGTACTAGTATTCTGGAAATTAAAATGAGTGGTGTCTGCAGTTTGCCAGTTTTAACAAGTCGATGAAAAGTAAACAAGTTGAGGGAAAGAAACACTAACAAGTTGGACTGAGAAGAGTTTGAGGAAACCGATTTGTCGGGTCAAGAGTATGCAAGGAGGGGAGCTTCTTTTAAAGAATTTAGATACAAAATCAACACTCACACCAAAAAGTACCTTTGTGATTTTGTATGAATGTGACAATGGATAATGTACAGTATTTTGACAACCCTATCAAGACCAGAATTATGTTCCTTCATTTTGAAGTTTACTGGACCTGAAGTGTTTTTCTTCATTTTGAAATTCACTGGACCTATCACTAAAGATACCGTTTGTAGCGAGTGTACAAAGTGCAGATGATGGTCTGCTCAAATGGTATGGACATGAAAGAAAGGGGGGTGAGGCTGGTTGAGTGTCTAGTCAACAGTGGATGGTAAGAATAGAAGATCAAAGTCATGGAAGCACATGAAATGAGATAGACATCCAGGAGGAAGGCAGCCAGCAGTGTATAGTGATTATAGGGAGGAAGAACTGCTGCTCAAAGAGAATGAAGCAACATGGTAAACTACAATTGGAGTTGAACATCTTTTACTGCAATATGACAATTGAAGAATACTATTTTCCCTTGTTCCCAGCAACCCTGCATTAACCCTTAAATGGCAGCCAAGGTTTCCATAATTGGACCTTTCTGTACAAAAAATTCAATTGGTGGAACAGGAAACATCATCGGATGTTTGCCATTATACCTACAATTGACATGTACTGTACTTATGTTGGCCACTGTTTAAGGGTCAAGTAGGAAAAGCCCAACTTAGTAAAAAAAAATAAAATAAAATAAAAAACTAATAATTTCTTACCAGCACTGTACGGGGTTGATCGGTTTGTCTGACCATATCCTTGATTCCTCATAGGTCCACCTCCATAGCTTTGACCATAGTTGTTACCAAAGTCACTGGGGCCCTGGCCCCAATTGTTTGGTGTGCCACCATAGTTGCTGGCCTGAGGATTCCAGCCTTGGTTACTCTGGTTGTTCCATCCCTGGTTGTTTGGTGGTCCACCCTGCCACGGCCCTTGGTTACCATATCCACCCTGGTTGTAGCCACCTGGCCCTCCCTGGTTGGGTGTGCCGTAGTTGCCCTGATTCCCCCAGCCGCTTCGGTTATCTGATGATACAGTACCTTTTTTTTTTCCACGATACAGAAAAAAATAAATAAATCAGACTTTACAAGAAATTTTCAGCTTTAATTACAGCAAATGTAGTTAATGGGCAGTAACATTTAACAGTAAATCGTCCCACACTTAGCCTTACCTTGCCAACCACCACCACCTTGATTGTTCCCCCAATCATTATTCCTGTTGCCGGCCCATGGACCATTTCCTCCGCCACGTCCCATGCCGCCCATTCCACCCATGCGACCGCGCTGCTGCATCTGAATCTCATTCTTACTCAGAGCCTTTTTCACATCTACCCGTTTTCCTTTTAATTGGATGTTCTTGTGTACTGTAAATACAAATAGATTGAGGATAAAACCAAAAGGACTCGGTGTAGAATTTAGCCCCAACTTAAAAGGATATGGAATTTAGCAGAATTTAGTTTAAAATTAAGTGGTTAGCAGGTACACTTGCATAGTGTGAAGAGCAGAGAGGACAAGACAAATCGTATCACTCGGAGATAAAAATACACCAGCCACCAAAATCTCACTACATTGGTTAGTGGCTTCAATACACAACATTTTCAGGCCAGAACATTGAGAAGATAAATCCCCCCCTCCCCCACACACAAAATAAAGATAAAGTTCTACAAAATCAAAGCATAATCCTCATCGAATTGTTTAATGTCTAGGAAAACAAAATACCCAACACCCTAAAAAAATCAACATGCATGCACAATACTCAAATAACCCTCAACTCTCTGAACTGGGAAGCTATGTTAACTCACGGCACTCACAGCAAGCCTTATCAACGGCATCATAATCCTCAAACTCCACAAAGGCAAATCCTCTCTTCTTTTGAGATTCTTTCTCTGTAGGAATGCTGACAGACACTACTTCACCAAACTGACTGAATGTGTCACGCAAGTCCTGATGGGGAAAAATAAAATTACAATTAAAAACCCCCAAATGATTCAATTCTTTCCACTCGCAGCTTAAAAATCTTAAATTGCAAAAACGGTTCTAAAAAATGCCATTAAATGTTTAGTTCTACAAAATTATGAACCAACTTACATCTTCATCTACATCATCCTTGATACCACCAACAAACAACTTCTTTACTGTTACACCAGATTCTGGCTTCCCAATTTCGTCACGGGGAACTGCACGCTTTGTGTCAACAGAGCGACCGTCAATCTGAAAAGAAATAAGGTCCGCTAATTCTAAAACTACCACAGAAACATCTCTTATTTCCCAATGGTTCCAATAAAAGATTTTCATAATCAAGCAAATCCATCAAACTATTCACAATCCAGTACTTCTAACCCTTACCTTGTGTGGCCTGTTCTTCTGTGCCTCATCTACCATGTATGCCTGAGAGAAGGCAACGAAGCCAAAGCCCCGGGACCTCTTGGTCTTGGGGTCCTTCATCACAACAACATCAACAATCTCGCCATACTGCTCAAAGTATGCCTTCAGGCTGTCGTCGGTGGTGCGGTAATCAAGGCCACCGATGAACAGCTTTCGCATCTGCTCCGGCTCGGAGTGTTCCTGCTAATACAAACAGATCTTAGTTAAAATGCAATTGATTTGATATATAGGAGCTACATTTAAACAATACCAAAGTTCACATTTCATTTTACCAAATTACCCTAAACAACCTTAAACCCACATGACGTCGAGTGCTTTAATCTAGTTTATTCAGCCCTACTAGTCTAATAGAGATCAAGATTGGGCACCTTTGTTTATTTCACCAAATAAGCACCAATGGTAGTTACAGAAATGTGTTCCTACACTCCTCAGTAACCTGTCTCCCCAAACAGCAATATCAGAGTACTGTTGTAGTATCTATGAAAAATGGGTTTTGGTAGTATAACAAGACATGATTGGCAATAGGTTTGCTATAGGCCAAAAAAAAAATTGGCCATGTGGAGACAGGTTACCACAGGGGGTGTAGGATCATTTCCATAAATACCTGGAGGGGTTTAGGTTTGTGTTACATTGGGTAGGTGAAAGCAGCTGGGGTGGCTATTCATGTGAATGTAAATACTGCAACAGTGTGGCTGGAATAAAGATATTTTAATCCTAAGGGAACCACCTAGGAATGCCTGTAAAAAAAAAATTATACACACACACACATATATATATATATATATATATATATATATATATATATATATATATATATATATATATATATATATTATAAAATTACACAATAATGAGAACAAAAAGATGGATAAATTGTTGAGATGGTAGATGATAGTCAAATCACTAACATTGTGAAAACAAAACAATGATCAGTGATTGTATCTATACCATGAGTTAAGCTCTGGTAAAAATTCTAACTTTCTTCTTTAACCACAATACCCAAACATTGCATATGTACAGTAGCTAAAATTGTGTGCATACTTTGTGGGAAGCAATACGAGACCATGGACGATAAATTTTGGTACAAGGGCAGTCACTTATCGAACTTAAAATTTTGAAGCATATCGGCCCCCACCTGCACAGATAATAGTTTTAGCTACTGTGTCTTTTAAATGCAGACTGTTAGACTTGAATTTAAAACCCACAATTAAATCTTAAATAATTTAATCTCAAGTTAAGATCATACACTGGAATAGATAGTTAAAAGGCAGGGGTACTTGTAGATAGAAGCAGCTTAAAAATAAATTATGTACAGAATACACAGGACTAGGTGCAGAAGCTGGCTTACAATCCATTTTAGAGCTGCCACCCACTCGAGTACAGTAAAACCCCAATACCCATGAATTCGCTTTTCCCGACCACCCCTCTTCACCAAATAGTTCCCAAACAGAAAAACCAGCACCACTCCCAGACTTTTAATGTCTAGTACATACTGTACAGTATTACCTTTAACAGATACTCGAAGGTTTTATGAAATGGGCTAAAATGTAGCGTATCTTCTAAATATTGAAGTAAAAATACCGTGAAAAGAATCTTCACTATAATGTAGCTGTGTAAGCAGACAGTTTCCTATGATAAGCCTCCATGGCGATTCAACATGATTAATATATAATCGTATAAAATTTATTTGACTAAAAGGGATAAGCAGTTTTGGATGGTATTCACTTGGAATGTGTTCCCCTCAGAGCTATTGGCAAGTCAGTTTACAACAGGGTCATTACCGTAAAACACAGAATATCATTTGGTATGGATATACCTTCCCAACATTATTACCTTTAAGTGATAAATTTTGCCACAACTTGGCAACTTTTACACAACTGATTAATGAATAAACGAGGAAATATGCAGATGCATAATACACTAAAACATTATTTGGGTGCTGATAAATAGGTAACATTGTTTATCAAGTGATATAAATACACTATAGAGTACTATTCAGTGCTGAAGATATGTGCATGCAGTGAAGCTAGGCTGATCAGCTCTTTGCCCTGCATAACACACTACCACTGACTAGGTGTTCAGAGCAGGCCACTTTTGGTGTGCATTAAAATTTTTTTTTGTTTATCTATCCAAAGTTACGAGCTAAAAAAATAAGCATAACGTACTGTAGGTCACAGCTTAACAAGGATTTTTAACCGTAATTATTTTCCATATTAAGACAGTTTGTACCGGTGTGTATGTGTATACAGTATGTGTACATATACATGCAGGAAGGAATGGAATTAAATGATAAAAATCAGAATGGTCGTATACGCTGATGAACTGGATATAGTAAGTGGGCGACCTGTGGTGTAGTGGTCAGCATCCTCACCTCGCAAGCGAGTAGACCCGAGTTTGATCCTCCGGGAGGGTGAAACTATGGGCAAGTTTCTTTAGGCCATTTGCCTCTGTCTACCCAGCAGTAATTGGGAACCTGGATGTTAATTGATTTGCGGGTGGTATTCCAGGGTAATGGTTAGCCAGTGCAGTTGGCGCATTGTCCAGTCTTCTCTGACTATTCTGCGAGTCATGCAGTGAAAGCTTTTACACCTTCACAAGTCACACCCAATAGGTCCATAGGGAGGCCATACTCGATTTCGAGGGGCTTCCATTATAATAAGTAACAACACCCAAGTAGACACGATGGCAACAATCTTTAAGGAAATAGCAAATTCAACAGGACTCAAGGTAATGTGGATAAGACCAAAAGAATGATCATGAAAAGAAACCAAAGGCAAAACCCACACCCTATCAGTATAAGTGGAATGAATACTTAAAATTGAGTCCTTTAAATACCTTGGATCACTTCTGACATAATGCAAGGTTGAAGAAATTATGTAAAACCAATGTAAATTATAGCCAGGATTGGAGCCAGTAATATATGCTACTGCAGTCTTCTGGGCACACTAAACGAAGATCCGTATCAAGCACAAAGCTGAGAATTTACAACCCGATAATACGCCGTTATTTCTTGCTGTTAATCAAGGAATACATTTCTGCAAATTTGTGAGCCTCATTTTTTATATCATTATCCATTTGGCAGCATTCTATCACTACTCTGAACCAATTGTGTAAATTTTTATATGCAACCATTCTAGCCACCGGAGAAGTGCAGTCATCAACATGCCGCTTCCGTGGTCTAATTCTGGTAATGTACGTTGTATTCTGCAGTACTACACAATGCCTGTGCTACCATCTAAAAATTTTTAATACTATTTATCTTGGTTACGAGTTGACCCTAACCCGTGAGGTATTATCCATTTGGAAGTGACTGGCAGCATTTAGTATTTATTTTGCCGTGAGCCAATTGTTGTATACTTAGCCAACCAAAGTGCGTTCATGGCAAAACAGCGTTAGTAGGAATTATTCAGGTTTAAATTAGAAATTTTCTTTTAGTACAGAAATATATACAGCATGCCCATATATATGTAGTGAACAGAGGGTATAAAGGAAAAGGGAAATTGAGGGGTAAAACATTTTTAATCCTCATGTCACTATCACCCAAAGAAAACCTGGAAAAACTAACAATCGAACAATGCATTCTGGTGTTAGCCATTTGCTCCAGGATTACCAATTATTGTTAAATTTTCCTTTAAAAATCTATGTGGCCATAATATTAGGCAATGGAGTCAACAGTGGGCAATTGCTGCATGGCCAGTGGGTATGTTATGTATCTAGTGGTACTCTAGATTTTCCCAGCAGCTATTCTCCGACCTCGCTAGAAGTCGGTGCAAATCATCCACCTAAAATCTTTGTAATGCAAAATACTCGAGCATGGAGTTATTTTTTTTCCAAGAAAACAATATCACAACCATGCAGACTGTTGGTCAGGTAACTGCAATATTACAGCCAGAGCAACTTTGCAATTTTTTGGTAATAATAATTGTTGCCCCTCGTAACGGGGATGGCCACCTAGGCGTGGATTTAAGGTGGAGAAGTTGTCGCCAAGACAACAATCACACCCAAAGTTAACATGCTGCATTACCCAGGAATACGATCCATTAATTGATTAACATCCAGGTTCCCAATCACTGCTGGGTACAGGCAAATGGCACAAAGAAACTCGCCCGTAGTTTCATCCTGACCCGGGAATCAAACTCCGGTCCGCTCATTGCGAGGCGAGAACGCTGACCATTACACCACAGGTCGTTGCAAATTTTAATGTGCCATAAGCACCATACCAAAGTCTTGAATAGCCAAAAGGGGAATGTTTTTACTGCAGAAATGCAGACTACAAACACCTTGTGCAGATAAACCATATACACTAAACAATTTTTAAATACAATTAGTGATAAACAGAAGTAACTTGATATTTGATGTAACTTGAGCACCTATGCTGACTAATGTTTAACGATTAATTTTCTGGTGAAGCCCAAGCTAAAGTAGGTTAGGTTTGGTTATTAGAACATAAGGAGTCTGCAATAGGCCAGTGCATGGCAGCTCCTGTCGAGTTACTACCACTCGACATCATCCATGAATCTATCCAGTCTCCTTTTGAAACTTTCCAGCACTTACTACAAGGTTGCTAAGCTTGTTCCACTCGTCCACCACCCTATTTGTGAACCAGTTTCTTCCTATCTCCCTCCTAACTATATACGGACACACCAAATTCGTCGCCAATGTCCAATCCAATTCGTCACCATTTACAGCCCACTAGTCACTGGTATTAGTGACATTTTAAATTGGTTTTTTGCACAAATAGAAATTACACGTGTGCAGACAAGTAGAATTATTATACATGAAATTAATTTAATAAAAATGATTAGAACATTTGTAAATTAACAAAATACATTACAAATTTAGAATTAGTGTTATACATGAATATTAATTAATACAGAAAACGATTAAAACTTTGGTAAATAAACAAAATACAGAACAAATGAAGTGACTTGGCACCAGCGCATACCCCACCGAGCAGCAAAGAACCTCGCTCTATACCTCCCCTCTTCAGAGAAGCCTCAATGGTTGATTTGCAATTACAACTACTTGCTGAGCACAAGCTAAAATCGTGCACAAGAAATGCAAATCACGACAAACAAGTTCGTCTCTGGAAGCAGTGGGATGAATATGAATTAAAAAATAAACAATTCCAATTTCCTAAAAAAATTTCAGTCTTCTTCCAAGCTTGCACGAGTAATATATATATTTTCTATTATCGTCTTTCACATATGAATTAAGCGAGAGGACTGCTAGCATATTAACAATGTTTTTAGTTTTATTTTAGTCCAATTCAAGTGAGATGCCTGCACGAGTAATGCCGTTTTTATTTTTGGCTTAAATAAATTGTCTTGGCGAGATGCTTGCACAATCCAATGTGTTATGCCGAGGCATAATTTTGTAATACAGTTTTGTAAACTGTGCGTTTTGATTATTTTCTAACCCATGCAACAGCTGTTTTCACAAATTGTGAAATTTTTGTATATATTGAAGCATTTCAAATTAACTAGAATTTTCTGGTATACATTGACCTTGAAATGATAGGAATGAACACAGCTACTAAACGGGCACACCCCCTATATACAATGCAGTAATCTACTACCTTGGAGAGTACAGTAACCAGTCTTGTCCAGTGCGCACAATTTAGTTACATAAAAGATTACAAATATCCTGTTGGGTATTTCAATTTTGGTACAAAATGACCAGACTGAAACAGGGTCAATGTGGGATGTCACCAGGGATTTGAATACGGAGTCATACATGGTTAGGTACAGAAAAAAAATATACAAAATATTTCTTGTTTAACATTTCCGTTGGAAATTTAGAGTTCCGAGATACTTGGAATTTTATATTTAGCCAATCGGTGGTAGTTTTTATTTTTACGCCACGGTCTTGCACATGAATCTGCGTTAGTATTTGTAAAGTCACATCCGTGCGCCAATGTAGGCAACTTTTGATTCCCGCTCAGTTTCAAGATGGAGCCTGTGTGTGGAAGTGTATACCTTGGTTGGCTGACTGGCGGGTTATTCACCGTGTTTTTGGTATTATTGCATTTTCAGACCACACATTCCTACCACTAATCTTTTATCATATTCGAATAAGACAGTCTAATTTAAAGATAATTTTCATCTATCACATTACCGTCGCAAATGTATAGTAACGGAGATAGCATACCCAAAATCTCCATTTTCTTCCGCCTACCTCAGTGTCTCCTTCATAAATCATCATCACACGTATGCGTTCCTGTACACGTCACGTGGCCAATCAAAAGCTTTTTTTTTGCAACCAATAAAAATGCTTTTTCATTTCATTCAAGGTATTTTTTGGCCTAATCAAATTTTATTTTTAGTCTCAAATCAGCGTCAACAACCTGTAAGAATCTCAGAATCCAACGTTGAACAAGAATCAGGCCAATAAGGTAAGAAATAGGCAATTCCATCATATGGCAAGCCAGTTAGGTTAGGTCTATTTTTCTTGTGTTTTTGGGGGTATTTTTTATTCGCTTAGCCATTATTTTTTTCAGAAAATGTACCACGGGGCAAAAAAAAAAAAAAAATCAGACGGAAATGATCATATTCGGTCTTAACACAAATACACTAGAAAAGTATATTTTTTACTTTCTAACAGTGTTGTGCACTTATGCAAATTTAGTGTGTTTGAGAATGATGCAGCAACCATAAATATTAATAACATAAGAATGGAGGAAACTGCAGCGGGCCTATTGGCCCATACTGGGCAGTCCCGTTTACACCCAACCCCTATTGCTGATATAAGCATCCAACCTATGTTTGAAACTATTCAGCATATTCGAGTTAGTGATATTTGGTAACTTGTTCCATTCATAAGAACATAAGGAGTCTGCAATAGGCCGGTTGGCCTGTGCATGGCAGCTCCTGTCGAGAGTTACTACCATCATCCATGAATCTATCTAGCCCCCTATTGAAACTTTCCAGAGTTCCCGCACTTAATACAAAGTTGCTAAGCTTGTTCCACTCGTCCACCACCCTATTTGTGAACCAGTTTCTTCCTATCTCCCTCCTAACCTAAACTTATCCAACTTGAATCCGTTGCTCCGAGTCCTATCCTGCCCGGATATTATAAGAACTTTATCTATATCCCCTTTATTGATTCCTTTCACCCACTTAAATACTTCTATCATATCTCCCTGCACTCTTCGTCTTTCTAGGTTATGCAAGTTAAGTTTCTTTAACCTATCCTGATATGGAAGGTTTCTAAGTCCCGGAATCATATTTGTCATTCTTCGCTGCACCGACTCTAGTGAATTTATATCCATTCTATAATAGGGGCACCAGAACTGAACCGCATAATCGAGGTGCAGCCTGACTAGCGCAAGATAGTTGCAATAAGACCTCTGCACCCAATACTCTGTTTGCCTTATTTCGAACATATAACGCACTGTTTTCTAGGCCGTAGGTCCGGGCTTACAAGTACCCCTAGGTCTCTTTCACAAGTCAACTTCTCTAGGTTGATGTTGTTAAGGCTGTATACATTATAAATATTTGTTCTTCCAATATTAAGTACGCTGCACTTACTGGTGTTGAATTTCCAAACCAGTGTTTACTTATTTCGCACCTAAATCTAAATTTGTCTAATTTAAAACCATTGTTACGAGTTCGCTCCTGGTTGGATAGTTTGAGTACCTTTGTAATGTCCCCTTTGTTTAGCCCTGCCTTCCATTTATACACCTCAATCAGGTCGCCCCTCGCTATACGTCTCTCGAGGGAGTGCAAATTAATCTGCTTTAACCTGTCTCTATACTCAAGGTTCCTAATGCCCGGGATTAGTCTTGTCATTCTCCTCTGAATTCTTCCCAAGGATTCTATATCCATTCTGTAATACGGTGACCAAACTGAACTGCGTAATCCAGGTGTGGTCTCAAGCGCAAGATAAAGTTTTAGGATGACCTCGCTAGTCTTGTAACTAACACTCCTTTGTATGAACCCAAGTACTTTATTAGCCTTGTTACGAGCAAAAACACATTGTTTACTTGGCTGAAGGTTCCTACTTATCATTACTCCTAATCTCTCGCAGTCGGATTTCTCTATGGCATCGTTGTTCATCTGGTATCTGGTTTCCCTGTTTACATCTGTTCTTCCATCGTCAGTATAGTATCCAATGTAAATCAGTGTCAGTATCGTGCAGAACGACATACCTGGTACTGTTACAAGAGGCACACTAGCAAAGCGAAGACCGCCAATGAGGATACATTTTTTATTTTGTGGTACATTCGTAAGAAAGCACTTGTCAACATTACATAACTAAAATTTTGGGGTCAATATGGGATAACTCACACTTAAGGCAAGTCATCTTCACTGCCTCATTTCCGACAGAAATGTTATAAGAAATTATTTTCTGTGTTTAAGCAGGTAGGACTCAATATTCAAATACCTGGTGACATTCATCACACTGACCTGAAACATTTGCAGTGGTAATCTTTCTATTTTCACAATTTTGGAAACTAGGAAATTAATTAGCTTTGGAAAATTTTTTACAACCATTTAAACCCCCAATTTTCTTAAGTATTTGAGACAGGTCAGCACATAAGAAATGCCACCAATGCAAGTGGGCACTTCGCAAAATTGACAAATTACTGTACAATGATTAAAATGAATGGACTTATCAGGAACCAATTGCTCTGTAGTTTGTAGGTTAAGCTTTTCACCTTTACCAGGCGTAATGTATAGCCACTTATTTACGCACCGGCACTTGCTTTATTGGAATTTCTACTAAATATCCATAAGTATTATGGATGATAGAGTGGTAGTAATTCTCGACAGGAGCTGCCATGCGCAGGCCAACCAGCCTATTGCAGACTCCTTATTTTCTTATGTTCTAAAAAGCATTATCAATTACAAAGGGCCGAGTGGCCATAGTTTTGCTGCTAGCCCCTGCTACCTGGCCCACAGGCTGCATGGCCATGTTATTGAATTCTTGGAAAACAATCTTTTCTGATTTGGCATAATAATGCCAAGTTTTTTGGTGGTTGAATGACTTACAAATGTTGCGGGAAATGCCATATGAAACGCAATGTACTTTTGTTCCATTCAAGGAACAAACTTCCCAACTGCTGAAGCAATTGGCCACGTTAAAGTGGCCCATTATTAGGGCCAGACAGCCTGTGGGCAAGGTGGCCTACAATATTACAGCCACATTTATTCCCAAAATTTGAAGCTTCGTGATTCATTTTAAAACAAGTGAAACAGGACCACACAAATTAAGTAAATATAAGCTGGACATGCCATGGGCTAAACTCCTCCCAAGCTTAAGCTCCCCAAATAGCCCACATGTAGACCAAGACAAACACTGGGTAACATCCTGTGAGCCGCCAGCCAGATCACACCTAAATCCGCCACCACGCACAAGGTCCCCCAAATTACCACAATAAACCAACGCATCTAGGCATCTCCTCTAACACGAGATGCCACGTGGGACTATCTTTTAAAATGAAAATGATCACTACCATCAGGGAGACAGCAGGAAAAATAAAGGATGCTAGAGAACAGAGGGAGACGCACAATGTCTGCCTCGCGTGCTCATTCCTCCCTCCTGGCTGACGTGGCCAACCTCACCTCCTATCAACTTCGAAAATTCTCTCAATTTCCCGCCTCAATTATATCGTAAACATATAATCATCAATCTATTATGTAATAAATCAAAAGGAGTCGATATCTAGGATTCATAATTTATCCGTTATATACATAAATATATTTTTTACATATTCACTTCCTTTGTCTGGCACCAGGTAGACGGATTCGGCATTATTCTACCATAACTATGTTATTAACTACAAATTCCAGTGTACATAAGAGGTTAAAAGATATTAGTGATTTACAGAGGATTATGGAGGACAACGGCCATTAGTGTAAATGGAGAAAGGGAAGAGAGGGGTGATGCCGCGGCCGCCATGACACACCGGCCTCGCCCTCAAAAACCCTAATTTACTCTATTTACACTAAACTGGTCGTTTACACAACACGCCACAGTCTACAACCTATAGGATGCGAACAACAAACTCACCTCCTTCACCATTTTGAATGATGTTTCGTCCGCTGACGCCACAAAACAAGAGTTAGTATAGAGAACGGTGCAGGTGACGCTTCCTCCTCGCTCGCTGCTGGTCTGGGCCGATGGTGCGTCATGCCCGGCGTCGGTTGCCTCGCGTATATCAAACTTTTTATCCTTAACGAAACAAATTTGAGACCTGATTTTTTACCATATACTCTATATTTGTATTTGTATATGATGGTATAAATATGAGATTTCAATAATTCCTTATTTATATGCTATTTCAGGGAAAATTTAAGGGGACGGATGTGACGTCACGAGAATGTCTACGGCGGGGAATTCAACATTGCCCTTGATCTACTTCAAACTCCATTTAATTTCTACAAACTGTTTATATTACAATTATTCAGCTACGAGATATATAAATTAATATACATAAAATTAACATCATATTGTGAAATTTTAGTATATTACATGTAAGGAAGCCATGAAGGACAGCCCGTCACCAACAGCTTTCTCCCCAACAAAAATATAAAATTGAGAAGAATCCTGGAAGGTTGTATTACAGGATGTGACACACCACTAACAACAATACAAAGTTTCGAACCATGTATAATAGTATGGCTCAGTATAAACTATTTTGTGCATTCAACTATATATATATATATATATTTCATGTAAATCCACAATGAAAACGTGGATAAGATAAATCTTGATAAAATCACACGGGAAAATGGAACAACGGAGTACCTTAGCTTTTACTTTTACTTTTATCCTCTTCGCCACTGATCGGCTTGTTAGCCGCTTGGGCGATCGGTCACGACTCTTTTCCTTTATATTCTTCACCAAAAGGTCGGCTCGCTAGCCGCCCGGGCGATCGGTCACGTCTCTGTCACGCACTGTTGGCAAATACTGGGCATGCACCGGCTCCTGAATGTACCTGAACCCGCTCCAGTGTTGGTCAAGTCTTCTCTTGAAAGAGCTCACACTCGGTGCCGTCACAACACTTTCTGGTAGATTGTTCCAAGAGTTTACAACCCTCACTCCGAAAAAGTTTGCCCTCACGGTTTTCCGGACTTGCGGCTTCTTCAATCTTGAGCTGTGACCCCTTGTGGGGCGAGCGTCCGCCAGCTCCAAGTAAGGACACTCAACTGAGTAGTGCCCCCTGAGATGCTTATAAACCTCAACTAGGTCCCCCCTTGCCCGTCTGTAGTATAAGCTAGGCAAGTTCAGGCGCTCCAATCTCGCAGGGTAGCTGAGATGCCGAAGTGCAGGCACCAGCTTGGTGGCCCTCCTTTGAACATTTTCAACCAACTGACAGTCCCTAGCATATCTCGGGGACCAGATGGGGTGACAGTACTCCAGATGGGGAAGCACTTCACTCCTGAAGATCGTCACGAGGGACGGACCGTCTAGATATCTGAACGACCTTCTTATAAGACCCAATAATTTATTTGCCTGATTTACCTTCTTCTCACAATGGCCCGAGAACTTCAGCTCATTGTCAACATACACACCTAGGTCCTTCTCACACACAGTCTCAACTAGTACATTTTCTTCATCCCGTTGGGACATATGGTACGCCTCCTTACCGTTGGTACGCCCCAGGTGCATCCTCTTACACTTCGTGACATTGAATCTCAGCAGCCATTCCTTCGACCATTCCTGGAGCCCACAGAGGTCCTTCTGCAGCTCTTCACAGTCCGCTTGGTTCTTAATTTCCCGAAATAACTTGGCGTCATCGGCAAACATTTGTATGGAGGAGTGTACAACGTCAGGCATATCATTTATGAAACAAACAAACAACAGCGGGCCCAATACACTACCCTGCGGTACCCCACTTGTTACAGGTACAGATGACGATTTCGTGCCATTAATCACCACACATTGCTTGCGGTCATGTAGAAAGTCTTCTATCCACGCTAGGACATTTCCCCGAATTCCGTACCCTTCCAGTTTGATTTTCAGCCTTTCGTGGGGTACACTGTCGAAAGCCTTGGCAAAATCTAGGTAAATATTGTCGATATTACCACCCCGTTCTAGAATATGGGTCCAAATATCCAATACCTTGAGCAATTGTGTCAAGCAAGAGCGCCCCGGCATAAAACCGTGTTGGCAATCTTTTACAAGGTTGTTTCGTAGTAGATGTTCCATCGCTGCATCTCTGATAATACTCTCAAGTACTTTACATATTATGCTGGTCAGGCTCACCGGTCTATAGTTGTTCGTGGAGTGCCTATCGCCCTTCTTGAAGATAGGACTCACATAAGCCACTTTCCATTCACTGGGGACCATTTGTTCATCCAGGCATTTACAAAACAGAATCTTCAGGGGCTCTGCAAGCTCGTTGCACAGCTCCCTTAGCACTCTAGGATGCACCATGTCAGGTCCAGGACTCTTATGGACCTTTAGCCTGGACAGTTTATTTCTAATACCCTCTTCAAACACAATGGGTATGATGTGTCGAACCGGAAAATTCAAAATATTTCCCCTAAAGTTGATCCTCTCTTCCCTGAAAAGTCGAAAATCTACTTTCAAAAAAGTCGCTAATCTACTTCGAAAAAGTCGATAACTCTTCAAGCCTCAGGTCTAACCTCTACTCGCGTTTTAATTTACTTTGCATAGCGGTATAAATATATTTATTTTACTTGATCGCGTGCAACCAGCCTTTGGATCCTTTTCAGCCCTCCTACACTCTATCTTTATATATGTGTGTGTGTGTGTGTGTTTATATACTCATTCATCTATCAACTCTACAATATATTAAATAAACTTATATTATTATTTTTTTTAATTCAGACATTATATATTTTAATTATTGTTGTGACAGCTAAAAGATCAATAGCATAAAGTAGCTTACATTAGAAAAGCGAACTTTATATAATAGTAAATTATATATATATGTATATATATATATATATATATATATATATATATATATATATATATATATATATATATATATATATATATATATATATATATATATATATATATATATATATATATATATATATATAATTTTTCTTAATTTCACTGTGAATTTTATTGACGAACGATTACACAATCAGTCACAATTCTTCAAACTCACATATACCTCAACATATACAGTACCTTCCTTTCTGTAAACTTAGTGAAACACACGTCATCTCTCTTTACAGTAAAGTACTGCTCTGTGCAGTATCTGTACCCTCTATATAAGGGGTCCGTGAAGGTTAGATAAAAATTTAACATTTATATTCACTATACTTTGAGTATGTCATACACTGTATAAGGCAATGAATTTTCAATAAAATAAAGTATATTCATTGCATGCAAAATTGTGTTTATGTGCTTATGTGCATTTTTCTAGGGAGGGGGTCCAATGGTCCATAGCTTTCACCAGATTCTCAAAGATGTCCGTGACTCAAAAAAGGTTAAGAACCACTGGTCTATATCCTCTTCACCACTGTCTTGTCAACTCACTGTTGGTAAATATTAGTCTTGACAGTATGGGATCTGTTACACACTGTTGGGAAGTACTGGGCATGTACGGACTCTGTTACGTACTGTTGACAAGGACTAGGCATGTACAGGCTCTTAAATGTACCTGAACAAACGCCAGTATTGGTAAAGTTTTCTCTTAAAGGACCTCATACTTGGTGCTGTCACAACATTCTCTGACAGGTTATCACAACAATTCACAACTCTTGCTCCCAAAGAAGGTAATTTTGAAAGTTTTATTTTTTGTACTGATAGCTTCTTCAACCTTTGGCTGTGACCTCTAGTGGGTCGACCATCCGCTGTTATCAGAGATTGTATACACATTTGACTAACTAATTCCCTTTAATTATTATTATTTTTTTTAGCAAATCGCCTATAGTACAAATTGAGCACATTCTTGTCTCTCTTTGTAACGGAGATGACTAAGTACGGACGCCTGTTTAGTGGCTCTCCTTTAGACGTCAAAGTCAATTGGCATTCTTTGCTGTATGTTGGAGATAAAACAAAATTAAAGAACTCCGAGTGAGGGAGCAACATACTTATGAAAAGTCTTATGAGATGCGGATCTAGTCTATGAACAGTATGTCTAGCATCTTCGTATAAGTACTACTATGAACTATAATTTATTAGCAGGATTCACCTTCTCATAATCATGCGAGAACTTGATTTCCTTTTTAAGATAAACACCCTGTTAAACTATTATGAAAAATCTGACTGAGGCTATACTGGTATTATTAACGGAACAAGTGATATGATACATATGTTTTTACTACTATTATCAGAGGTGAGATATGAACAAGAAAACAGCGGATGTTATTGTATGAGGCGGACGCTGGTATAATCTTCACTGCTACAGCAAGATACTTTCTTTGTAATTTCGTTGAATTTTGATCAAAGTCTTTTAGGTTTTAATGTACCAAGATGTAACCAGATCGGAATGACAGGTGACAAGTGGCTAAGATAAGAACTAACATGCTGTGAAGTAAACATGAAGAACGCCTTGCCACACATCCGTCATGGCCAGATAGCTGTTTTTAGCAAAAATTTCTTAACCTTGGAATATTGAAATCGGTCAATAGGTCACATGCAAAAGTAATTTTCACTCTACTGTATATTCTAGATCCAAATTTTTTCAGCGTGCATAAATTGAGCTACTACGGGAAGTTATATAAGTGGCGTAGACAAAACAGAGCCTGAGGGGCGAGTTAGCTCGTTGCACTACACACCACCAATGTTAGCAACAATCCAACGTGGGCTTTTATTATCATGGGGGAGGGACATGTCCACCCAATAGACTCGATTTCATTTTTTTTAGAATATCATTTGTAGGACCAATATAAACATCTTTTACATACATTCGGTGTTAGCTAGTTTGCCTCTCAATTTACGTTTCGGGTTCGATCCCGGATTGCATGTGAGAGGTAGTGGCGCAGGGTAAGCCTAAAATGCATGTTTTCACCGGGTACTCCAGCGTCCTCCTGAACTAACATTGTGCCATCGTATTATTCTTATTTTTTTTCTAATGTACAGCCTTAACGGAGAAATGAAAATGATGACTTGTTTAATCCCCCATTGTTCCAGCAGGACACCGGAGAAAACCTCACATCCAACCCAAGCGGTAATTGAACCTGGGAAGCTGCAGTGGGAGGCAAACGTGCGACCGTTGTACCCCCATGAAAAAGAAACTCACTAGGAACACTGCTGAAATTCAACAAGCCACTGGCTTACTTCTTCCGTCAAAGTATCATCATCATCACCTTTTTATAGCCATTTATCCACACTTGGATGGGTTAGACGTGTTTACCTGATGGCAGCTCTCCAAGCTGCACAACCTCTTACTGCCTCTCCCCCGGCTGCCATCAGGCAAATTTAAACAACTTTTACGAATGGATGTCCCCATCACCAAATCACTTTTACAGCAGCCATGGCGATAACTTTGAACTCCTGATACGACTCACTTTATCCTTCCAGTACATTACATTAACTACCTTTATTATATTGCATTTGGAATTTTGTCCAACAACACTGACTCACTATTGGTGATAAAATAAAGAGAAGGTGCATGTCCTGGCAGCGTGAACAGGCGATCAATATGGCAGCTGCTGCCGGAAGAGATCGATATTAGAACACGCCTACTGGCTGGTATATTAAATGGCCTGCTCAGGTGTTCAGAGTTAACGTTATACTGTTGACGTGTTTTGGAGGTGTGTGTTTGTATGTGGCCATAAATATATATGCTATGGCAACTTTAAGCCCCTAAAGTGAATCCTGAACATTGTTTGATGTTACTATGGACGCGCTATTTTGCAATACTGTTAACTAACCTGATAACGTACAAACATTGAAGAACTCTGGTAGTATTTCTATTACAATTAAATGCAGATATTGTTGACTAAAACTCTTTCCCTCTAGTCATTAATTATCTGTAACTTTGTTTAACGTGAGTGAGAGTACAATACAGTAGTTGAATTATTGTGTAATCAAGATACCTTAATCTGGCTCAGTTGCTGACTTTGACAAGAGGTATTCTCGGGGAGGAAAAAGGAATTTGATTGCTTGACTCTATACCAGTGAAGAGTTTAGCGCTCCCCTGCGATATATTGTTTTGTGTTACGGCTCTTCTTTCAGTTATTTATTAATATGCCAATCGGGCGTCGTCGTTCTGACTACGGTACGTCCCCTGTAATCACTGTTAACAACAGGGGACCAACAGTAACTCGCTAATCTTTCACTATTAGGGTTCAGTCTCTAGCCTGGCCAGCATTCCTCATGTACTAACACTGGACAATAAAGGTCATAACAAAAGAGAGATATTACCGCCCGAATGGCGAGTCAACTGATAAATGATGAAATGATAAATTACATACGACTCAACTCATTATCGCTGTGTTTGAGTCACTTTCCTTATCATGGCAGATACGGAGTGTTTACCACAGGGAAGTAGTCCGGCTGGGAACGTCTACTGTCACGCCATAATCACAGCAACAAATTGATAACCTGGTAACATATCAAACTGTTTAACCTTATCATTCAAATATCAAATAAAAACTGTGTCGTTTTGCAGAGAACTCATCAAATTACTTGTCTTAGTGGGTCCCATAGGCATGATTGCCCGTTAAGGACTGAGAGGATGCAGGACACTGTAAACTAAGCCTAAGGTACACAAGGAGGCAGCACGACCACCTCCACTTCCCCAAGTACCCATTTACAGCTGGGTGATGGAGATCGAAACACCCTCTTATCCTTGGAACCACCGACTTCTGAACAGGTGGCAAGAGCTGAATCCATTTTTTTTTTACGGGCATCAGCCCACCCGGGCACAGGTCACTGACCCACATCAGGGCCTGGGGGAGGGCGAATAGATGATGATGATGATGATGATAATTACTATAAATTAATTATAAAAAATAATAATTATAATAATAATAAAAACATAAGTAAATACAAAATTGAAAACAAAAAGTGAGAAACGATATACTGTACAGTATGTATGTTGTGTTGTCAAAGTAAGAGAAACAATTGAGACCTTGCAATTGTGTGTAAATGAGGCAGAAGGTCAGATCAACAACCTAGTGTAACAAATAATTGAAGACCTATTGTATGCCAAAGGCAGCAGGGTCTACCACTAGACAACACATTATGCTTTCAATATCTTCCCAGGCGGTAGTACTGTACCTCCCATTTTGGGAGCTGCCTACTGCCGAACTCCAGTTAACATGGAAGATATAAATGTATTTGATTATACTGCTCGGGAAGATTTTAGTAATTGGTATGCCTGTTTTCCTTTAATTCAAGAGAGACTCAGCGCAACTACGTTGCTCACTTAAAGATTAGCCACCCCACTTAATATCACCTGAAGATTAAACACCCTAACATTAACCTAAAGGTTAACCCCTCCAGGTAGCAATGGGGTGGCTAATCTGCAGGTGATCTCCATTTTGGACCTTTTTTGTGCTGCAACATAAACTGACCAGATCAGATGCATTAAGGTCTGTATTGTACAGTACTTAGTTTTATTCATGTACGGTATTGTACAGTACTTTTGTTTTATTCCTGCACTGTATTGTACTGTACAGTACTTTTGCTTCATTCCTGTATTGTATTGCACAGTACTTAATTTTATTCCTGTACTGTGTTGTACAGTACAGTACTTTGGTTTTATTTCCTCTACTGTACTTTTGTTTTAATCCTGTACTTTCATTTTATTTTCTGTACTGTACTTATGATTTGGGCATATTTTACATATCTATCATCCATACATATTACACAGCTATCATCCAAAAGATCTTTCTACAAAACCAGTACAGTACAGTATAGTGATGGCAGATGAGGTGCGTGCTGTGTTGAGCTCTGTTCATCCTGACTCTGCATGATTAAGCATTGACTGCAAAAGCTGCCCTTGCATGTAATGTCAGACTGTGGCACTTCAGTATACTATAGTACTTGACTACTGGTATGCCTGTATTACACAGGTAATTCTAATTTTTTCTTAAAGGAAATAATACAGTATATCTAAAGACATATTTTTCTCAAATGCATGAAAATCGTGAATATGCTGTACTGTACAGGTATTTTAGAATTAAACTAAAATCATAAAATAAACATACTGTATAGCATCCCAGTCAGCAAAATGCTCAATAATAAAGGCTTCACTGAGAGCTATAGAATATGTTTAATACTGTAACATTTCAGCTACTGACCTATGGTACGCCTTCAAATATTGAGGAATCATTAGCAGAACTCTGAGCATCTACTGTATAATACTGCAATAGAAGCTGCTAACAAACATTCCCTTAAGTTGAACATGTGATGTATCTCCAAGCAATCTCAGTCTGCTGGTTAAGATAATCACCATTGAAGTCATTGAGATTCAGTGTCTTTACATTAAAAATAACTCATAGATGTATTTGCTTGGGATTTGCATAATATCCTGCAAAATCATTTAGGAATACTGTGGTGTTTGAGTAATGTGCAGTCATATATAAGTGTGGTGAAGTACAGTAGCTAAAACAACTATCTGTGCATACTTTGTGGAAAACATTATGAGACCATGGATGATAAATTTTGGTATATGAGGGCTGTCACTAGTCACACTTCAAATTTCGGAGCATATCGACCCCCACCTACACAGATACAGTATAGTCTGCATTTACGAATGCGGATTTTGTTTACGCGTTTGGTCATTTACGCGGTGCCTTGCCAGAATGTAAATGCATTAATTAAGCGGTAAATTTGGTCATTTACGCGGGAAGCGGCGCGGGCAGGGTGCGCACAAGGTCGCCCAGTCATCAAAACATTACCGAGTGCTTCACCCACCACCCACCACAGCCGGCCCAAGTCAGTGATAGTGATAGTGAGGATATGGACTTTGAGGGGTTTGACAAAGAGGCCCTGCAAGCCTCTGTGGTGGATAGTGATACAATTGATACAAGTGATACAGGTGAGGGCCAATAATCTGTCCTCTGCCTTGGAACCAACCCCCCATCCCCGTGTGCCCAGCCATCTTTTCTACTAACATAAGTGTTAAAAAACCTAATATTATTGATATTTCTCTAAAATATTAATTGTGTGCATACCATCATAAAATTAAGATGTTATTTTTACTACAACGTACGTATTGTGTCGGAAAAAGTGGAGTTTGGGGGTCGGCCCAGTCTCTATTTCAATTAATCCCATATGTTCTGTTTATTCATTTATGCGTTTCTCGTTTTACGCGGTACTCCACAGGTTCAACTGACCACGTAAATGCAGACTATACTGTGGTTGTTTTAGCTACTGTACAGGTTGTGTTAGAAGTGGCAAGGAACTCATATGGATATACAGGTATTAGTAGTGGTTATGCGTTAGTACTGTAGTGATGATGCATTGATGTATTAATAGTGTTAATTTACCTGATGGTCACACAAATTAGAGGTGGCCATGCTGAAGGAGGAAGGCTATTGACTTGTATAGGATCCCTTCATTGTTCTTGAGAGTCTTGTCAAGGACTATTCTGAAACCCAGAACTGTTTTCAATTCCACTTCCACAGCTTCAGATGGTAATGTTCCACAGGTTTACCACCCTGTGTGTGAAGAAATATTTCTCTATATTCGAACTTGTGTCCTTTTATGTTGTTTGCACATGACTTCACGAAAAAATGGCCAGGGTTTATGTTTTCCATCCCCTTTAAGACTGACTGTCTCTATGAGATCCACCCTATTGTGTCTTGTCTGAAGGGTTGTTAGTCCTAAGGCCCACGTCTACTTGGATAATCGAGATATGGTTCAGGAATCATCTTAGTTTGGCTGTGTTGCATCTTTTCTAGGGATGTTAGATTACTTCTGGAAGTCAGGTTTCCATGCCTGTATACAGTACATTGCAATCCAGTTGGGGGACATATGAGAAGCTTATAAAGGTGGATAAATTTTTTTTATCTTTGTATTTGTAGGTTGGCTTTTTTAACTGCTGCTTCCACTTGTTGCACTGCCTTCAGTGATTTATATATATATATATATATATATATATATATATATATATATATATATATATATATATATATATATATATATATATATATATATATATATATATATATATATATATATATATATATATATATCACGATGCCTACAACTTTTTCCTTATCAACATTATCCAAGAAATTGTTACTAGTAGAATAGTAGTGATTAGAGTTGTTGTATCCCACATGTAGGGTCTTTCATTTTGTAATGTTAAAAAGAATTAGCCAGTCCTTTAACCATTTGAACAGCTTGTGCAGATCTTTTTGCAGTGTTGTATCATCATCTTGATTTATCACCTTATCAAATATCTTTGTCGTCCAAAAATGTAATAATGTGGCTGGATGTATTTTCATTGACATCATTCATGTAGATCATAAACAGGGTGGGTCCAAGGTAGTACAGTATTCTTTTAGGTATTAGTAGTGGTGACGTATGGGACTGGTGCACATATAGATCTTTCAGGAGCAGTATTCTGGGATGTGATATGCCAACACTGTCATTGTACCTGTGGTCTTCATCAATGCAGTGTCCATGAGCTACAGGGATATGATGACTGGCAGATTGTACTTCATGAGAAATGCCTTGACATTTTAGTTCGATATTTTAACTGGCAAAAGATAGAAAGTAAATAAAAGAATATACTGTACGGCCTCGTTAGAAAGCAAATTGAATGAGTAGACTGCGCATAGATTACTAATTAAACAAAATGTGTGTACAGTATTGAATGGGTAAGTAAATAGAATGAGTAACTGAAGATGATTATTCTGAATGGATAATTAAACCAAGTGAGTAACGAATGTAAACAGCCTGACTACTGTAAACTAAATCCATAATTACTTGATTACAGGTATTTTAACCAGTTACCATATCTATCACCAGATGAAAGAAAAGACTCTGGAATACTTAATGCAGAGATAAAAAATGTTTTGTCATTCATATGCAGAAGGAAAGTTTCAGATACTGTACTGTATAGTTATTCAAGTAGTAAAGCAACGTAACTGTACACAAGTAACTGATAAAAATAAAGATATGAAAGAATAGACAACATTTATTACTTTTGCTTCATCTAGTCACATCCCAAATCATCACAATGTATTATTCTCACATTAAATAATTGACAGTCAGTATGAGTCACATTCACATCTTAAATATTTTAAACTGAAAAATTCAGTCCCAAGCAATACAGAACAACTCTACCTTTGTTTTCTTACCCTGATGCAACTTACCTGTACTAAATGTTCTCACAACCACTGGATATTAAAATGCACCAATAACACTTTAGGTCACACGGTTCATCTCTCATCCCAAACACTCCAATATTGTTCACTGTGTTACAATGTTCAATTCTGTCATAAAAAAAAAGCCTGTTACTACCTCCCTATGTTCAACACCTCCCTAGAACACTCATAACTTAAAATATTCATCAATGCTTTACAACATTTTATCACTGTCTCACAACGTTCACCACTGCCTCATAATACAGTACAGTATTCATCACTTTGAACATTTGTCACTGTCCTACAATGTCCACTGCCTTACAATATTATTTTCACCACTGTACTGTACATCATTTTTCACCATCTCAGAATATTCACTTTGTATATGATGACTTTTACACTGGCCCTGGTCTGTTATTTAATTTATATCTTCAAAATAAACGTCTAGTATAATGTCTTCACTCTGAGCATCATGGTCCTGTGTAATTTCCAGGATGTATATTTCATTCATTAGATAATCTTCCATGGCTCAGTTTTTTCACAATGAATAACAATAATCAGGGAGCCATTGCATGTAAGAATTAACTTGTATATTATCTTTTCTCATTTCCACCTGTTATAACTGTGGTATTATGATGACTAGTTCAGATTCTCATCCCAGCATATATACTACAACTTTTGCATCTTCCTCTTTCTCTCTCTCTTTGTATCAGTACTGCATAGTTAATGTTTTATATCTAAATGTTTCAAATAATAGGTTGACTGGCCACTATTCATCAATCTTCCCTGTCATCCTTCTTTCCCATTTACTATTCTGTTAAAAATTTCTGCAGTAGTTTTTTCTTTCTTTTTAGCTGTTTATTTCAGTAATTTCTCCTGATCCTCTTCCAAGTTTTCCTCTGCCACCACCACCGCCACCACTACTATCTGACCGCTTTCTAGCATCTGTTGCCATCCTGTGTCCTCCCTTTCCCCTGCCTCTTGTCCCTCGTCCCCCTCTCAGCGCCTCTCCCTCCTCTGGCATTCCTCTCTCACCATTTTCTCCTTTATATACTTGAGTCATGTTTTGGGTCTTGTGGTCTCTGGGAACATTCTTGTCTCCATACCTGCCTCTCGGTTCCTTACGTCGCCGCCGCTGCTGCACATCTGGCTTACAGAAGTCATCTCCCAGAGAGCCAGGTGCTTGATAGCTAAAAGATAAAGGATGGTTAAATATTCTGGAAAGTATTTTTTATCTATGCAGAATTATATGTAGCTTTATATATTTCATACAACATCTGTGCTAATTACGGTATTTCGATCTGAGTGACTGAAAATTGAGAAGATAGCATTTTAAACCATTTCTGCCTCCTAGAAAATCATTTGCAGTACAGCATAACAAGAAAACTTAAGTATTTGCAATGCTTTACCCCCAAATATCTAATAACTTCTCCAATTGTATTATAAGATTAATTAACCCCATAACTACACAGTGTGAATGTATCTTTGAATACTGTACTGAGATGCCGAGACTCGAAGCACAGATCATGGGTGGGTGAGTCACTGCAGGGGATCAGAGTGAGGTTGGGTAGTGGTGGAGGAATTCAAAGTACACGAGAAAAAAGTTGTCGCAAGTTTTGTAAGAAGATGAAACTGTTTTGTGAGCTGAGTAAATGACTTAATCACTGAAAAATGGATATGTGATAAATTATGCAACAGGAGGGTGTTAGATTATAATTTAAGCAAACATTGTATTTCCTGGCACCAAATATTGTACTGTAGTGACAATAATGGCAATAGTGTCATCATATGAAGTGTATTTTTTATCTTCACTTGACCTTTTCATAATATACTTTGATTTTTTACCTATTTTGTTAGAACTCATGCTTGTAAGGTTAGTGTGCCTTTTACATTAAATTAGGTACTGTACTGGTAAAACCCCCAAAATGGATTCTTATTGGATTTTAAAATACTGTACTTGGATACAATATGTGTCATTCATATATTAGCATACCCGTACTTATTTTGAATGACACAATATGCATCATTCATTCATACACTAGCATAAGTACAGGTATTCCGAATAATAGAACATGCATCATTCATTCATACATACACTAGTATACTATAGGTATTCTCAATGAATTATGCGTCAACGGTGCTCCAGTGTATTAAGTGTACCAGAACCACCAGTACGCAACGTGAAATCTGAGCACAGTGCGGTGAGCCGGTGAATAGCGATTACTGAGCAAAACTTTGACGTTCTACCATACACACACACACATGAAGGGAAACACTCAGCACACATGAAAAATTAACCACTCTAAGATAGAACTTATTTTTCCCATTTAATTGTTAAGACAATCATTTACAACCTGATGAACAGATTGACGGAAATATAAATAATGAGACACATGGATAAAGAAATAAACGCACACACACACACACACACGTTCACAGATAAATAGATAATAATCAGATAAGATATGAGATAGATAAACAGATCTGTGGATGAAGGGACTCATATATAAACACAGACATATTGATTGCCACACATAAAGTATTTGGCTCACCCTGAAAGAGAGGGATCCAGAGGCTGTTTAGAGAGGAGAATGACAACTGTTGGTACTTCCCTCGTGACTCTCAGACGGTCCAAACCTTCTAACTTGGGCTCCCAGTACTCTTCAACCCTGTAAAGAAGAGTAGCTACTGTATAGTAGTCTAAAGAGCCTCGAATCAAGACAAATGAGATTGATTAAAATAACCTTGGATGAAACAAGATACAGATACAGTATTAAGTAAACCAGAAATAAATGAGAGGCTTTAGATAGATAGACGAGAAACACCAGTTCTTCTTCAGTGAGTGTTGTGGTGACTGATGGATGAAGTACACACGCAGTGGTATCCTGATAATGTACTGTACGTGCGAGTGACTTACGTAAATGTTCTTCACAATGACCAGATTTTATTCCTACTGATTTTTAGATTCCTGTTTATTGCACGTCCTTTAATATAATAATCATAAAGTGTTCCAAAAATAAAAATAAAACGTATACTATCCAATACATACACCAAATAATAAAAAAAAAAAAAATAATGGAAATATGACTTTACACTTAAATAAAACAACAGAATACTGTATATAGATAAAGTACAATAAAATAACTGGCATAAAGCTCTTGGGAATGGAAACCCAAGACCATTAATTTAGTAATACACTGTATTAAAAACTTGAGTTTCTCACTAATACTGAATTGTGATACACGTAAGTCTTATTCTATATCACCGCCAACCGTATAAATGTATATCTGTCAATATATAATAATAATAATAATAATAATAATAATAATAATAATAATAACAATAATAATCATAATAAACTTACATGTGATTTAGACATAATGATATACATTCAATACATTTACAGGGCTGTACAGTACATAAATCAGGAGTTGTTTATTATTTTAACAACAGATGGGATGGTGCTATTCTTATAACTATCAGTGCAGGCTCTTATGGGCTGAATTTTGTTGTAGTGGCGGACTGCGCGAGGTGGGTGGGGGACTGCAGGTGGCGATGACGAGACATGTGTGTGTTAACTTTTGGGAGGACTTGTCTGACCAAACACTCCTTCTACTCACAGCCTCATTTGCACTCACACACAAAAATACGGATCACCCGAAGAATTTCCACCTCAGCTTACTTCACCTAAAGACTTTTATCGCCCTAGTCCTAATCTTAAAGTGAAATAAGCTGGGGTGGAGATTCTTCAGGTGATCCAAAAATAGTTTATCTAGGTCCATGTATAACCTCCCATCAAGAAAGGGAACTGTATACTGTATCTTATAAGAGAAGAGAACAGCTTATATCACTTACCTCTTATAAGCAAGTTGGGTTATCTGCTGGAGGTTTCTGTTGCGCCGCTTAATGACCTCCACACACGACACGGCCTTCACTGCTGCAGGCCCTGAGCCAATCCATAACTGCTGCTCCTCAGTTTTGAATCTGTTAGTCACCAAAAGCATGCATACAGTATATATATATATATATACTGTATTGGCATATAGCACTGTACAGTATAGTGTTTGACTCAATATATTGTACTGTATAGTACTGTACTTAGAATCAACAGTCACAAATATCATGATTCATATACAGTATACACTGAATATTCACTGACCCAAAGGAGGCAGATGAATAGACATAGAGACTGATGGAGTGACAGCTCCAGGTACAGTTGGATGGATGGATGGACAGAAGTGGGTGGATGACTGACTGATGAATAAATAACTGGATAAACTGACATATAGTTATGGATACTGATATATATAAAAAGAGTTTGAAAGATATGTATATAAATACAGGGATAAGGTTACTGTAAACTTTAAAATCTCCTGTGTTGATTACTAGACTTCAACGATTTTGCACAGTCAAGCTTTTTCCGGCTATAATGCAGTTACTGGAATCCTGACTAGAAAACACTTGACCCAGGGTGTGAGGACAACCACACACTTGACCCAGGGTGTGAGGACAACCACACACTTGACCCAGGGTGTGAGGACAACCACACACTTGACCCAGGGAGTGAGGACTTACTTGTTCAGAGCAACAGTCAGGATGTCCCTCATCTTGGTGTTGGGGTTGACCACCATCTTGGAAGTGTTGTCATGACAGCCCGGGACAGATACCTCCAGCTCCACCTCCACATTGTCACCCTTGCTATAGTTCTCCACTGTTGGGAGTGTAATGATGAGCATCTATATTGATGTACACATACATTATAAAATATGACATAAAATACTATATTGCATATATACTATATTCATTGCACGCACACACACACTGTACAATCTCTCGGAGCTACAATCTTTTGAAGACACTTGTTTCAGGTTGTAACTCAGAAAGAAGGAAGACGTGTGTTGTGGCTATGAAGTTTTGTGGTTTGGTTGTGTCTCTGTATGAGTGATGTCCCCACCCCTTCCATAATCACAATAAGTATACAGTATTACAGTTTATGCCAAAGAAACAAGTGCTCTCACCTATAATGATAATATGTCAAAGAAAAAAAAACTTTTGTTGATACATGTACCTGTACTGGAGGGGATAATAAAGTGCACAGTACAGTATATCAATGCTCAGTGGTGGGACTGTATCCAGGTCAAAGAAAACCATACGGCTACCAGACTCTGTTGTGTAGAAATCTATATTTATATTTGTTAATATCTGCTGGGTTTGTAATGAACAACAATATACAGTACTATACTGTACTGTACTGTACACTATATATTATTTACACCTAAAATCAGGTACAGTGAGATAAAGTTTTTTTAAACTGCCAGAGCACTGAACATCTGTAGGCAGGGACTTAGAGGGAACAAGCAACCATTTACCTGTACTTATTGTCCATTTTTTTGCAACTAACATTTTCAACTCCTAAAATAGTTCTGAATGACTTCTTTAAGGTGTCCTGGAATTTTACCTGTACAGTGCTAGACTGTATTTACAGTATATTTATACTTTACATATTTATGATCTCTAAAAGTATATACAGTACAGTACTGTACTGTAGTGTACAAACTCCCAGAACCAACAACCTTGGGACTATTGGGCGGCTGATTTCTGGATTTGTATGTTTTTGGGACAATACTGTACATACCTGTTTACTGGTGTGAAACTGGATGTGTTAATGTGTTAAGGCGATTTAAAAATGGGGAAAGAGCTACGGAAGCTGCTTCAGTAATAGGCATGATGTCTCGGAATTTGTCCTCATGTTTTCATTTTTTATTTGATTTTCTTAAAAAAATGTGAAAAGCTTTGTTCCAAGCAAATCTAAATATTTAACAATATTTCTGAAATTTTCATATCTTACCATTTATTTTTTTGCTTCATTAAACAACCTGTAAAGATTCAATTGAACAAAACTCAATGTGTAACATCATCCATGACCAACCTCAGCCTCACCCCGGTCCGACTAATTACCCAAATGTAGCTGCAATGTAGCTGCAATGAAGTCAAATAATAGTCTTACATGAATAAATCGGACTGCTAATCACTTCTCGACTAGTATTTGTTGTCACAAAGTCACAAAAAATTGGAAAACTTACTTTCATCTGAGTTAATAGATCGCATGCATGTACCGACGGAGCGAGGAATTACCCAAATGTAGCCGCAATGAAGTCAAATGATGGTCGTACAAGCGTAATTCGGGCTGTGAATCACTTCTCGATTATTATTTGGTGTCATAAAGTCACAAAAAATTGGTAAACTTAATTTAATCTGGGTTGTGTTGTGTTAGGTTAGATTAGGTTAGGTTAGGTACATGCACTTGATCTATTAACTCAGATTAAATTAAGTTTACCAATTTTTTGTGACTTCGTGACACCAAATACTAGTCGAGGTTAGGTTAGGTTAGGTTAGGTTCGGTACATGCACTCGATCTATTAACTCAAATTAAATTACGTTTTCCAATTTTTTTTTTACTTTGTGACACCAAATACTAGTCGAGAAGTGATTGGTAACCCGATTTATTCATGTAGGACCGTTATTTGACTTCATTGCGGCTACATTTGGGTACATTTGGGTAATTAGTCGGACCCGCCTCACCCAGCTAGCCTCACTAAGACCATCATTCATCTCATCTAAGTGCATTTTACTCTTTTTAACATTAATGTAATTATTAAATAAAGTTTTGTGTTTAAAGTGATGGACTCTACCACCCATCATCATTTTAAGGCCATTCTCCTTACATGCTTAGGTTGGATAGGATTGGTTTGGTTCACTTTAAATTGTTTGGAGTTTCTAGTGGAATTGATCACCAAGGTCCAGGAATATTCGTTCATAAAATTAATCAACCCAACCAACCTAAAATAACAGTTACCATCTATTAACCTCCACAAAAAACATTCCTGTCTATAAGAGGAACCATCAACCCATGAGGACATACATTCATAAAACGTATATGTATTATAAAACATTGTCCTAGTTCAGGTGTGTAATAATGGATGTAACCAAATACCAACCAGAATACAAATGCAAATACTCCACCTGATTTGTCTTCATACAGATGAGAAATAAGTTTTTTCTCAAGGTATTTTTTCATTATCTTATTAATCCAGACATTTGTCCTTAACTATTACTACCTTATGTGTATACAGTTTTCATAGTGTCATAACGACGTACAATTGTCACTAAATGGTTTATCAAGTACTTACTGTCAGTGAGACTTAAAGCCAGGCAGCTGTCCTCTCATCTCTTCAATACCAACGTCTTATGTTATGTTCCTATCGTCACCGTCTATAGTTGCTGACTTTACATGATGTCGTCCTCCCTACCGCCTCATCTCCCGCTTAAAGAGAGGCAATACAGGTAAATTTGGCTATTTTTATTCTTTTAAGAAGAAAAATCAGCTAAACTTGTCCCAAAACTATCATCTAACACAAAATGCTCAAAGTTTGAATATCCCTGTTCAAGGAAAGACAACGCAAATGTATTAAAATGTTTCTAGTCAAAATAAACATTACAAATAGTATGTATTGTATTTATTAAACACTAAACCCCTGAGATAAGAGAGCGAGAAAATATTAATATTTTCTAACAAAACACCAATGGCAGGAACTCTCTTATATACACTATCCCTTTGAAATGAAAATATCAATTTGTAAATAAAAACATTACAATATATAATCTTTTCTTATGGCAGACAAACAATAAGATTTTTATTAAAACCAGGAGCGAACTCGTAACAATGGTTTTAAATTAGATAAATTTAGATTTAGGCGGGAAATAGGTCAACACTGGTATAGAAACAGAGTAGTGGATGAATGGAACAAGTTACCAAATATCATCATTAACTCGAATACGCTGGATAGCTTCAAACATAGGTTGGATGCTTATATGAGCAATAGGGGTTGGGTATAAACGGGACTGCCCAGTATGGGTCAATAGGCTTGCTGCAGTTTCCGCCATTCTTATGTTCTTATGTAATAGCCATAAACTGGTTCTCTTTTTCAGGACCCACATCGGGGCCTGGGGCGAAAATCTAATAATAATAATAATAATAATAGTAAATAAAATAAAAATTATAATAAATAAAATAATAATAATAAAGAGACAAATAAATAAAAATGAAAAAATGCCAAGAGTGAGAAACCATTGTAGTGGATACTCCCCTACAAGTACAACTGCCGAATTCCGATTGGTCACCTGCCGTCCTCTCACCAGCCAACCAGCGACGAGTTCCACAAATCAGCCCTCGCGTTTGAACTGCGCGGTGATTGGTCAGTTGCCGCCTTCATCTTAGCCAATCAGCAGCATTTCTCATCTTTGCATTTCGATTTTTGATCCGGCAGAATGATATAAATACCCCACATATAAATACCCCTCTACATCACGCTTGTAACCATGCTGCCTTCCCAGCACCAAGCTGCACTGTACATCCAATACAACATGTATACAGAGAGCACATTGTGAGTTTCCTTTCTCCATCCCATCCTGAGTGTGAACCAAACAATCTCATACCCCACAAATGGTGACCCCCGGAGATTCGCACTCACACAGGATGGAGGAGAAACAGATCACTCTCCCAGTCTCCAAGCAACATGGAAGACTGGCTTATCCACACAGGAGCAGCTCTCATCGGCTCTACAGCTACTGTCTCTACACCTCAGGTTAGACACCCTAGAGCAGCTCTACGACTCTAAGCAGACAGCCGCTCCTCTTCCTGCCCCAAGCACCACGTCCTACCGACCCCAACACACCCGTCCTGCCTCAGACGCCGCCCCGGCCCAGCAGTACCCCCTGCCGCTCCTCCTGACGCAGCCCCTGCTCCTGACCCAGGCCCACACACCCTAGCAGGCGCATCTGACGACTCTGTACCTGCCGTGAGGGAAGCACAACATTCATCGCCTCCACAACCCTTTTTCTCCCTCTCTACTCCCACAGATATTGTGTATCTAGACAGTTGTCTCCTCTAGCGACCGGCTCATCCACGCCATCGCCGTTGTCTCACATGTGGCATGCACCGCCCGTTCTGCCTCACATGTGCCATGCAACCCTGCAGACAACAAGTCTCCTACACCGCCTGGAGGGAAGGGGGAGTATTGTAGTGGATTCCTCCCCTACAAACGCTTGTCGCCGAGTAGCCGACCCAGCGAATTCCCCAGTGTACAGTATGCCCAGTGGTCTCGGTCAACCAGCGCCGGCTTGCATGACGGAGGTTAACTATGAAGCCACGCCTACCTCCGCTATATAAGACCTGACCTCGTGGCGTGCTCGCTCTTTCTACCTACACCAACCAGCAAGCAACACCTCCTCCTCCTCCTGCCTGGCGGTCCTCGCTTCCGCCGGCGAGCATGGCGACCCACAAGCTGGTCCTCCTCTGAGCACCCTCACCAACCAGCTCCCTCTACATCACGCTTGTAACCACGCTGCCACTTCCCAGCACCAAGCTGCATTGTACATCCAATACAATATGTATACAGAGAGCACATTGTGAGTTTCCTTTCTCCATCCCATCCTGAGTGTGAACAAAACCACCCGTACCCCACAAGCCCACCTACTGTTAACCTCCTCCTCTATTTCCCACTTCTGAACTTTACCTTGTACTGTACCCTTCCTGCACCCTCAGAGCTAATGCTCTCTTCTCTCCGTATCACCGACCGACCGAAGGTGAGACAACACCACGCTCTTAAACAGAGAAGACTCTCTTCTAAAGAAGCTCCTCCACAGCAACTCCTCTACCAAGCAGCAACTTCCCAGCACCAAACTGTACGTATGTACAGTATGTGAGCCCAACAAAGAAATTAGACAACTGGCCACATACACTACGCTACACCATATACAGTATGTTTTGTTGTCAACACAAGAGAAACAGTTGAGACCCCGTAATTGTGTGTAAATGAGGCAGAAAGACAGATCAGGCAACATTTGACTTGGTCACAATTTTTGTGATGCCATATGGCACCAGTGACTACCAAAGACAACACATTATGCTTCCGATATCGTCCCAGGCGGTAGTACCTCCCTGTTAATAGATAGGTTAAGTTACATAAAGTCAGATTAGGTTCAGGTTAGATTAAGAGCTGGTCAGGTTCATGTAATTTGTTTTAATAAAGAATTAAAAAAAAAATCTTGTCCCAATCACAGTGGCAATGGTCGTCTTATAGTTTACCCCCCCCTCCTTCTTCGAGTCATCCTAAATATAAACTGTGTATGTAAAAACGGGTACAGTACTCACACATCAAATACAAATAATCACAGACAGAAGTCATGTCAATATTTATTAGAAATAATAGTGTACCTTAAAATAACGATGTACAGTTTTAGAAAAAATTCCGTGGACATATTTGGCAATATCTGTGATCATCTACTTGAGGGCTATGTAGGTATGCGTTTGTCAGGTTGTCCTTAATATCCAAACTAACTTGGAGATATATACACATTTATAAACATTCAGAACAATATACAGTATATAATAAGCTTAACCAAATTACAGAGAGAATGTATATTACTGATTCATTAAAAATTGTCTGTTTATTGTAGTGGTTTGACATAGTGAACAGTGACAATAATCCTGGTAGGTGAAAAACACAAAAGCAAAAACTAACGCGTTATCCAAAGTGTGGTGTACTGTCAGGGCTCGTCTCTCTGCCACAGTACATACAATATAATAATTTCACTGAAAAAATGTATAAACGATGAATATCCGGCTGAACACTTAAGTTATTATTAATACGTTGTCATTTAATAATTCCCATATAAATTTGTAGTAGAAAACTGTAAAAAAACCCTGCCTTTGTAATATAAAAAATACTTAACTGAATATATACAATATATGTTTGACATTTCATGGACCCCGTCAAGGATTTTTTTTTAAAGTACAGTAGATTTTTTTATATAATTAAATCCAGTCAAATTATTCTACCAAGAACAATAACTCATGATATAGATCTATAGTTCACCTTTTAAGCTTTGATGCAAACATGAGTAACAAATAACCACAACGACTATACTGAGGCTAAACTGGAGTACTGTTTTGCCTCCCACCCACTCAGCCGCCCACCTCCATCTTCCGATATTGAGGAGAAAATTTTTAACGTGTGAATATTTACGTATCAAGACTCTCAAGTCCAGATTCTTAAAGATTTATACAGTGAAAATTCCTCATACGTAAAGATATAAGAATGGGACTAAACGGTCGATCACAAGACAAAATAAAAAAAGTACTATCGCCCAAAACAACATCACAATTTCACATCTTACTTAGACATGTTCACTTAGCACCAGTTATAGGGAACAGGATTAACATACAGACACACCTACTGTTGCATAATGCTTCTACTGTTACTTGGCACTTCTACTGTTGCTTGACACTTGTACTGTTGTTTGGCACTTCTACTGTTACTTGACATATCTATTGTTACTTGACATATCTATTGTTATTTGACATATCTATTGTTACTTGACATATCTATTGTTACTTGACACTTATACTGTTGACTGACACGTTTACTGTTGTTTGATATATTTACTGTTACATAACACTTCTACTGTTACTTGACACTTCTAATGTTATATGACACTTCTACTGTTAATTGACATTGCTGTTACTTAACGTATACCTTCTAGCTCTCCAGTCATTTCACACACTAGATGCCTCCCTACACTCCTCTTCCCTTTCTTGCTGCTCCTCCGCTGCCACCACCTCCATCGCCTCCTCTCCATTTCCACCCTCTTCCATCTTGCCATTCCTTCCGTTGCATGACATTAGCATCGTTGGCAAAGACCACCCCTGATTCGTGCCCCGCTGCTGTCTCCTCCGCCAGGCTCTCCCGTCAACATCCTGCACAGTTTCACAGAGATTAAGTCCTCTAGTCTCTGGCAGGAGGTGAACGAGCAACCCCGCCACCACTCCACACACCCCGAAGATGCAGTTAGGGAGCCACCATACTAAGTGTGCCTGAAGGGAGAACGAGAGAAAGTTATTGTAATCTGAGGGTAGAAATTGTGTGATAAATCTGAAGGTAGAACATGGGGATAATCTAATGCCCTTAATCTAAATTGGTGTCACCTGAAGATTAGGCACCCCGACCTTATTTCACCTGTACCATAACACCCCACAGCCCGGTACCAATTACCACTCAGCCACTGTCCACCCCTTTAACCTCTTACCAGGATTTCTGTGATGAACGGGGTGACGAAGTAGCCGAGGTGGGCAGCCAGGGAGCAGGAGCAACACCCACGCGACCTCACCACCGTCGGGTAGAGCTCTGATGCCCACACGAAGCTCACCTGTAGAAGGGTTGGTGGAGGATGGTATTAATTTCTAAGTCGTATTATTATTACCCTACCCAGCAGTATAGAGATATTATGTACTGTGTGGTGTGTGTGTCTGGGTTTTTTTTTGTGCGTGTGTTCTCCTGAAGATTCATTTATGTATATACGGTTTACACGTAAGCATATACCTGTGTGTGCATCTGTATATGGGAGTAAAAATTGAGGTGCCATAACTGAAGTTCCATTAGGGTGACTTAATGAATACAATACATCGCATACTAAGACTTTACTCTGGTACCCCCAGGAGGTAGAGAGGTCGGCACTGCACTTGACAATCTAGAACTCTCAAAGTGTAAAGTCATTGTACCCATTACCAGCTGTCTATCTGTCACTCACCATGAAACAAGTACTGATCATCTCCATTGCCACCATCACCAGTACCCATCGCAGCCACCACAAGTCTGTAAACAACAACAATACATAAATACTAAATAATTAAACAAAATATATATGCAATTATTCGGTGATATTATTTATTTTATTTATTTATGTGTTTATTAATCTACCTATGAAATCTATCAATGCAGGTGTTTTCTCAATGATGACTCACCTTGCGGCACAAAGATGACGGCAGCACTAGACACCCCGGCAGTGATGAAACCAGCAGACATAGTAGGCACTCGGCTGAACCTATCGGAGAAGATTCCCCCGACGATTGTGGGCGCCAATTCCATTAACCCCGTCAGGCACAAGTAGATGAAAGGATTGCTGCCCAACACGTAAAGGAGAAAAGAAGGTAGATGGGTTTATATTATTGATCAAAGTCCCTGTTATTAGCTAAGGTAACTAACTAAGTACAAGGTGTCTCATAGGTCACACATCATATTGTACAGGGTGTCTCATAGGTCACACATCATATTGTACAGGGTGTCTCATAGGTCACACATCATATTGTACAGGGTGTCTCATAGGTTACAGACCATATTGTACAGGGTGTCTCATAGGTGTCTCATAGGTCACACATCATATTGTACAGGGTGTCTCATAGGTCACACATCATATTGTACAGGGTGTCTCATAGGTCACACATCATATTGTACAGGGTGTCTCATAGGTTACAGACCATAGGCAAATTAGTATCCTTTTCATATATATTTTTTTCTCTCGGCTTAATTAAGGAGTCATAACAGGGAGAAAAATTATTGTACTATCGCGTCTGTCATAGGGAAGGGGGGGTGAGCGTTAGGTAGTATTGAGTATCGCGTGCTGGGGGGAGGGGAGACTTGTTTACAATATTGAATCATTCCAGGATAATTGGTTCATATAGGTCAGACCATTTCTCTCTCTGTCTCTCTTTCTCTCAATGTTACATGTACTCTCTTTCTCTCTTCCACGCACTCTCTCTCTCTCTCTATCTTCCATTCATCCTCTATCCATACACTCTCACTTGCCTATTTATCTTATAGTCTCACACTCAATCCACAAACCCACTCATTCCCCCTCTCTATCTATACCTTACAGTCTCACACCCAACCCTCTAACCCACTCCCACTCATTCCCCCTCACCTGCCGAAGTTGTTGACGTTGAGTGGTATGCCAAGATAGATAACCCCCATCAGGAACCACATGATGGGGGTGACTAAGGATATAACCCTCATGGCTGGTGTCCTGAAGAAGATACTCAGGGAGGACTGGTTGGTGACACCGTCCTCTCCCTCTTCTGACTCCTCCAGTTCACGGTGTTCCTGTGTGTGTCAAAATTTTGTTTTGAGTTACTTCTTCAGCTTGGATTTTGTATTCAAGCTGTTGTTTAGTTACCTATTCAGCTTGTAGGTACTGTATATCGGCAGTGAAGGTATATAAACAATGTACAGGTATACATTGATAGTAAACAGTAAGACCAAGACTGATCAATAAAGCCATCAGTAGGAAGGTGTTTATATCCGACTTACCATATAGATATTCTCCATGAGAGAGGAGAGCTCAGAGGAGGAAGGTATGGTGGTATGGTTGAGGGTGGCTGCATGCTTCAACACATTCGCCGCCTTCTCAAAGTGCCCCTGCTGAATCAACCATCTGGGCGACTCATCCAAGAACCTGTTGTGTTTTATAGATTGGTTAATTGGTTGATTTCATTGGGAATACATGACACGTACAGTCGCATGCATTTATACCTGGTACAGTGACTGGCACGTTTTGTGAGATGTGGCCAATGTCTGGCTACTATTGCGAGGTTCCTTTGGGTCATTCCAGGAGTTGAAATACGATATAAACAAATACACCATTGCCACATCTCACAAAACGTGACAATATGACACAAAGGACGAATGATTTGGACAACCGTACCGAGACACAGGAGTCGCAGTGTTCATTTGGAAACTCATAGGATCCCTCCGTAAAGATACATTTTAGGAGCGAGTGTACAGTTTCAGACACCAAATTCCTCAAAGACTTGGCAATATGTGGCATCTACTTCTGGGACATATATATGATTGGTTTATATCAGATAATAACACTTCTCTCCACTACATATTATATCGGAACCACAGAATGAAAAAAGAAAGAACATCCGTTAATGCAAAGAAAAATCTGAGAAAATACCTTAAAACTTCAATCCTCTTCACATAATAATGAATAATTTGTCTTTCATTTTTATTATCAATCACGTTGGGGATAATAATAATAATATGGTAGGGGGGGGGGAGGTGGTAAGGAAAGGGAGAAGAGTTAGGGAAAGGGAGGGAGGAAGAGGAGGGCAATATACTCACCTACTGACGGGTAAGAGAGCGAAAGCAAACACAGAAGACACCAGATGCAAGATACGCCAAGATCTCAGCAGGTATCCCATGGCAGCGTAGATCATCACAGCCACACTATAGGGGGCACACAGCAGCAGTCCCACCAGCGTTCTCTTGCTGGCTGGCGTTATCTCCATCACTGTGGTGGAGAGTGAGGGAGAGAATGAAGGGAGACTGAAGAGTTATTGAGGAAGAGAGAGAGGCATTGTAACAACAGCCTTAATTAATGACTTTACTTACATACACACAAACTCAATATACAGACCCAAGTTATAACAGGGATAGATGATGGCAGAGAGAGCGAGACCCTGAATCAGCCTGGCCACGAGCACCAATGAGAGGTAAGGAGACACGCCCACCACCACCACCACTATCATCACCACCACAGAACCCCAGCGAGTTGTAGCGCGGCGACCCAGTCTGTGAAGGTGAGGGAGAGAGGTGTGAGAGTGTTTTAGATCCTGTGGGAGAGGTGTGAGAGTGTATTAGATCCTGTGGGAGAGGTGTGAGAGTGTTTTAGATCCTGTGGGAGAGGTGTGAGAGTGTTTTAGATCCTGTGAGAGAGGAGGTGTGAGAGTGTATTAGATCCTGTGGGAGAGGTGTGAGAGTGTTTTAGATCCTGTGGGAGAGGTGTGAGAGTGTTTTAGATCCTGTGAGAGAGGTGTGAGAGTGTTTTAGATCCTGTGAGAGAGGTGTGAGAGTGTTTTAGATCCTGTGGGAGAGGTGTGAGAGTGTTTTAGATCCTGTGAGAGAGGTGTGAGAGCATTCTAGAGATTGTCACTCACCTGTCGCTAATGGCTCCGCCCACCACGTCGCCCAACATACAACCCCCGCTCACCAACATCTGGTAGAGGGGCACAAGCCACGCCCACCGACACACCAAACTCCACTGTGGGGGGAGGATGGTAGTGATGATGGTGGTATTATTATTATTATTATTATTGACTCAAACGTCTGGTGTAGATAAGTTGTCTTTATACAGTATATAAAAGAAAAACTGCTATAACTTGAATATTAGATAACCTAGTTTATATCAACTGGAGATTTTTTTTAACACTATAAGGTTATTTATTTTCAGGTAATCCAAATATTAAGTTGATGTATGGACAAAAAAGACGACAGTACACCATAATAATAATCAGAACGGATATATAACGTGGGTGATCTAATAAAAGAAAGAAAACGTTCACCATAATTCATAGAAAACTTTATTCTTGGAGGGGTACCTAAAGTAATACGTTAAAACTATCTTGTGGACGTCGGATGTTAAGGCCAAGTTATATGAGAGGGAGAAATAAGGTGGTTGTGAGAGGGAGAGAGAGGGTGGTTGTGAGAGGGAGGAAGGTGACAGTAAGAGGTGAGAGGGAGAGGAGGGTGGTTGTGAGAGGGAGAGAGAGGGAGGAAGATGACAGTAAGAGGTGAGAGGGAGAGGAGGGTGGTTGTGAGAGGGAGAGAGAGGGAGGAAGGTGACAGTAAGAGGTGAGAGGGAGAGGAGGGTGGTTGAGAGGGAGAGTGGGGAGGAAGGTGACAGTAAGAGGTGAGAGGGAGAGGAGGTGGTTGTGAGAGGGAGAGAGGGAGGAAGGTGACAGTAAGAGGTGAGAGGGAGAGGAGGGTGGTTGTGAGAGGGAGAGAGAGGGAGGAAGGTGACAGTAAGAGGTGAGAGGGCAGTTATTACGTGATACCAACCTCGCTGGTGACGGTGGAGGTGAAGTCTGAGGTGTCATATTCCCACTCCATACAAGGCTCGACCTCAATCACCACATCTGTCAACAAACATTCCATCAACTCGCCACATAAACACGTACAAGGTAAACACAGGCGAGAGAACACAGAAATTGCCACACGGACTAAAACAATGCAGATATTAATACCTTGTTCGACCATTTTGCTGCTCTTGAAGGAAGCGTTTGAGAGAGTATCACGCTTCACCATGTCAACCACCAAGATGGAACCGTTGTTATATGACGTATAGAAACAGCCGTTGTCGTAGGACTGCGGGTCAGACCTGCCCACCACCGGGAGAGACAAGTGACAGTCTATTATTTGGCAAAGTGAGTACGAACATTTTTCTGGGCACAACAGGTTATATCTACACCGCGAAGATGCCGGAAAACCAGCTTTTTAAAGTGAGACATAGTATGAGAATGGAAACAGAAAAAGGTAGAGCATTCCACAGTTTGTCTGTGTGAGGAAAGAAGTTTGGTTAAGTTAGTTTAAGTTTAGTTACAGAAAATCGGGTTTGGTTAAGTCTGATGAGGTTGAGTTAGAGAATATCATATGAATAATTTGACACTGATCCAGAGAGAGAGAGAGAGAGAGAGAGAGAGAGAGAGAGAGAGAGAGACTGTACTTACAAGTTCTTGGTGTGGGAGGGGCGACAGCGATAAGGCACAGCACTATTGGTCAAAGTTGATCCAATCAGAGCGGGGGCTAGGGCGGAAGGACCTTAAAATAAAAAGAATTTAATCAACAGTAATCAACGAATATTTCTACTTTAGGACAAAACAAAGAAAGAAATAGTGAGTGGGAGATAATGAGAGAGTGGTGGTGATGTAGGAGGGTGCAGGCGGACGTGTTGATTAAAAACAATATAAATACACGCTTCCTCTCTATTACTTCCACTTGTCATAATAACATCTCGTTAAATAGGTGACAGTGACTCAAGTCTCGGTGTTGTTCCTCCAGGCTGCAACTTGTGATACAGACTAATCTACACCACCATGTCTTCAGTGGTCGGCAGCAGTACTGTACCTACAACAGTATCCAGAACAACGTGACTAAAATGGTTCAGTATAAATGTAACCTACAATCACATTACACGGTAGAAGTACCCATTTAGTGACGCATATTACTTAAAAATAATAATAATATTAAGCAATGTAATTAAATATATGAGACAACTCCATTAGTAAGACAGTAACAAGAAGTGCACTTACCCAATACAGCTGCCAGTATGTGTATGAGCTGCCAACGACCAAATCCAATATTTTCAATTACTTTTTCTATATCGTCTGCCATGATGGCGTATGATTCACTAAACTATTTTATGTGTGATGGTGATTACTTGTAAATGACGATGTATGATATTTATGCTCTATGTAAAAGTTATTTGGTTTCTCTATAGCACCACAGTAATGTATTTCACTAACATGCCGTTGTATGATGCTGTGTATATCGTATACTTTAGCGTTATTTTTTATTTTTTATTTATATTTTCCTCTTCGCACTGACGGGCTCGTTGGCCGTAGGCTCACGTTTCTTTTACGAACTGTTGACAAGTACTGGCTCTTGAATGTATCTGAACCTGCTCCAGTCCACTGGTGGCCAAGTCTGGTATTGAAACAGCTCACACTCGGTACCGTCACAACACTTGCTGACAGATTGTTCCAAGAGCTGTGACCCCTTGTGGGATGGGCGACCGCCAGCTCTAGGTATGAACACTCGACTGAGTAGTGACCTCTGAGATGTTTATACCTGTATACTTCAGTTAGGTCACCTCTTGTCCGTCTGGATTTTCACTTTAGCTAACTGTCTGAGATGGTTCACACGGTCTTGACTAGGCTGCGTGGACTGTCACTGATGATCTGAAATCGACAGAAGGAATAATTGGTAGGGTAACAGTGAAGAATGAATGTATATCTGACACTTCACTACATAACTCCTTGAAGACATCTCAAAACCAGACGGACAAGAAAAGTACTAAGACATGATTAATTAGGTTAAGTTATGTTAGATTAAATTAAGCTAGATAAGGTTAAGTTAGTTTAGGTTAGACTCAGGTTAGTCAAGACAGGTCAGGTTAGGTGAGATGTAGACACTTAACGTTAATACAGAATTGCTCGCTTAAACTACGATAAATATCATCTGAATGGCGTCAAAATTCCCGTGAGTATAGTGCATCTCGGTAAGTCCTGTTATTACTAATACAGTATGAATAAAAATCTATCCGACAAAGCATTAAATATTTACACTAAAATTAATACTTATTTCGGATTTGCTATTGAATGCTCCCATGTTGAATTTTCTTTTGCAAAAATACGGAAATAATGTTTAAAATGGTAACATAATAACTCTTATGACTCTACCTTAACTAGATATCTTATTTACTTAATGGTCACTCACTATGGGTGGCCATGTTGACAGAAGGAATCCAGTGACCTGTGTAGGATCCTTCCATTATTCTTGATAATCTTGTCAAGGGCTATTTTGAAGCTCAGTACTGATCGTAATTTCATAGCTTGAACTGGTAGACAATTCCAGTGGTTGACCAGCCTCTGTGTGAAGAAGTATTTCCTGATGTTCGTTCTGTATGATAACTTGGTGAGCTTGTAGTTATGTCCCCTCGTGTTGGTGGTGCGTGGCGTCACAACAAATGGTCCGGGTTCAGTGAGATCTGCCCCATTGTGCCTTGTCTGAAGGGTTGTTAGTCCTATGGCCCTCAGTCTACGTGGATAATCTAGATGACATAGTTCAGGAATCATCTTAGTCTCTCTTTGTTGCGCCTTTTCTAGGGATGTTGGATCGTTCTGGAGGCAGGGTTTTCATGCCTGTATACAGTAATCCAGACTGGGATGTACCACGTGAGATCTGTACAGTTGAAGGAGCATTTTCCTGTCTTTGTATTCGAAGGTAAGATTTATAATTGCCAAATCTCGGTTGGCTTTCCTCATTGTTGTCCCCACTTGTTGCTCAGCCTCCAGTGACCGATCTATCACTACGCCAAGATCTTTCTTAACAACAGTATCCAGGAAAGTGTTATTAACAGAATAGTTGTGATTAGGGTTGTTCCATCCTATGTGTGGGGTCTTGCATTTCGTAATGTTAAAGAGTGTTTGTCATTTTCGACCACTTAACACCAGTTAGCAGAGAAAATTGCACAGAATACCCACCACAACTAGATACGCTCACATAACACCAGTTAGACATTATCAAGCAATCTGGATTCAAAAAGGATAGTGAGAATATCCCACGTAATTTATAACCGAAAAAACACGACCAGTAATAACATTATAACGTCAATACTAACACCTTATGAATCCGGAACCTGAGTCTTGGTGAGGTCGAGTCCGGGAGAGTAAAGTGATATAATCGATAGATGGCTCTGGTCTGCCCTGCTGTTTCCACGTTGAACGACCCCACTGTGGCTCATGTCACACTCGTCCCAACATACACATACAGTAGTGCCATTGCTTATTTTTACAGTAACATTGTTTATTTCAAACTCATGGTGACTGAATTTGACTAACACACAATGACATTTCACAAGTAATATTTATCACTCTTATGGCAGGATGGATATTCCAACAGCTCTGGTTCCGGAGTTTAATCAGTAGTAACTCTTTAATTATAAAACAGTTTACTTACCTCAACTTATGTATATTGTATATTATAAACACCCACCTATCATCACAGTAACATGTCTACCCCCAGCAGTGTCTGGCTGCCAACTGGTGGTGTTTCTCTCAACCAACCACTCCCTGAGCCGGGACTCCTACATTCCACAGTAGTTTACGTAACACTTCGTTCATTATAGCCATCCCCTCATCACTCCACCAGATCAACTTCTTTAAGCATTAATTTGTTATGCCATGTCATAAGAAATTATTTTAAATAAATGTTACAAAATGGATATTGATCGTACATTTGGCAGGGAGTTAACTTGGCACCAACTTGCAAGCCAGCATCACAAGCAGAGAGAGAGAGAGATTAACAGGTAGATAGATAAAGAGAGATTCAGTAAAATCGTCATAAAAGTTCACATTGGTTCAGTGTAGGTATACAAACAACAGAAGAAAAAAAAGTCAATTTAAGTTTGACTAATTTTACAGTCGGCCGCAGGGTACATCTTGGACCTGCCAGAGAGTAACTGTGAGAGACCTGCCACAAAGTCACTGTGAGGGACCTGCAGAGTCACTGTGAGAGACCTGCCACAAAGTCACTGTGAGAGACCTGCCACTGTGAGGGACCTGCAGAGTCACTGTGAGAGACCTGCCACAAAGTCACTGTGAGGGACCTGCCAGAGAGTCAGTGATGGACCTGCCAGTCACTGTGAAGGACCTTCCATAGTCACTGTGAGGGACCTTCCACAGTCACTGTGAAGGACCTTCCATAGAGTCACTGAGGGACCTTCCACAAAGTCACTGTGAAGGACCTTCACTGTGACTGTGAAGGACCTGCCAAAGTCACTGTGAGGGATCTGCCACCAGTCACTAAGCATATTGTCACCACTTGTACTCAATTACGTACGTCTGGTCTGCTTCCCACACTTTGGAGATGTTAAATGGAAAATCTCGTATATGCAACTTGTACTTGACCACATGCCTCCCCCTGAACTATAGTTGAAATGAATGATAACGACTTGGTCATTTTACTTGTAGTATTCTGACTGTGAATACTCAAGAACACTTCTCCCCATGTGACCACCATGCCATCCATGCTAACTGAACACTTCCCAGCCAGCCACACTTTGTTGATTAAAACTTTGGTTACTGGCACTGTAGCCATATTTTCCCTGCCAGTCCTGGGGGTGAACCCTGCCGCTATATTCAATAAGGGCATCTAAGAAAAAACAACAATTTAATCTTTCACCGATATGAGTGGTGACATGCATCTCAAGAATAATGAAGAGTACCAACCCTACAAAAAGCTGTTCCCTAAGAGTGGTCATTCCTGGTTTTATATGTATGTTGGTTCTAAATAGGAGTCTTAGTGTAGCCGAGTGAAGTTTAAAGCTGTTTACACATCACGACACTTCGATCCTGCCAACCTTATCAACTAGGTCACCGGTCTAATGTCAAGTATTAAAGATATAAGGTGATATTTTTTTATGTTTTGCTGATCACACAAATTAATAAACCAACTCATATTGTGAAGGAGGTTCTTGTGGGAGAGAGAGATGACAAGATTAACTTAGCTTAGTCAAGATGAAATACAATCAGACAAAGTCGTGTTGCGCACCAAAAGTCTAGCCCTCTGGCATATGTTTTCACCAAATTTCACAACACGACTTTTGTCTTTCATTGTACAGTACACATTATAAATAAAATACAAGCGGTGGAGCACTCCTTAGTTACTTTTTGTGATGCAGTGTATGAAGGAGATGCACCAACAGTAAGTCCACTACACTGTACATATAAACATTTTGAATTGTTTTTAATTTCACCAATTTGATTTTTTATGAAGACTTATCTGAAGAAGAAATGCAAAATTTATCCATTTAATATTCTATTGTTTCCAGTGACATCAGATCAAACTCAGACACACTAAGCAACTCCCAGTAAAAATACCTTGGGTCAGTTTTTTGCCACTGCTTCACCTAGTGGTCCTGTGAGCCATGAATAAAACACAGCAAGTACTGTACTTTATTTTGAGGATTTTGACAACCATACCAAGACAATAGGAGTTGAGGTATTCATTTTGAAATTCATCTGACCCCTCTGTAAAGACACTTTTCGGAGCGAGTGTACGGTAGTTGAAGGTATGAAAGGCTTGGAGCAGATCCCTGATGAGCATCAAGCTTACACACACACACAAGGTCAAGTTGTATAAGGTATTGGAGGTGTTGATTACAAGACCTTTGGGACTGGTAAAAACATCATACTTTTCCCACAAGTTAAGTTCAACAGAGAATAATTTGCACAAGAATGAGATCTGCACTGTCTCAACTTGTTATTTTGGGGTGTGGAAACACTGTAATGTACACCACTTGTATCTAATCCAAACCATCTTATTTAAAACAACTTCACAATAAAAATTAAGTAAGAAATATGAAATAAAACAAATCCACAGAACATCAATATTTATTTTTTTCGAGATTTAATACTGTACATAAATATATAAATCTGTCTGGAAATGTCTGGAATTCAAGAAATAATAATAAAAAAAACTCTGCTTTATGAATACAATTATATTCATTCACTCTCAAAGTGCTATAGTCCTGTACTAACCTTCCCTACTTAACACAACAACAACTGCTATTCATTAAACAGTCACTGCATGTACTAACTTAGGTGTTAAAGAAAATCTAATTTTATATAATTTATGAAAGTCAATGAGAACAGATAAAACAAAACCTCCAAATGACAGTCATATATAACTCATTCACTCTTGTAGAAAGTCATGTGTACTGTATTTCATATTATTGAATGAAACTGTCACTTTTCATTCTTCTAAATGGTCAGCAACATTGTACAGGAAGAACTTTGCCAACATGTGCTGTAAACCTGTTAAACTGCAATAATCTGAAGGAGGGGCAAGGGGATAACACTTCCACAAGAAGGTGCTACAAATTATTATGACAATACTGTACTGTACTGAAGGTACATAGTTAGCCTCTCTAAAATGTATTTCATTGTTCTCATTCCATCACAGAAACAAAATAACAAGGGCAATAAATTGTATTATATATTTCATTGAGCAACAGGAACCTGTTTTATGTGAGTGACTTTCTCTATGTATGGTTCATACTTTACTGTACAGTTGGGCTCTGATTAAAAGGTGTGTGTGTGATGAGACCACCAAGAAACTTGCTTGTGTTAGTGCATTTCTCACTTTAAATACACAAAATTACTCTTTGGGCATGATACATACACTGTACAGTACCAGTATATGAACAATATAATATATATATACACTGTACCTGGTATAAGTATACATTATATGTATATATATACAGCATACATTAATTTTTATTTTTGTTTGTTTTGGATGTGTTACCGAGAAACTGGTTTCCAGAGTGCAGAATCCTCATCATGAGATAAGCGAGAGGGACTTGTCAAGAGGACTCTAGCACAACTCACTATGCTGGCTCACCTTAGTACACATGGTAGCTGGCTAATAAACACATTCTACAATGCATAGTCATCTCTTATTACCAAGGTACAGTAATCATTATATCCAACTAATTTTAAATAAAAGTTGATTTAAGTTTCCTAAAATATATGTGATTTAACCAGTGGAAGTCCAAATACCCAGGGCAAGAGTTGTAATGGTGTGTGCCAGTACTGTACCTTGTGAAGAAAACAAGATAAAACAACATGAAAGAGAGAGAGAGAAACCTGTCACTATGGCCTAGTTAATTTGTACAACTATTGCAGACACTGACCATCCCACCAGTAAAGGGAAAACCTTGTTTGGGGTGTGGCCCTCGCTGGTAACCTACAGTCCACGATCCGTTTGAGGTACAAGTAAGAGATGTATGTCGTATCCATTTTGTGAAGTATTGCTTATCAATACCAACGGGCACTGTAGACCGTAAACATTATTCCTCCTTGGCAACACACTTAAAAAAACAGCACAGGTTAAGTCTTCAATTTCTTGCGCCGTACGCTGCTCGACGTTTCCGAATCGGACGTGTCTGAGCCCGATCCGTCAAATTCCATGAGAGAGCCAGACTTGCTGTTGAGGAGTGCGTTGTTGCTCGTCATGGCTGCAAAGTTGCCCGTATACTTGGTTTTCTCCAGGGAGCGAACTGTAAGCAAACAACACAAGACTTAATATCAAGGTGACACATACAGTCCCCTCTCTCTCTCTTAACATCAAAGTGACACATACAGTCTTCTCTCTCTCTCTTAACATCAAGGTGACACAAAAATACCCGACATTACTAAACAAGTCAGATAACCTAACCTAACCAAGAGCCTAAACGTCTCCCCTTGACCCTGGCGAACTATTTCAAAGTTTAGAATCTTATTTGTAAAAATATGCTTCCTTTGAGGGCATACCATATCTACGCATTAACACTATGGGATGGGATCCATGCTAACCATTACATTAGCTTGTTAGAAACTCAGGTGCACTAAGGTCTGGCCCCTTCATTAACCTGTTAGACACACACACACATATACTATTGCTCTTACTTTGGTTTTCGAGTAGATTATTTTGCTTCTTGAGGTCGTCTATATCCTGCTGATGGGCCGAGTTCTTGCGCCTCATAAACTCTATGTAATCGGCCGCTTTCTTCAGAATTTGTGCACGACTTGCCTGCGAATTCTTCATTAATTAGTGATACATCTATGCCCCTTTTAATATCAGAAACAAGTTAAATATAAAGGAAAAAAACTAAATACAGGTATAAGAAGAGGGAATTGTAAGACAAGAAGGAAGCAGACGATTAAGTGTTCCTGCCCAGATTGTACGCTGTGAATAAGACTACTACAGTACTAATGATGATAATGATGATGAAGATGATATTAATTATGAGAAGAAAAAAATTGTGGTGTGTGTGCATGCAAATTTTATTAATATTGAGGCATCTACTACTAAAGCAATTCAAGAACCTACAATACATGTCAAGTGTACAACATATAAAGTACTGTACTGTATTTTCAACGTGCCATTGCTATATTTTACGAGATAAACCCTCGGAAATCTCAGACGTATGCATGGCCTGGTTTGGTGCAGTACACAAATTTCCAAATCCACACAAAAGGAAATGAAGAAAATGTAATGAAGAATGTCATTGTGCTCAAGAGGGCTATGTCATCGTACTCAAGGGGTTAATGTCATTGTACTCTAGGAGTTAATGTCATTGTACTCAAGGGGTTAATGTCATTGTACTCAAGGGGTTAATGCCATTGTCCTCAAGGGGTTAATGTTATACTCAATGGATTTATGTCATCATATTTGAAGAATTTATATCATCATACTCCAGAGGATAATGTCTTCATACTGAAGGGACTTATATCATCATACTGAATGGATTTGTCATCATACTCAAGGGATTTATGCCGTTGTAATCAAGGGGTTAATCATACTCTTGTAATAATAGCAGAAGGGAGGGAATGACCAATGGTGACATGTATGGAGAACGGTAGTCTTTTCTTTTTGAAGTAACTGGTGAAGTAAGTGGTGACTGCTTTTGCATGAGACATACAGTATACTAGGGTGGGTGGCACTTAACATCAAAACTTTAAAATGTCTAGGTCTAACCCCCCATTAAATGATCCCGTTTGGTGAGAAAACATTGTGCGTGAAACATTTTTCAAACAATTTAATATTTAGTGGTCGCTCAACAACAATAAATTTTTGTTGCCTTCGCCGCGGGTCGACCGTATTGGGGCTGTGCGCTACTAACCGGCGGGCAACGTTTGTCATTGCTGGGACGGCCTGAAGTCTTGGACACAGCATCAACTGGGAGTCCACACGACGAGCCCGGTGGTGACATCACTCTCACTTCACAAAATCCCTGAAGAAAGAATTCACAGTCAAGGTGCCGTTCATCATTCACTGAACTAAACGGCAAAGTTCACACTGACTGCCTCCCCATTATTGTGACTGGGCATGGAGTCATTCAACTCCTAACTGTTGCCAAGACCACTGGGACAGGAGAAGACATGGTCAAGTGATCACCACAGTATTGTAGTAGTGAGGCCTGGAAGAGCATGTGGTTGGTTTGTCACTTGACACTACAGCACCTAATACAGGCCACAGTTCAGGGGTATGTGTCCTGATTGACCAAAACCTCAGACCTGACCTCCTCCATTTTGCCTGTTGGCACCACATCCATTAATTTCACTACCTGCCATCAGCAGGCTTGGAGTTTAGTGGGCCAAATGACTTACAACACAGGCTCAGATCATGAAGATATCACTCCTATAATCGAGGCTGTCAAAAAGGAACTTCTCACTCTCATTCAAAAACAAGTGCAGAAAAATCACTACTGAGATTACTAACAGGAGTTTCTGGAAAATGCAGTGGTTTTCCTTGCTGGTGTACCACCTCTTGGCAGCCGATGGAGGGTGCCGGGGGCAATGCACCATCCTCGTTGCCTGTGCAAGGTCTTCTATGCATTGAAAGTATGGATGCTTTGAGTTCAGTTCCACCTTTTGGCTCAAAAGGAGAAGGGACTCCAAAATTTCAGCCAGGAGTACTAAACCCTATTCGACCATCAAAGGTCGAACTGTCCATGTTAGCCAAACATCTCATCAGCCACCAAAAGTGCCACAGTCTTAGCAATGGACAAGGAAGACCAAGTGAGTCCACAGCAACACAAAAGAAGTTCACACCCACTCTCTTGAGAATTTCATGACCCAGGTATGCTCACTTTACAGTATATAAGTATTGGAAATGTACTGTAATTTTCTAAATGATTATCAATCATGACTTAGCATGGCTATCGCAAAAAATTATATTTGATATGATAATTTCCTTATTTTTATTACAACGATCAACGTAATTTGAATAATTGCAGTACTGTACTGTGTTTTCCATCCTGCACAGGCAACCAAAGGATTTTTTTTTTAAATTAAGGCTTTCAATGGATTTCCTGTCCATGGCTCTGGATACCTGGAACCTTAAGAAATGACTTCAAGAGGAATACACAATGTGTGAGAGGAGTCAATTGTCAACAACACTGCCGAGAGGGGTGTGGCAATCATCAAGGAGTACAGTATACTGATTTCAACTGAACAGCAACAAAGAACAACTCCAGTTCCTGCTGCAGGTAGTCAATGACCACCGACGATGCTTCCCTGCTACTCGGAAAGAAATAATGACCAGTGGTAATTTTAACTATGAGAGCTGAGTGTCATATATTTATCTAACAGCAAGGATAAGAACCAGAAGACTGTACTGTACATCTGTTGGTGAAACACACTAATCAAAGCAGCTTAAGTTACTTATTAAGTATGTCATGATTCCCATCGTATTGTATAGAAATGTATCAATAAATGAATGGAATGTTATAAAAGTTTGGTGTTGTGTGTGGAATATATGACTATTGGGTGAACCGGTACCAAATTTATAGTAACTGCAAGGGTGATGGGAAAAACTTTTCTTCAGAGGTAGAAAATGGATGTAGCTAGTGCTGTACTGGGAACACCCTGTGACATTTACATATTGTGTACTGTATCATCCTGACAACTGGAAACTCCGCAGGAACTACTGTAACTAATATGCTGCAGTATATAGAATACAGGCGACCAAATATTTCTACAGCGTTGATTTGATCTTTAATGCTTTCAAGTGATGCCTAAATATTTACATAATTCTTAAATATTTCACACACAGTGTTTCTTACAATCTGAGACTCATTGCCAGGGTCAGTTGTGAAATATTTAACATTTACCACCCAAAGCTAAGTGCCACTCTAGTATTCACAGTACAGTATATTTTTCCAGTTACAGTATAAAAAAAAATATCTAAGATTTATAGTACATATGTCTATCACTGACCAAAATACACAGTTAACTTCCATATGGTAGCTCCAGCAAAGACAAAAAATTATTACATCCATACTCCCTGCACTTGTGATTTAAAATTAGAAACCCCCCCAAAAAAGTTGGACTGTAGAGGCAGATGAAGCCAGAGATGTGTGGTGTTGGAGTAGGTCTTAAGGACCAGGGGCTTGGGAGGGGGGGGGACAGGAGAGTAAACAAATGTGTAGCGGAGTCAATACAAAGAATTTATTATAGTGACTGGATGGAGAAACTAGATGAGTGGGAGGTTCCTGAAGGGTGTAAGAGAAATAGGGTGGCAGGTTAGTTACAAAGACATGCATGTTGTTCTGCTCTGGCCATAAATATACTTGTACAGTACTGTGTATGTACAGGGTATGTATGTATTCAGAGGTCTTTTATGTATACTTTATGTATATACAATACCCAATTTACAAAAGGGTTCTGTTCCTGAAAAACCTTCCATAAATAAAAGGCTATTTAATATGTTTTAACCGAAATTTTGATGAACATAATAATTATAAGCCAATAATTAACATAATAAGAGGATGACTTCTGTAATTAAGCATTAGCATTTTCTACTGGTCTCTGACAAATTGTTCAGTTGCACTTCATGTTCTGTACACTAAAATAACCCCAATTTACTGTGAAACTGCACCAAGAATTGTGAAACAGTGTGAAACTGCAAAACTCAGCCAACACAAACACAGTGCAGTTTATGGCTTTAATTTTGCAGTGATGCACCAGCAGTAAGTCTATTGCACTGTACAGTACTCCTACACATTTTAAGATATTTTGTTTTACTGGATTTAGTTTTTTATGTGCTGTGGTACTATGTGAAGAAGAAATGTCTAACTTGTCCATTTAACATTTTATTCTTTCCAGTGACATCAGATCAAACTCTGAGATACTAAACATATCAGCATCCCCAGTCAAAATACCTTGAGTCAGCATCTTGCCACTGCTTCACCTATGAGCCATGATAACTACAGGTATTTTACTCTAAGCTTAGTTAACTAATCTCAATACAGTACAATACATAATGTTGTTATAAGTTTAACTGTTGTTGTAAGTTTAACTGTCTTAATAATCTGACCTTAGATGAGAAATGAGCCAGGAGGAGGAGAACATGATATTGTGATCCTGTCTTGCGTAAGATGATAGCCATGATGTGTGTGCTATATAAAGGAGTGATGTTTCAGGTGTACAACACCACGACTCTCCTCCCAAAGAGTAGAGGCAGTAGTTCACACAGAGACAGTACTGTATTGTATTAGTGCTTTGATACAGCGAGCAACACTTCAAGCATTTATTCAAACAATGAGTGGATTTATTCATAATGTTGTGTTCACATCATACTGCTTTGACTTCCAATATATGAATCATTTTTGACTGGTAAAGGGGGGATCAAAGTACTGTACAGTGTGAGTTAATGTAATGTACAGTACAGCAAATGAGTACTATGTGCACATAACACAATACAGTATGACTTTTTTGCCTAGCATCTGCTCTGTGTGTGTGTGTAATATTAAATGTTCTCTCTACAAGCTCTACTGTTTAAAATCTGCAAATAGCTTCCATAGAGTATAGTTGTAGGTAGACAAGATACAGTATAGAATAAAAGAACAGACAACAAGAGTTAAGTATTGTATATCTTACATACCTTCTCCCCTTGAAGGGAGGGAACAGAATCCCTTAAGGAACAGAAAGAGTCTTTTATGTGGTCCCGACGTTTCCTCTCCAGAGCATTATGGTGTGCTCGTTTTTCCGCCTGCGACGCAAACTGGAATTCTCCACGAGCACCACCGCCAAGCGACTCGTCATCCTGAAGACATGAAGGAACTTTGTACTCACACTTCTCCATTCCTAACACACAGCATAAACTTTCTAACAGTACCTCGATACACGTGACACAGCACAAAGGATTCACACACTTTTAAACTGTTCAAATAACAATCAGTAACTGGTGTGAAGGAAATATGCAACCCAAGTTTACCTCAACCAGACCCATTACCTCGTACATTCAACTGTTTAATCTTAGCCACAACTGTACATTGTCTATTAAGTTACTATACAGTACTTATACATTACTTTAACAGAAATAAATCAGTTTATATACCTTTCTGGGGTAATGCTCTGGATAAGTTTACAAAGTTCTCACTACAAATGCACAGCTTCTGGTATAATTTTCTTTAACCCAAACTCAAAAATACTGTCATTTGGCGGCCAGACTTGTATTCTTCAGCCACTTCATAATTTAACATTTTTACAGAACAATAAAGTTATAGAAAGGATTATTGAGAACATTTCACTTCAAGCTAACACACAAGGCATCACTAACACCTTTCTCCAGTACAGTATAGTTTTTAAATACCCACTTTAGTACGACTTGAAATTACTAATATAATGACCACATCTGAACATCCTGCCAGTACAGTCACCACCTTAATTATGGTTTGCTTTCTTTAGATTTTCCATTAAAACAAATCCTGTACTAGAGAAAGGGAGAAAAAATACTGTTGGAGGTAACACAAGTATCCTCACCAGTATGTCATGAGTCCTGCTTGGCCCAGACACATGTGAGGAGGGTGTTATCTAGTGTGAACCTACCAAACATCACAGGTTTCCTCCAGGTACTCCAGTTTCCTCCTGTACTAACACTGGATAGACCAACCACCCAAACATCTAGTAAGTGGTGAAATGGGCACAAGGGCCAACGGCTTTGGGAAAATTTAACAAAAACAATTACTGGATTATGTTTGATTTCAGTATAAACAGATCACATTGATATACAGTACATGTACAATCGAAAAAATAAAAATAAAATAAAATTTTTACTCAGGGGAGGGGGGGGCATCGTTGAGCTTCAGCTCTTTCAAGACCAGACTTGACCAACACTGGAGCAGGTTCAGGTACATTCAGGGGCCGATGCATGCCCAGTACTTGCCAACAGTGCGTAACAGACGTGGCTGTATATATGAGTGGCAGAATTCCCACTAAAATCAGACATAATTCAATAAAGTGTTTATTCTAAATTGCTACAGTGCCAAAGATGGAGAGGCAAGTTGATGATTCATTTTTATCACTGATTTTGTCTCTACCAACAGATCTATTGCTAAAGCAGCGTTGACCAACTTCTGTTGTAAATTCACCGAACAGTATATTTACTAATAAACTAAGGGAGCGCTTCAAGATTTTTCCCATTACTTCTAGTTTTTTTTTTAGTTTCATATAAAATCCACGACTTCTCAGTGTAGTAACTAACAACGTTCTATAAACAAAATTATCTCCCAAACTCTGGCTTAGTTGTGACATTGGTAAATATTTAGTTACCCTTAACCTGTACTAAATAAGTGATCTTGTGACTCATAATGTCTTTCTCACCCAGAGAAAATCCCACACAATGAGGATTTGCATTTTTTACATTATTTTGCCAAACTTTTTTATCCAGAATGTTAAACTACATCGATGAACTTGATTCTGCAGACGCTGCCACATTGACTGTTTACACAATCGTAGAACATTTCACAGACAGGAATACCTGAATGCTTCCCAGTGACCATTCCATACACACAAACACTTTCCAGCTACATTGTTTACAGCTGTCCGCATACATAAACACGCAAGATGACGAATTTCAGGTTCGTTATGTCTTAATTTTTGCACTTACAGAACTGTAATAAACTTTTCACCCTTATTTAAAGTATCTTATGAGTAATGATATTAAAGTTTTAATCATACTTGAGTAATTATAAATATTGTTACACCAAAGTCACCAACGGCAAATGAAATCGGACAGCACCCAGCACTAGGCGCGATCCTTTTCAATTCTTTCATGCCTTACGCTTTGTTTTAGGTCCTATCCAATATACTACCGTATATAGAATTATTTTTATTATTATATAACAGTTTTTTACTGCCTTACATGCCTCCCAACTCTTCAATAGTAATCAAAATTTTCTCCATAAGCGGTCATGATCCGTGTATTTTTAGTGGGAGAAATCGCTGATTGGTTGTTAGCCATTTTTTCCGCTTGGGCCCTGTGAAAGGCTAACGCCTACTCGAGGTGTTAGCTAAAGTGTCATGCGGACAAATCAAAAGCAGTGTCTGCGCATACAGAATAGCTAATGCGTTAGCTATTCCGTGCATTGAAAATGCCTTACAATAACTGCCTTAGGTGTTTTGATTAAACATAGGTATATATTACCGGGCCACATAGCCTGTTGCATCTTTCACATATTGTTTAAGTGAGGTGATAGCTGGTGTATTTACAATTTTTTTTTTTTTGCTTTTTAGTCATTCACATATTGTCTTAATGTTTTTTATTATTTTCCATCCCAAGCAACAGTTATTTCCGTGTATATAATGATGGGAATGAACGCGGTGACGAAACGGGGTGAAAATAGTGGTGATGAATCGGGTTGGTGACGAAATAGGAATACCCCACACACACTATGTGGGGGCTTGAGGTCGTGTACACATACTATGAGGGAAGCCTGAGGTCATGTACACACACACTATGAGGGAAGCCTGGGATCATGTACACACATACACTTATACAAAGACATACATGCACCCACGTACACACAAACACACACACACACACCCACGTACACACACCTGCATACGAACCAGATTTTTTCACACCTCCCAACACCTCTTCTCGTCTCTCATATTAACCCCACACACAATATTCTACCTGTAATATAGACCCTAAATCTCAGTCACGTAGCTGGAAACATAAAATCAGGGCAGGTGGTCCACTAGGTGTTATATTTAACCTAAATATAATCAGGTTCTCCCTCACACCAAGAGGTCGGGGGGGAGGGAGGTGATGGAGGGCCTGATACAGTACCTATTTAAATTTCCCTCAAAAAATGGAAAATTAATTCAGCTTTACTTACATCACTCTCGATATCGATGTCCCTTTCTTCATCGCTCATTTTGGCAGTGCATTCCCGTTGGTGGAAGACTCTTAGCCAGCCTTACAGATCAATATGGCGAGAGCACTAACACAGCCACACACACTGGCTGGTCTACACAAGTCCTCCTGAACCACGAAAAGTAACTGAGAGACCAACAACAGGGAGAGTCTCTGTTAATATCAATTATTATATTCTAAACATATTTATCTTACTTATATATATGGTTAAACTTCTGTTCAAAGCTTTTATAATTCCATAATGAAGGTAAGAAGCTGAAAAATATACCTAACATATCAAATGCAGTTTATTAGATATATTTTTTTTTAGATTTTAATTGTTTAGATGTATAAATTTAATTTATACTACAATTTTGATTTAAAAAATAAGTGTATATCCTAAGAATTTTAATATTTATAATAGGGTTGTTGCCTTGTTAGTGATAGAGGTAACACGCGTATATTTCACTAATAGGTCAAGGGTTCGAGCCTTGGACCACACAGGAAGGGTATTATCCAGTGTGACCTTATCAAACATCACAGGTTTTCTGAGATATCAGTTTCCACTGGATGAACTAGACTGAACGGCTGATAGATGATGACAAGAAATGAAGACCTTCAGGTTTATTTATTAGCATTTTTCGCCTTTTAGGAGAGCTAGCGCTGCCCTTCGCTTGCTTAATGTATAATGTTACAAATCGACCACAAATAAGTCACCTAAACCCTTACTTTTTTGAGAACTATAACTAGCCAAAAATGTTAAAAATAACCAAAGTATATATAATTATTACAACTAGTTGAATTTGGATCATAATTTTTCCTAAATACAAAATTAGTAGGCTTACACGTTCGTATCTTCTTTTTAACATAAATTGCAGTCATTAACCCACCTTGACATGTGGCGTTATGTGATGTTGGTTCACACTCAGGATGGGATGGAGAAAGGAAACTCACAATGTGCTCTCTGTATACATGTTGTATTAGATGTACAATGCAGCTTGGTGCTGGGAAGGCAGCATGGTTACAAGCGTGATGTAGAGAGAGCTGGTTGGTGAGGGTGCTCAGAGGAGGACCAGCCTGTGGGTCGCCATGGTCGCCGGCGGGAGCGAGGACCGCCAGGCAGAAGGAGGAGGAGGAGGAGGAGGTGTTGCTTGCTGGTGGCTGTAAGTAGAAAAGAGGTAGGTCACCACGAGGTCAGGTCTTATATAGCAGAGGTGGGCGTGGCTTAATAGTTGACCTCCGTGATGTATGGCGGCGCTGGTTGACCTAGACCACGAGGCATACACTGGGGAATTCGCGGGGTCGGCAACTCAGCGACAAACAGCGTTTGTAGGGGAGGTATCCACTACATCACATACAGTAGACGAACAGTTGTAATGTCATTTTCAAAAGCATAAATGATCATCTTTTTCATGATATTTTAATAAAATTGCTTATGTTTTTCTGCTTATCTCTTTGTAAACAACATTGAGATCGTTTTTTATGGGGTAGTTAGTTACATTTCCTCTAATTAGACATAAGAGAATGTGTCATGTTACAGCAGATATTCAGTGCAATTTCCATGTAATTTTAATATGAAAATAAAAATAAACTAGCAATTTAGTCAGCACTTTGGACCCTGTAGCGACGCAACCTCCCCCCTCGGCGTTTCTTCGGCATTGGTTTAATAAGATATAGTCAAAGGAAAGTTATCTCATACGAAACTATATGAATTCATCTCTGGAATCAGATTAGGGAAAATTCACCATAGGGAAACTTTCAGAATCCAAGTCATTAAGGAATCTCTTGAGAATCTTGAACACTTCAGTTATCGATGCTTTATTGACGCCGTCTTCAAGGCGTCTTTTGGTAGTGATTGACTGCCCGAATAACGACAAAATTTTACTTTTTTTTTTTACTTATATCCTCTTCGCCACTGATCGGCTCGTTAGCCGCTTGGGCGATCGGTCACGTCTCTGTCACGCACTGTTGGCAAATACTGGGCATGCACCGGCTCCTGAATGTACCTGAACCCGCTCCAGTGTTGGTCAAGTCTGGTCTTGAAAGAGCTCGCACTCGGTGCCGTCACAACACTCTCTGGTAGATTGTTCCAAGAGTTCACAACTCTCACTCTGAAAAAGTTTGCCCTCACAGTTTTCTGGACTTGCGGCTTCTTCAATCTTGAGCTGTGACCCCTTGTGGGGCGAGCGTCCGCCAGCTCCAAGTAAGGACACTCGACTGAGTAGTGCCCCTTGAGATGCTTATACACCTCAACTAGGTCACCCCTTGCCCGTCTGTAATATAAGCTAGGCAAGTTCAGGCGCTCCAATCTCTCAAGGTAGCTGAGGTGCCGAAGTGCAGGCACCAGTCTGGTGGCCCTCCTTTGAACATTTTCAACCAACTGACAGTCCCTAGCATATCTCGGGGACCAGACGGGGCGACAGTACTCCAGATGGGAAAAACATTGTTCTTGCTAATATTTACTTGAGGATTTATTATGGCTGGAATCCAAATTTTTACTACATATATCTTAATGAGAAGTTTTATAATGTTCTTTTCTGTGTTTAAACTTAACACAGTAGCTTATAGTAGTTCTCCGTATTCTTTGTCAAGAATTTCTTTAAAATCGTAGTTTTGTAAATTTACTCTTTTGTCTTCCTTATTTTCATATATGATCTCTCAAGGATTGAAGCACTGCTTCCCTCTTTTTTAGGACATGAAATCGTCATGTGTACCCATGACAAGTGGGGTACCACAGGACAGTGTGCTGGACCCATTGTTGTTTGTTTGTTTCATAAATAACATGCCAGAAACTATACACTCCTCCAAACAAATGTTTGTGGACGATGCCAAGTTATTCAGGGAAATTAAGAAACAAATGGAGTGTGAAGAGCTTCAGAAAGACCTTTGTCAGTTTCAATGCCAAGAAGTGTGAGTAGTATCACATGTTCCAATGGGATGAAGAAGCAGCATTAACAGAGGCCAAATGTGAAAAGGACTTGGGTGTGTATGTTGACAATGAACTGAAATTCCCAAGTTCTTGGGCTATTGTGAGAAGGCAAATCGAGCAACTAAGCTAGGTCTTATAAGAAGGTCATTCAGATATCTAGATGGTTTGTCCCCTGTAATGCTCTTTAGGAGTGGGGTGCTTCCCTGTTTGGAATATAATACTGTACTGTCACCCCATCTGGTCCCCAAAATATGCTTGAGACCATCAGTTGATGGAAAATGTCTAATGGAGGGCCACCAGACTGGTGCATGTTCTAAGGCACCTCAGTTACCCAGAGAGATTAGAATGCCTGCAACTGCCTAGCTTATACTATGGGTGGGCAAAGGGTGACCTACTTGCCAACTGTGTGTGACAGAGATGTGACCGACCATCCAAGAGAAAAATGAGAAGATCAGTGGCGAAGAGGATAAAAGTAAAGGTAGGAGGAGGTCATGAAGTATAATTAAGGATCCAAAGGGAAAGAAAATTTGTTTTTTAAAATAAAGAGCATTAATCTTGTGAAGTTACAAGTGCAACACTGATTATCAAAAGTTCATTACTTGTCGGACAACAAGAGGTGCAGTAAGAGCACTCACCTCCTGCATTAACAGATGCTGCTTCATGCAGCCCAGGACATCTCCAGCCCACCCATCTGTGAATGAGGGTTTAGCTTTAAACTTGGGGAAGTGAAGGTCATTCTTGTGTAAGGTAAAAAATCTTAGTCAACAGTGGACTGTATCTTCACTGCTCTTATCAGGCTGCCAGGCTTATGGGACCCACTTTCACATGAATTCATAGGACAAAGTTCATTGTACTGATCTGAACAGAAGATAAACCAGAATAAATATAAGACACAAGTTTTAGATTACATATTTAACACCATTTATCAATAATTTAGGCAATTCTGATATAAAAAAATATATTACACACACCTGACACACGTATATGTGAAAATTTAAACTGTCTTGCCCCACAGCTCATGTGGACTACTGGAACATAATTTCAAAGGTTGTGAAAATACTACAATATATATAGAGGTATATCCACAACTGCACCAACATACAGTTCTGTACATCTACTTGATTGCAAATATTTATTACGTTTCTCTTCAAATCAGTAAACCTGTACAATATTATTCCAGTACTGTTGGTGTTACAGTATTCAAAATATAAATATATCTCTTCCATCAGAAATTGGTTTATAAAAAATATACTGTAGTATAAAATCACAAGTGTTTGTCATCCAACAAAAAATTCAATTAAAAGTAATAAGCTTAGAGAGTGATAGGTTAAAAAAACTACTTAGGAATCAGATTTCATTATTTTACCATTTCTAACAAGATGGGAGAATTTACAGTGTGTGTGTGTGTGTGTGTGTGTGTGAGGAAGTTGGGTGTGAGCCATGGTGGGGTCAGTGAGGGAGCGTGGTGGGGGTGGAGACAAGTTTGGCACGCTGGTCGACTTGTGAGTGACCTCGGCCAGTCAGTATTCACCAAGATTGGCCGAGGATCTCCTTGTGCTTACAGTAGTTCTGGCACATCTCTGTATTGTGCATACATTCATGACATTCTCATAACACAAAGACAACAGTTTAGAAAAAAATTGCCACAATATGAAGATTAACAATGACACAACTCAAACAATAACTACAATACATTTTCTGATTTCATTATTGCTGTGCATTTGTAATAGCTCAGGCACTTCATTACAGACTATAATCATATAATTCTTAAGCAATAAACCTTATGATATTACAATATGGAATGATTAATAATGCTGAGAACAATCTCAAGTAAGTCACTTCAATGCCCACATGAACCACAAACTGTAACACACATGTAAAAAAATCATATTATAAATTACACTTATACAATACAGCACCACAAACAATTAAATGTTTGGAATGTTTTAAAAGATCAATCCATTGTGTTGATTCATCAGAAGTAAACCGGATTTACTCCATCCTCACCGATATCTTGCCCTTACCAGCCCACCTGGCACTACTCTACAAGACCTTGGGTAATACTGCCACATCCTCACCATCACTGAGAACAAAAACTGGGCAAACTTAAATTCATAATGTAGTAATACTAATAGTATAAGACACCTGTAACACCCTTACCAGCATGTTTATCTGAACCCTCAGGTAAACTCTTATTTACCTACTGTATGACTAATGACTAATTTATTGTTTGTAAGGTTGATGTTTTGGAGCAGAGGGATAACATACTGTTTCTCGTGAGAACTTTGTCAAGTCTACACTGATTACATCAGTTCTGTAATGAATGACTTCCGAAATGGGTAGTACAGTTCTGTTTATAAGTGGTACACTTCCTGAACTGAGTGAAGTTATTGGAACATACTGTAGTTAATAATGAGCCAATTAATTTAAGAGTGTGCCCCTGTCCATAATGTCATATATAAACTTGGCAATATATGAGTTAAATATTTCCAAGGAACGGCTCAGGTTAAGAGATGAGTTTGTACATCATAATTAACACCTGTCACTGTATTAGTCCCTAAGGTTTATGTCTCTTGTACTGTTAATACCTCCCCCTCTTATAACCTTACAACACCTTCAAATTCAGGCTTATGAAACTAGAGAATGCCACACTTTATTCTGATCACCATATTGGATGTCAAGCAGAGTGAGCGGCAAGGTGAGGAAGACAACGTATACAAGTGTGTGAGCCTTGTAAACCTCTGTAAAATGAAGCCACTGGGAAAAACACCTGGTACCTTGGATCACTCAGGTGCTAACAACTCAATCGCATAAACAATGTTACAAATTTATTATCATGTCTGGTGTACAGTTGAGGAAATGTGTTCCTTCACCCCGTGGTAACCCGTGTCTTCAAATGGCACCGTCGCAGTTGTATTATCATAATTTTTGACTGAATGGGTATTGGTCATGTAACGGCAGACATGATTGGTGGGTAGGGATGCTGTAGGTCATATAGTTTGGCCGTTTGGTGACACGGGTTACCATAGAGGGTGTAGGAACACATTTCCGCAACTGTACCAATGAACTCCATTAACATGTACTGTATTACTACTGCTCTCTTTTTTATCATACTTCTTAATCTATGTTGGGGTGCAGTGGCTGAGAGGATACAAAGTTCATTTTCTGACCCAACACCCACCCTAGTGCGTCTGACAGGCTTATAGGACTTAACAGTAAAGTACTTTAACTTTCTTTAACTTAAATGTGGGAAAAATTAAACTGACCCCAGAGTAAGTCGACATCATCATTATTCAGTTATCTCAGTTTTGTCAGTGGGCAGTGTTTCATGATGGCCGGGCTTGAAGAACAATGGTACAGTACTGTACTAAGGTCTTGACATGAGAGTATTATTAGTACCTGTATCATATTTTACTGCAGTAGTCTGAGTTTGTTTTACTGTTTAGTTTATGCATAACCCATAAAAAACTAAGAGATTAACAAGAATGAGATGAAGATTTGTGGGTTATGTCTGGTCTCATGAAATTATTAATACTATTATACGTACAGTACTGTAGATCATAGTGTACCAATGTGTAAAAGTTCTCTCTTTTTTGTCAGTTATTCCAAGCTATGAGGTAAGGTCATTGGTGCCTCCAAGATGCGATACAGGAGGAATTTATAAGTTAATTTAAGAGTCAGCTTCTGAAGAATTAGATGATTAGTTAGATATAAAATAAATGGATTGTTCAACACTGAGAGTTGATAGTGACATCATGACCAAGACAATTATTACTAAAGCTGTCTACTTGACATCCAATATGGCAACCTACGCACATGTAAGGTCTCCCAATGCCACTGTTTATCTCATAACTGAAAATTATCACACTACTAAAATGAGTTTCTTCAGCCCTAGCAACAGTTGTCACCAGTGAGCTGCAACTACTACCTCAAACCTCTATACTGTACTGTATACTATACTAGGGGAACTAGCTGAACATTACCACTTTATGGCCCATACAGAGTCTAGTTATATGAAGCTCACTATTAAGATGGGTATATCTACATAAACTTGTATATTCAACACTAACCCATGCATAACTGGCAACAGAGTTATTGTGGTACAGTACAGTATCTTACATCATAGAACACTGCACTGTATATACAATAATAGGCTTTGTGCCATCACCCAACTACTTGTACATATTGTCTGGGCGTCCCAACAAACCTATGAAGCTGTGGCGAGGCTTTTTCTATTCACATATTTACACACAATGTGAGATTCTCAGATGGTCATGAATAAACATGTCTTGTAACTTTACTCATGAAGAATTGACACCAACCAGATATAGCACAAGGAGTAGTGTCAGGTTATTTACGTCAAAGCAGAAACATCTCACAAACACTCCAGACTCTCATGAGTGAACACTAAAATTCATAATAAATAAACACAATATTTCTTAAGCTGCTTCACAGTACTGGACGGAGTGATCTTGCTGAACTCTCTTTAACTGAAAACTTGCAGAAGCATTAATAGTACAGTACTGTACTGAATTCCTCATCACTTTCTAATTACATTTTGTAACACATTGGGGGCATTTTCATTTACAGTAAATTTTAATACTGTACTACACTGAATCACTGTATTTATAAAGCATGTTGGGTTGTAGCATTTCACTAAGTGGACAGGCAAAAGCTTTACACAAAAGAATTTGTTCTTCATCTTGACAGTAATGAAGAATGGCCGTCTCTTCAGCCTAGTACAGTATTTGCCGACCAAGATATCATTTGGAAATTAATCCAAAGAGAAGCTTTATTTATACATCACAAATAACTGAAGAGGCCAAGCAAAGAGTCACAGCTACACATTGTAAGTCACACTAGGTTACTGCAAGTCTTACTCAAGGTCACTTATGTGTCAGAGAATCAGGCTAAGCTATTTACATATCTTTAATAATGATATACAGCACTGGTTAACACAGGTCATAAAGAAGTCACTGGGTAGACCTAAGTCATGAAGTTTCTGGCTCAGTAGCTGCTTCTACACCAGGTCAAATAATGTCAGCTTTGGTCATGTGTATCAAGTCAGACATTGGAGCAAGGGTTTCCATCTTCATCCACAAAGTCACCCACCACTGAGAGTGAGGGTTGCTGGGTGGTGGTGGAGACAGACTCAGCTGCTGGCGGTGCTTCCCAGTAGTCCCCCTCCTCACGCCCTCTGGCCCCCGCCCTGCAGGAGTTAGTCACACTTAATAAACACATGAGCCATTAATTTATAGACAAAAGGGACACAAACATAAAATAAGATACAGGTAGTGGTGAAAATTTCTGAAAAAATTAATTAATGGGACAAAATACAAAGAACCTACAATAGTGTACATGTACAGAATACAGGGTATGTAACAAAATCATGCAGGCATTCACATTCGTATCATATACCTGTACTGTACAAAGTGTAGAACATATTCATGCTGTACAAAGCAATAACATCAGCACCCCAGGCTTAAGGAGAAATAAGAGAAGTACAGTACTGTAATATTACACTGTACAGGTACTAATAACAAGACAATGTTTTTACAGCAAGCACAGCTCAGAACTCAGAGTAAGTGATGCCCTTCAGTGGACAAGCTAAACAACCAAAGCCAACATCCTCCAAGACTCTATGAATAAATCTTATGTTAGTATATTTGGTACACCTTCTTATAAGTTTTAATGAAATAATTAGTAGCAAAATGTCTGTCTAACAAAAAAAAAAGTGTCAGTTATCACCTGGACACATACTGTACTGTACAGCCCTGGAGACAATACCCTGATGCCTCCATCCAGAATAAACACAAATACAGTAACAAGCAAAGCTGGAACTATCATCTACAAATACTGCAACTACAGATTCAAGCCCGAGGAAGAGACCAAAACGAATGTACTGACGGCATAATACAAAACTACAAAGACATAAAGCCAGAACAATTGTAAGTGGGTAACTGGTCCTTATTGCAAAAAAAATTATTGACACCTCCATCACTGATAATTTCTATGATCACCTGAATTACCCAAAGTACCTGTATCGAATAATTACTGATTTATATACCTGTATTTCAGTAATAAGACACAAACATTATAGTAAATATTTCAAAGTCTACTGTAATTTGAATATTTTGAAGGCATACATTACAGGAACCTAAACCATAACCAATTATTTTTGCAATATTTAAGTTAATGACCTACTGTATTGTATAAGTATTGTAGTCCATTTTAAATTACAAGGTACCATAGCACAGTATAGTATTTTACATTAAGATGAGCAAACACCATTGTCTTCCTTCACTGTCACCCTTCTACAACGAGGCAAATTCCCCATCTCTCACTTCAGTCCAGATATTATATGTCTTCCAAATTTATGTTAAACACCAATAACATCCCAGATTTCTAAACAAATTCCTATCAGTTTTATTCAGTCACTAATCGTTTTTCATATTTCAGTTAATTAATTTTCTTTTAACTATTGCAAAGCTTTTTCCCACTACCATGCAGGGTTGCTGACACGACATCCCAATGGAGGAGGAACAGGAGGCTAAGGAGAGGAGAGGGGCACTAGCAGACCCAGCAGGCAGTGGCAGCAGCATAGTAAACATTAATCTTAAATAAATGCTGAATGATATTGAAAAACCTGTACCTGTTCTCTTATTTTAATGTAATATTATTTATCAAACGTTCATCACAAACCTATATAAAATTTCCTTCAACATGTAAGCTGCTAAACAAATATTTACTGTATCATATTGCATACATAGTACGTACAGTAAAATATCTGTCAACCAAAAATCTACTTCATGAAACACAGGTAATCTGTTTTATGAAAGATTTGAGCATTCTAAATATGAGATTCAAGATTATAGAATAATTTGTTTTTACTGTACAGGGGGGGGGGGGGTATTCCATTTACTACATATAACATGAGAGTAAATGAGAATAAATTGGACAATCAAGCAACTGGCTCAGTAACTGTGTGTGTGATGGTGAGTGTGTGTGATGGTGAAAGTGACATGAGTTAATAGGAGTAAGTTATATGGTGATTGTAGGAGAATGATGATGTGTACACTACTGAGAAAGTATATTTACAGACTTAATAAAATTGTGAGTGTTAAAGAATAATGAAGGAAATTAGTGTACAGGTTATTTGCTGAAACGAATATACTATAACCAAACTGACACAAGGACTACGGTTTATGACATGTTTTCCCTGGACACATGTTTATGATAGTGTCCACTTTATGTAATTATCTATTTTACAGAAGCCTCTTGGTCACAAACTTTTCGGTCGACAGATATTTTACTGTACATGTACTACCGTATATGTAAGCACAGTTTCCTGGAGAGCTGGTATCCCTGCCCTCCCTTACCCTTGCATGATCTATCAGCAAGTCTTTCCCTTCATATTTTGTCACTCATTTTGCCATAACTTATTCATATGAACATTCAACCCTTGTTCAGGCACTTGTTGAAACACTGCTGGCATCTATATTCTAATGAACTTTTAGCAGAGTGTTTTTTATTTTGATGGGATCCCTGGCCCTACACTAAACTTTCAATTCACTGGGAAAGAGAAAATCTAATTTTATGACCTTATCAAAAATCTCTTTAAGACTCACTAAGACTAACCAAGGCAAAGATATTTTAAAGATGATGAAAAATTAACTAATAGAGTTATACAGTACTGTTTTGCGGTATATTTGGAAGGTTATAGGAAATTTCAACGCAAATGGCGACAATGAAATCAGACTACCGACTATATGGGACTAAAGACTACTGGGTACCTTAGTGACGGTTGATGGTGGTGGTGGTGGTGGCTGTGGTGGTAGTGGTGATGGTGGTGAGCACGGGGCGGCCGGCTGTAAGAGATAGGGCACCAACCACGTGCATCAGGGACCAATGAGAGTGGGTGAGGAGGAGCAAGAGACAGGGATAGTAACGACTGTACAGTATCAACACCACACTTACGGCTAATGACCCCAAACGCAGTGAACACCCAAACCCCACAACTGTTGACACCCCGCGTTGGTATTCAATGAACGGCACAATTGCAGGAAGCTGATTCGGGGGCCAGTCCGAGAATTCAAACTTAGCACAATATAAGTACTGTATGTATATGAGATATTGTTATGGTCAGACTCTGGATCCAAAAATCACTTCCATGCCAACTTTCAACCCCTGCACTGACCCATCAAAAGATGTCTGTAAATTAATTCCCTTACCTGTCATTAATAGGTTCAGGGTATAGTAGTTATAGCAATGAGAAGCAAAGCAGACGTCCCCAGACTAAATCCACAATGGTATGTCATTGTAAGACTAATAATGTATCAACTTTCATTAAATTATATTGATGGGCCATCATAACTACTGTCTTGCTGTATAAACTCTTGGTGGTACACAAACATCTAGTCAGGTGAGATACACAGGTAAGGCCTCACCAGACCTATGAACACACAAGGCTGTAAGGTCCCCACAGCTCACATGAGGGGCCATCAAGTCCAATCTCAGAACGGTCATTTCTGTTTCATGCTCTCTGATAAATTTAGAATTCAAGATTGACACAATCAAAGTTCTAATTTCAGAAATAAGATAAGGTATTTAAGAAATTGTTTTAATATATAAATTATAAATTCAAATCTACAACACCAGAAGATGGCAGAGACTTGTATAAAATGTTCAAGACTCCATCTGTTAGTTTATTAATAACTAGCAAATATTTCCTTCATTCAGACATTAAGTGATTAATTAACATAGTGGAGGATGTTAATAACACCTATACATTACTCAAGAACGTATAAAACAATTTGTTATTCACAGATGCCTTCAACATAATTCCTGGGACAAATCAAATGTACATTATTGATAGTACAGTAAAAATGTTTATCTTAATGTCAGCCATCACTATGGAAGACTCTATGTGTTGCTCTTATCCTGTGTTTAGTGTTTCATTCAATTATCAATTCTGCACCAAGACAATACAGTCTCACAGTTGCTGTTATTTTCATTTTATAATTTCTTGATTCCTACATTGCCAACAGTCATCCTCCTAAATGCAGAAAGACTTCACTTAGTCTCCTGACTGTACATCACTGGCCAACAGGCAGCTCCTCATAGAAAACTGTGAGGGCAAATTTTTTCGGAGTGAGAGTTGTGAACTCTTGGAACAATCTACCAGAAAGTGTTGTGACGGCACCGAATGAAAGCTCTTTCAAGACAAGACTTGACCAACACTGGAGCAGGTTCAGGTACATTCAGGAGCCGGTGCATGCCTAGTACTTGCCAACAGTGCGTGACAGAGACGTGACCGATCGCCCAAGCGGCTAACGAGCCGATCAGTGGTGAAGAGGATAAAAGTAAACGTATAAGACCATCCAGTGGACATCAACAACTGGATGAACAATCAATTATTCAAAAACCAAATACTGTATGAAAGAAAATTGCCCATAAATGACAAACACATCGAGAAGAAGTGCAACAATAACATAAACTAATGTGGAAAAATTTTCTGCTTCAGGAACAATAAAAGGAATGATCACATTACAGCAGAAGTTTAGTATTAGATGTTATTTGTAATTAGTAAACAATTAGACTTAATACTGTACAAGGAGTTCTCTTTAGGAAGTCAGTTTCAGTACATGAATAATATTTACAGTTTTACCCCATATGGTGGTCACACTTCAGGACCTGCTACTGTACTGGACAACTAAAGGTGCAGACACTCGGGAAGCAAAACTTGAAAGTCTTGTGCAATTGGACTGAGAAAAGTCTCTCCTAATTCTCTTGTTCTCCACAAGCCTGGACTCTTTGCCTTAAATATGAGTAAGTGGCAACAAACCCTCAAGTCTGGAGGTTTATATAAACACAGACAAGATCATATTCCCTATCTTCAGAAGCTACTTTCAAAATTTATTCTGAGATTTGTCTCAATTAATATAAAATTATATTAATATTGTACAGGAACAATATTACCTGGTTTATACCGTTGTTAGGTCAACAAAATTGCATTATCAAAAGTTTCACATTAGATGGGTCATTAACTGTTACAAATAAACCACCTCTCCTCTAATAATATAAATAATAATAATAATAGTAACTGCGGTAATTATAGCAAGCTAAACATAAACTCGGTGAGTACTATACTATCCATTCACTAGTACAGTATGGGCATATAACCCTTTAAAGGGTATATGTATTATATAAAGCAGGAACTATTACTCTCTAAAGCAGCTATTTAAATATAGTTTTTAATTTTTCAAATTTCTTTAACTCACTAAGCACTGCCACACTAATATGAAGCTTATACATATAGAGTACTGAATGTTAATCCATTGCTAGTGTGTTCTCATTATGTTTGTTTAGTGTGATGTAGAGGACAAGCCCAGATTAAGTTCACCCATCACTAGGTAGGTATTAATATTTCTCTACTTACACACACAGTACACCTGGTTGACACTGTTCATCACATAGAGTATGTGATTATTATTTAGTTAGTTTATAATAATAATAATAATAATAATAATAATACTGTTATATATTTATGAAGGATAAGGTGCTAACTTTCCCTCACCATACCAGAGAGAGAGAGGACTATGGGTTAGTTAGACATTGTTACTGGACACTTACCAACATGATCTCTGGTGCTAAAGCCTTACCCTGTACCTCAGTCACGTCTAACACTCACAACAGACCCCACACCCCAAACCTTGAGCCCCATACACAGATAATAATAGAATCATATTTTAATGTTATGAAACTGAAATTTTTGATACACTATGATATCTACGTAGTTTGAAATATCATTATATCAATCAGTCTTTAAAAAAATTCAGATGGGTTGGTTAGGTTGAGGAAATACTGTATTGTATGATTCTATTATTCCCAACATAAGAGCTTCAGTGTGAGAGTCATTAGCAGGATTAACACCTCACCTTAACAACACAACATTAGTGCTAAAAAATAGCCTTTTTCTTCCCTTATTAAAAAAAAAAAATTACCATTCAAAGGAAAAATAATGGTTATTGGGTTTATAAATATAAATGTGAATATATATGTAACTAAAAGTCATGGATATATTAATGCACTATATAATAAACAATATGAAACATGAATTACAAAAAATACATGACAATATTATTCTGGTTATCTGTAACTAATGCATTTAAAAAATATATAAAAGTGTTTTAAAAGTATAAAAGAGTTTATGAAAGAGCCAAGGGAAGGAGAAGCATCCACAAACTTTACCACATGAGGGCCACACACACACACACACACCCTCACACACACCACAGGAACTAAAACTTGTATGGTTGGTTTTTATTATCCACACACACACACATACACGGGAACTCTGTGAACCTAAAGCATGGGGTTTTCCTGTGTCATGAACTCGTAATACTAAAAGTTTTATGGACTCAATAGTTCTTATGTAAGTGCAGGAATGGGTGGGTGCTCAAGTGGCAAGTCCAATGTTGCAAGAAACAGTGAAAGGGATGACACTGGGGACTGTTTAAGGGAGGAAGCTTATAACTGAGTAAAGATAAAAAGAACAGGAATGACCCAGCTAAGGTGAATGATAAACTTTGTACTTCATATTTCAGAAGACAGTACAGTACAGTACAGTACAATACACCCCCCCCAGGCACCCCAGTTGACTCACATGCCCTGGCCATGATTGCATAACTTCCATAATTCATAAGAAAAATAATTCCACATGACTCCCGTCAAAAAGATGTCATTCTTAACATGCCCTGTTCTATGAAAGTAAGTGTTGACATTAATGAAATAAACATACCGGTACCTTTGCTAACATCAATGTATAAAGTATATATTTCATTAATGATTTATGTCTGAATAGCAAGTTGTGTTGACTTCCTCAGCTAAAAAATACTGGACTAGTTTATAAGAGAATGCAAAAGACAGTGTCAGTAATTATTAGCTAAAGAGAATATTCTACTATGATCTAAGTGAATCTATGGGATCTATTATAGAAATACCTGTGGCGAGGCTTCCAGCTTGCTGCTATGCACAAGGACAGAAGGTACACAACGTGAGTTACATTGTACAGTATATTGAAAGAAGTAACACTAAATAAAGTCTACAAACATTATTGTAAAACACAACAAGGGCTTTCAAAATACCTCATCTGAGGAAGTACTGTACAGTGCTTGGTATAACTCTGGAGGTATTTCTCAAGACTGGCTAGGTGTCTGTGGCTTCCAAATGATTGTAGTACTAACATAAATTCTGTAGCATAAGGAAACATGCTGAAGATCTCACATTTCAGCTACTACCAGTGACAAGTTTAAATGGATAAGAAGTACAGGGCACTGTACTGTACCAGCCAATTTTAAAAGCCCTGTATTATACACAAGAAAAATTCTTATATGACAGAAACATGTCAGTAAATCCATAATTACGTTGACCAGAGAGAAAAATGAAACAATATAATTTAGGTGACACAGATTACAGTGATTGAGAACACCAGTAAGTGCTTAGTAATGCTTTAAGTGTTGGTGAAATAGACAGAAGCAAGGAATTAGACAGAGCTCTCATGCAACACACACAGTGAACCTTTGACAGCATACTCCATATTCCCAAGATTTTCATTATCAATATGGCTGACAGATCTTTGTCTCATATTGCCAAATGTGCCTCTAGATGTGGTTTGGTCCACACATGGTGAGTAAGAGGGTGTGTGTCCGTGTAGAAGGGTATTGAAGGAGTTGTGGACGTGCGGTGCAATCATAAGTGGGGTAGTGCACGCAGAGTGGGGGTGATGAACATACCTCTTCTTGAAGGTGAACATGTTCTTGAGGGAGGTGCGGATGGATGACTTTTTCTTTCCACGAGGGTCATCTGGATGGGAGGATTCTGTCCAGGTGGGCGTTGACAACTTCTGCTGTCCATCCACATTGTGTACACTGTGAGCAGAGGTGAGTGCATGAGTAGTTAATGGCCTGCTGGTATCACTGGAAATGTTGTGAGTTGGACGAGGGTCATTCAGAGAGGGTTCACTTGCTGCTAGGTCCTCCCAATGCCCTGACTCATGGCTGGGGCTGCTGTGGACTGTCACATCCACCACAGAATGAGCTGGAACTAGTGGTCGAGGTCCATCTTGGGTGACTAGAGTCTGTGCCAGGTGGTGGGTGTGGGATGGAAGTGGCCGTCGTGAGGCAACACTCTCACTGCGAGACCTTATGCGCGGGAACTCATTGCTCGGTGAAGGGGCACTTTCCCTTGATCCACTGCTGGAGCTGGCCGACCCCCGAGGGAGAGACGAAGACCTGGTATCTAAGAATACAGACCTTGGACGACAAGATGGCTGTGTGGCACTACTGTGTGATCGTTGTGGACTTCCTATAGACTGAGAGCAGCTTGGTGAATGGTGTTGTCTCTCTGGGCTGCACCCAAGACTTGTTCTATCAGGGCTATATGTGGGGCTACTGGGGCTGACGGGTGGGCTGCCTATGGAGGAACATGATCTTCGTGGTGAGCGTCCGGGCCTGTTGGGGAACAAGTTAATCAGAATTGTTGAAAACATTCCCATTAGATTTTACATAGAACAAATACAGTATACCCTCGGTCGTCTGAACCTGCCAGCTGGCCTGGCGACTCCATGGCATCAGTTGTTGTTTATCTGCCACCAGTGAGGAGCTCTGAGCAAGTGTCCACAAACCTATTCCGTTTTTTATAACTTTTAAGCCAAATATTGTTTAAAATGATTCTCTTTCTTCTTTACTGATTCTTAATCTTATTCTCTTATTCTTTCTTCCTCTTACTCTTTCTCCTTCTTCTTCTTGTAATTGTTAATATTTCTTCTCACTCTTACTCCTCCTTACTCTTCTTTTTACTCTTCTTTCTCTTCTTCTCACTCCTACTTACTCTTCTCCTCACTCCTCCTTACTCTTCTGCTTACTTTTCCTTTCTCTTCTTAGTTTTTATGATTCTGAATAGAATATGTGTTTAGTGAAAAAAAGAAGAAACATATTCACCTCTACAGTATAGTCTGTTAGTTATGGAAATGTCACACTTGGCCTCGCCCAGCAACATGAGGTGTGGTTTTGTGATTAGATAATGTGACACTATCCTCTGTGGAAGGAAATTTTAGTCAATATACAGCACTTCATTATTTGTTTTCTAACTGGCCAATCACAAGCCAAGACGAGAGACAGAGGGTAGGGCTATTTGACATTTCCATAATGAACAGACTACAGTTGACCACCACGGGTACAGGATGAGCTGTTGATGGTGTCCTCTTTTGCTAAAGATTTTTTTCTTCCATAATTAGTTTGTACAGGTTATGTAAGCAATTTAGCTCTGATCTCTTCTCTCTCTCTCTCTCTCTCTCTCTCTCTCTCTCTCTCTCTTGCCTGGTAGTACAATAACATTTTTATTCTTAATTCATTGTTAAGTATTTGACATAAGTAAGGTACGTTCATAGTATAAACTGTATGTAGTTCCTGAGTAAACAGAATCGAACATACCAAATGGCTTATCAGTGGCGAAAATGATTAAAAAGGCTATTTATTCACGTCTATCCCTCCCACCACCACTAGTGTTGGACAGATACAGGATGAGATTGTAATTAGAATCAAAAGCAACATCTAAGTCTCAAGGTTATTGGATTTGGGTCTTTGATCTGTACAGAGTTTCACTCTGGGGTCGTCTAGTCAGTAGTTCCTCCCTCCTTCCCCCCAATTTGTCTGGACGACCTAGGGTTCACTGTAATTTTTTTTATATACAGTAGAGTAAAAATAAATTATATTATGAATATCATACTACATAAGTCATCAGTTAACCAGTGAATATATCTGAATGACTTTTATATTTACAAGAAAGACCCTAACCTAAACTGAATGGTGATAAAAACATTTAAGAAAGGCAAAAATAGTCAAATTTTCTTGCCTTTTGGAAAGATATGCAGAAGTATTACTGGACCTGTGATGGGCTGAAGGAGGTGGTGGAGGGGGAGGGTGGTGGTGTGAAGAGCCGGGCATGGGTCCATGAGGGGAGAGTTGGGCATGAACTAGCTGGAAGGAATGCTCCATGGAGTCATTAAGCCGTGCCAGGAAGTCCCTCAGACGGTCGAGACACGAGTGTAAGTGCTGGTAGTCCGGGTGTTGGGAGTCTGTGTACTTCAACAGCTGCTTCATCAGGAGGATGTATCGAGGTACACGCTGGACAGGGGTCAATAGGAATGCCCCGAGGTCTAGCCCTCCACACGCTGGCTGCTCTAAGCATCCCTGAAATTTTGTGATAATATTTTTGATGATTTTCACTTGGATAAAATGTAAACTTTCATTTAAGATGCTGTTAACTGTCAGCTGTGAGAAACTAGCTGGAGGAAGAGCACAATGGCTGACCACTTTACACTGTACAGTATCACCAGTACAGTACAGTGTTGTCATTATCTGGTTCTTAGTGAGAGGCAAAACTCAATAAATACAATCAAAGTAACTAATTGTTTTGTTCATAAAGATCAAGCTATTACGTATATCTTTACAGTTACAATTGATGACTTTTAACTTAAGAATTGTGAAATAAGCAAAGAATTGTATCAAAATACTGCAATTGATTGGAGAGAACATAAAAAAAATAAAAATATAATGATAACCAATTAAAATGTTGTTTGTGAATATAAATGAAAAGTTAGCAGAGAACCTCACAGCAGAGGCTAAGGAAACAAACTGGAGATACAATATTAGACTTAGAAAATTTATGGGCTATGTAGATGTAATTAAGAAATACATTGGCCAGTGGGTGAGAGTGATGACTACAGTGCAGGAGGGGGTGAAGAACAGGGAGCAAAGTAATACGTGTACACTGGGGTAAACTATATTACTGTATAATAAAGAAACGCAGTAATGGGTAAACATCATGGTGTAGAGGAGCTTCACATACCATCATCCTAATCTAATGTATGAGAAGTAGCACATAACTGCCTGTAGAAATCCTTAAACCTCTCTTGTACAAACTCATTCAGTCACTAACCTTGATAAACTTAGTGAAGGGCTGAGATGTACGACACAGTTTGTGGAACGTTTTGAGCACCTCCGGGAAGTCATTGACGTAGGCGGTGTAGAGACGGAGGACGTCTGTGTGTCGAGGATCGGTGAATCGAGAGACTATATCGCCCACCAATGGCTGCCACTTCCAGGAGGCAAGACGCTCCCTCAACTGATGCTGGAGTAGGCAGTGCTTGTCGTACAGCTGGTAAACCTCCTCAGGGAACAGGGTGCTGGGGGAGGGGGAACATAAGAAGTCTGTTTCTCTGATGAATCTCAAACCTGAGTATAATGAACAACTTGATTTTATCCTGGAGGTCTTCTGGTTCTCCCTCTATATGGTACATGGTATTATATCTAACTTGCTAAGACTAAGTTAATGCCTCTTGGGGATCTTCATAACATCGACTGTAACTGGCAACTGTAACATGAATTGGATTACCTGAAGATTCTTCTCCCTCAGCCAGCTTATTTCACCTTAAGGTTAATTACACTAATGCTATTTGGGGGGTTATGTTAGGTTAAGTTACCATTAGGGTGGTGAATCTTCAGGCAAAATAAGCTGGGGGGAGGAGGCATGAACCTTCAGGTGTCCCCAAGAATCATACTAACGTTATATCTTTGTGAGACAGTATCCCTGCCTTCTTGAGTGGGTCAGCAAAGGTGTCCTGGATAGTCCACAGTGTCTTGCAGTATTTCTTCTCTGTGTCCAGCAACTCCCGAGCCACGCGGTACCGCTGGGCCTCTCGTGGGTCACGGGGGTCAGTCAGGAGGCTACGGCCACGAGTCACCACCATTGTGTATGGGTCAGTGCTCTCTCTTGCTGTATAAATATATGGCAAAGAATATTTACATTGTGATACAGTACTTGTATACATATGCTAACAAGTACAAATACCAAAACTATATACGGAACAAACCAGTACTGTACAGTAAACACATTTCTGAAAATCTCTTGTCATAATATTGCCAAACAAACTATTAAATATAGTTGCGGTTCAGCAGCTGACCCTATTATAAGTACGTATTCCAAACCAAAAAATTCATGAAGTTCTACAAATTGATTCACACAGTTTTACTAGACCTTTTGGTCGTGGAAGGTTTCCCTGAGGTGAATAAAATCATCCAGCAGTAGCCAGAATAAAAAGCTAAAGTGCGGGAATTGGATTGAAAGGGTTAATGAAAGCTGATGATGAAAGGAAGTACTGTACAGTATTGTGCCACGAGGCTTAGTTCACCAGAACCTGCCAATAACTAGGGAGTGTAGTGGTAATGAGAAGCAGAAGCCTTTTGTGTAAACATCGGCTCACCGTGGTCATGAGAGCGGCGTCTGTGGCGGTGTTTAGCATCTCGGGACTGATCAGAACCATCAGAGTCTGACCGGGTGTGTGAGCGGTCGTGAGTGACTAATCGGTTGTGATGGTGGTTGTGTGAGTGGTGGTGGTCGTGAGCAGGAGGTGCGTTATGGGCTGTGCGTAGTTCAATACCACACTGTTGACTGAGGGAGGTGCTGAGGCTGATGGTTTTGTTGGCAGCAATGGTGAGTGATGAATCCGAGTCATACACCAGACCCAGGTCTTCACTGTCCCCACCTACAGTAGCGCTCACACCTGACAACACCAGGAAAGGTTCTTAAAAATATGTTGGAGAAGTTCGGGAAATAAACACCACATCAGTCTTAGTTAGGTTACGTAGGGAAACAGGAGCAAATGTTATAGATAACAAATTATATTTGAAATTCAATACTATACTGTATTATAATGATATGAAAGAGGTTGTAAATATACTGTACTCTTCTCTTATACAGCAGGAAGATATCCTTGGGAGAGATATTGGTAAATATAAACAAATACAATATACAGATACAGTATGAAGTAGAGTAACATTCTGGGGGGATTTTATTGCAGCTGACCAATAGAAACTGTTCTCCAAACCCAGCATAATGCTTGCCTCTCACCGCTGCATCCCAAGTATGATCTCAGGTCAGATGTGAAAAGGCTGTTGTCCAGTAAGACACCATTGAACATGGCACGTTTTCTCCAGGCACTCCAGTTCCCTCCTACACTAACAGTGGACCCTTGAGGGATGGCCCTTACTCTACTTCTAGGTACACCAAGTAGACATAACTGATAGAGCTATGCAGTAGAAAGATATCTATATAATAAAAAATACCTGCCACAGTATTCCATCTGAGCTTAAGTAATATTACCTCTATAGAGAAAACTTTTATCAATACTATATATAAAAGTTTAGGGCACCAGCAGCATGTTCCCCTTAACACCTTGAGGCAACAATGTTCTATAGTTGATGTAGTAGATAAACATGTACAGTATACACTACCTAGACATATGTATATCATAGAAACATTTGAACTGCCATTAAATAGCCCTTCTTACTCTGTCTATTGTGTGCAGAGTCAGTGTGAGGCGGGACAGCATGGGAGGAGGAGACTGGGTGGGCATGGGACCTTAGGCCGGCCACATAGTCGTACACAGATGGAGGCACAAGGAGTGACGGCTGCTCGGGGAGGGAGTCCTGCAACCACAACAACATGTAAATATATCAGTCATGTCAGTAATACAAGACTTTAAAATATTTACAACTTCACACATAAACTTTACTTAAGGTTCAAAATAAAAAAAAAGAGAGACATAAGAATGATACCCACTTAAATAAATACAGTAATCACACAACTCGACACTGATATTCACACTAGAAATTCTTAGTAAAATGTATCAAAAGACTGAAATAAACAAGTCTTCATACCTAATCACTATCACACTTCTCAATATGTAGAAATAAATATGTGTGGTAACAGTGTGGAATGCTTCAGACACATGTATATAAGTAGTCCAACAGATGAACCTTTACAGTGTCAATATATTTATTGGTACTCGTTTTCTTCCTCTTTAAACAATAGAAATTACATCAAGAACACCAGAACTCAGTTTAAACGTAGTAGATGAGGTACATGTTAGTGTGTTTCCTTGGAGTGGTTGAGAGGAATGCATCTCACTTGGTATGAGGTCCTGTGATTGGTGGGTGTGGGTGAGGGTGTAAAGTGCACTCACCTGGTCTGAGGCTCTGTGATTGGTGGGTGTGGGTGAGGGTGTAAAGTGCACTCACCTGGTCTGAGGCTCTCTGATTGGTGGGTGTGGGTGAGGGTGTGTGGTCTGTGGTGAAGGCCTGGTGGGCGCGCTCCAGCAGTAATGCCACACCAGAATCGTTGCTGTGGCTGCCCGAGCCTGAGCGACCAGGTGCTGTGGCCACGCCCTCTGTTGTGGAATTGCTGCGACCTTCCAACTTTGACCTATGACAATGGAGAGGTGATTATTATAACTTAGGGCAGGAAATGTTGTTCAGCTCAGGGCATGATGAGGTCAACAGTACATGGGTACAGTATGATAAGGTCAATAATATATGCATGAGTAAATTATACCTCATATATACCGTTAATATAATGAATACTGTACTGGATCACATCAAGAAACACCAAAAATCAGAGGCCAATACAGTTAACAAACATGACCCCTTCAATATAACTTCTCTAAATGTTATTTATTTTTTCATTCTTTTGTAACTGGTTAACACATGAGTCACAGTTTCATTATTTAACTCATTGAATCAGAAAAACCATAGGCGGCGAGTAACCAGCTTTAGAAACGTAATTAAAATATTTAAGATGTCATTTGGACAAGTAATTATACAGATATCAAATTGCCGATAACAGATCCTTAATTAGCATGTCCAAGAGTACAGGTATTGGAGATTGGTGTCCTGTACTGTACATCAACAACCAGCTATGGCTTTGTTGATAATGTAAGGAGGACCTCATGATTACGTATGTTCAGAAAGTATTACAAATTCTATCTACAAAGAATTTACTGTTTACTGTATGTTACAAGAAATTATGTAGTTTTATAAACACACAATTTGCTCGCTTATACCAGTTGATGCATCTTGCTGACGGTAAAAGTGGGTTCCATTGGCCTGCGGTCCCTTGAAGAGTATATTAAAAACCACGGAGACAACATGACCAGGACAACACTACTGCCTCTCACTTTCCAGCTGTAAGATCATGGACCCATTCTGCAGCTGGTCACCCGGGGCACGTCACCCAATAGCTGGCCACAGGACTTGAACAGATAACTAAAAGGTCAGGAAGTGAGAGCAATATCCACACACCCACCGCACCCCTTCATCTCACTGCCAGACATATAAATAATTTAATATCCTTCTGTGTACAAGAGGAGTGATTCGACCATTAACATAACAAAGGATTAATTGCCTATAAAATATCCATAATTTAGTACGTACTCTTAATCTTGTCCCATTGACTGCCTTTATTGGTATACAGTACTGTATTTTTATCCTGATGGCTTCTTGCTGGTGAATCACCACTACTACTACCACCATCACTACCACCACCATCACTACCACCACTACTACTACTACTACTATCACCACCACTACTACCCCCACCACCACCACCACCACCAGGCCAGCAGGTGTCTCGTGTGTGTGTGTGTGTGTGTGTGGTGTCTGTGGTCAGCAGGAGGACTACCACAACATCTGCTTCCTGTCTCATCTTACACCTTTGTCTGCGTCTTAATTTCCTTCCTATTTTAGTTGTGTTTTGTTGAAGGACATCAACAGGTCGACCCACCACACTGATCCTCGATGACTCACTCCCTCACTGACCGAGAAAAGACGATTCTCACACCGGCCTGACGTAAGTTAAATAACACTCTACCAATTTATTTATATATTGAAATTGGAACAGTATATTTAGCCAGAATAATAGATGAAGTGTTAACAAGAACAATATTGACGACTAAATCCGATCACTTGAAGATTGGCCGCCCCAACTTGTTTCAGCTTAAAATTAACCACCTTAACACTAACTTAACTTAACCTATCCTGCAGATTAGCCACCCCAGCTTAATTCAGCTTAAGATTAAACTGCCTAATGTTGTCCTAATTGAACCCCATCAAGTCGAGTTAGGGGTGCTCAATCATGGGGTATAATAAGCTGGGGCCCAACAACTTAGGATTGAGTGTTTACAATTTCTATCACGTTATCTTCAGGACAAGTACAAAGAGGCTGCAGCAGATTACCACTATTACTGATTATGTTATATGTGTGTGGGTGAGTGGCTGACTACACACTACAGACATTATACACTAGTGATGTGTTGATAATACAGGATGTGTAGTTTTTGTAGGTAAATAATGAATAGTTTAATTAGAGTCTGCTACAGTAAGGTAGGTGAGGTTAGGTTAGGTTCTAGGCTTTGTTAGGTTAGGGTAATGGACTCTGTAGTTGGGTGAGCAAATGTGAATGTTAAATTTGACAAGGGAAGCACAAATAGAGGTAAATCTGTACCTGGTGTGGATGGAGATGACGCCAGCCTGGGAAAGGTCGGACACCAGTAATCTTCGTTCGTCCAACAGCTGTTTGATGGAGGTCTGTATAGTCTCTTGGCGCTCACTCACCGACGACACCTCCTTCCTGTGTGTACACCAGAGACATGAGTAAGGGTTTTAATAGGCCTCCCACACTGTCTTTAAATGGTCCCTCAGACTTGTCACATGGGCCCCTCACACTTATCAAATGGATTCCCACACTGTTGTTAAATGGACTCCCACACACTCATCAAATGGACCCCCACACACTCATCAAATGGCCCCCACACACTCATCAAATGGCCCCCACACACACATCAAATGGCCCCCACACACTCATCAAATGGCCCCCACATCACCTTGGTAAAATACTTGACACACCATACTGAAAAAATGGTCAAATTATGTCTTAATTCTATCAATGTTTAGAACCAGGTATTTTGTCTATTACATTCTGTCCCCAATACTCGGATTATACACCAAGTGGTTTTCCTACAGTTCACAAACATCTAACCTAACCTAAAGTGATCTATCTAACCTAAGTTAACCTAAACTAATCTTACCTATCCTAACCTAACCTAGCCCGATATAACCTAACCTAACTTGTTAAAAATCACCTGTTTTAGTATCACATTTTGTTGATATTACCTCAAGGTCGAGTATTGTACGCACCTCTTCCTAACTTGACACTTCATCCTAGCACTATTATCATGCTTCGTAACACCTGCTAACACCACCTGAGCACCTAACACCTGCTAACATCACTCGAACACCTGCCAACAACACCCCTCTAACACCTTCCAACACCCCCTAACACCTTCCAACACCTCCTAACACCTTCCAACACCCCCTAACACCTTCCAACACCCCCTAACACCTTCCAACACCTCCTAACACCTTCCAACACCCCCTAACACCTTCCAACACCCCCTAACACCCTCCAACACCTCCTAACACCTTCCAACACCTCTTAACACCTTCCAACACCCTCCAACATCTCCTAACACCTTCCAACACCCCCTAACACCCTCCAACACCTCCTAACACCTTCCAACGCCCCCTAACACCCTCCAACACCTCCTAACACCTTCCAACACCCCCTAACACCTTCCAACGCCCCCTAACACCTGTCAACAACCAGGGTACCTACTGAAGCGAGGTGATATCAGCCTTGAGTGAGAGCACCAACTTAAGGACCTCGGCTGTGTTGTCGTCACATCTCTGGCGGGCGTCCTGCACCTCCCGAGACAAGCTGGGGTCGTCTACCACAGTGCTCAGCCTCGTCACCGCCTCCGTCAACGTCCCCTTCATCCCCACCACCGCCTCCTGCAGCTGTATACACGAGGAGGTGGTGTGGTTAATGTTGGTGAGTTGTGTGTGGTGGTGAATGGTGTGTAATGGTGGTTAGTTGTGGTGAATGGTGTGTAGTGGTAGTTTGTTGTGGTAAATGGTGTAAGATGGTGAATTGTGGTGAATGGTGTGGGGTGGTGGGAGTCAGCTGTGGTAAATGTTGATTAGTTGTGGTAAATGGTGGCTAGTCGTGGTAACCAAAGTGAATCAATTATGATGGGTGGCAATTATAATAAGGTCAATTACAGCAGGGGGTCAATAATTACAGCAGGGGTCAATAATTATAGTAGGGGTCAATAATTATAGTAGGGGTCAGCATCAGTGGCCAATTAATTATAGGGGGGATTAATTACAGAGAAGGACAAATCTATACAGAGAGAGAGAGAGAGAGAGAGAGAGAGAGAGGAGGGGAAATACAAAGGGATATTCTAAATGCATTGGAACTACTGACTTGGCTTTGTGGGACTTATGGCTGCCTCTGCAACTGCTGCTGGCTACTAAATAAACTCGTATCGACAGGTCATTGAAGGTCACGAGGTAGTTACAATCAAAGAATTAATACCTTTTACGAAGAATGTGTTACTGCAACGTGTTGAGGTCAATTTCCCGTTTGACAGTTTAATATTGGACTAAATTTTTCCTTCATAATAATAAAGTTGGATACGATGTCACATTAGGACCAGTCTTGATATCCAGTGAGGTTAGGTGACGAGATAGGTTAGGTTAGGTTTTGGGGAAGAGGTTGGTTAGTTTTAGGGTATAATAGGTAAGGTTGGGTTAGGTTAGGTTATATTGGGTAAGGTAGTGTTAGGTTAGGTTTAGGAAAATAATAGAAAGGTCAGGTCAGGACAGGTCAGGTTAGGTTGGGTTGATAACTATCCAGCAAACAGACTATGAAAGGCGTGAAGACACAAGATCACTCACTGAAGCACACTGTCAACTCCACTCTACAATACAAGTCGCTGATAAACTGATAAAGACATAATCAAGCTGCAAGACGATAGATAAGGCCAGTAAATAATGCCCAATGAGTAAAGTATGATAGATCTTGATAAGGACTAACTATTAAAAAAGAAAACTATGTAAATACATCCAAAGAAAACGGCAATTCATGTTATCTGTTGACAATATGGAGGGGAAACTTAACAATCATTAACTTCTACCAACAGATAATGAGTCACGGATTGTTATTCTCTCGCCTTCCTCTTGATCATGTGTGTGTGTGTGTGTGTGTGTTTGTGTTTGTTTTATGTACTGTACGTTAGTAGGTCCTGTACTGTACGTTAGTAGGTCCTGTACTGTACGTTAGTAGGTCCTGTACTGTACTTACCTCCGATATCTGCGTCAGTAGTTCGGGTTGTGACGTCATCTCCGCTGTGGAAGAGAAAAAGAACAGATTTTACGAACTGTCACATTGACTTTATAAAGGACTATGATATTATAAAGGTGTAATAATTTATGGATAATACCCTTATATGAAGCTGTATTAAATGATGATAATGTTTCTATATGAAGATTCAATAAATAATGACTAATACTCCACACTTTCAGTTGGTGGTGAGAAATAATAAAATGAACCTGTAGCATCTTAAAAAAAAGGGAGCTCTAAAGTTCATCTTGGAAATAGTAACATAAAGATGTGGTGCGTGTCATTAAAATTCCCACAGTCACGTCAAACTCCCACGAAATATGCAGGAATGATGTCAACAATAGAGTTTTCACATCCAACACACGCGACCATCTCAGTGACACCATTTAATGTATAGTTTATCAATTTGTTCATAGTTTTTTCCTTCTACAAACAATTCTTTTTAATATATATCTATATTTAAATTCTGGTTAGTGTGTTAAGATGTGTAGTGGTTGGTGGTTGTGTTTATTAAGTAGCCTATTATGTAACGACGGTAGAAGTAGCAATATGTTAAGCGATGCGTCATGGTGGTTATGGTAATGGTGTGTGTGTGTGTGTGACGTAGTATGTAGTGGTGGTTGTAGTAGTAAGTATATAAGGCGATGCGTAGTGGTGGTGGTGGTAACTGGGGTAATGTCAATAGCGTGTGGTTGTTTGTGTAGTGGTGGTAGTTGTGGTTGTGTGTGGATTGGTGGGTGTGTGGTGGTAGTTGTGGTTGTGTGCATATAAAGCACAAAGTGATGGTAATTGTGGTTATGCGTTTATGTAATGGTGGTAGTATGTAGTAGTAGTAGTAGTAGTAGTAGTAGTAGTAAGGTAGTGGCCACTCGGAAATTGTGGTTGTAGTCGTAGCTGTGTTTGGAATTCTGGTGGTTTAGAGAGAGAGAGAGAGAGAGAGGTGACCATAGTGAGGGGGGAGGGGTTGGATGCCCCGGAGAAAAGCAGAAGTAGGAGTAGGAGGAGCGAGGGGAGGAAGGTGAGGGACACTGACCTCCACACACGTTGCTGAGTCGCAGTTTGAGCCCCCCCTCCCTCCCCCCTCTCTCTCTCTCTCCCTCCCTCCCTTCCCCCTCTCTCTATTACATCCCCTCCTAATCTTCTACTATATCTACCTCTCCCCCTGTGTCTATCCCTTCTATCTCTCTCTCTTTGTCTCTATCCTCTCTCTGTCCCCTTTGTAGATTAAAATGGCGGAACAAGAAACAAAAGACACGCAAACAAGTAAATGAACAGAAAAGAGAGAGAGAGAGAGAGAGAGAGAGAGAGAGAGCAGGACACCTGACACTCGCCTGTATACTCACTTTACAGGTAGGCAGCATATGTACGGACCTTCCTCTCCGGCTTCTTCCTTCCATCTCTACCCTAACCTCCCCCCCCTCCCATCCTTCCTCTCTCCATCCCTATCCTTCCCTTCTTCCTGGCCTTACTCCTTTCCTCTCCCTTTTTCATCCATCTATCCATCCATGCCCTTTCCTCCCTTTTATTCGTCTCATCAGGTATTAAAGTTTTCATTATTATTCTCCTTCTTCCTCCTATTCTTCTTGACATCATTATCATCATTACAGTATTAATGTTTTCCTAGTCAATTATATTTTCGTCACAGGTTGAGCAAGAAGGTGTGTGTGTGTGTGTGTGTGTGTGTGTGGGTGTGTCTTTCTGCCTGTCACACACGTACACACACACACACACGCTTTTAGACTAACATTTCTCTGGTCCGTCACACACACAAAAAACATTAATTCAATTTTCTCTTTTTTTTCATATCTCTTCATTTTTCTTTCCATTTTTTTTACCACATTCGAGAAACAAAAATACTGGAAGGTGAACGGCCTGTTGGTTGATCACCTTCCGCTAAATAACGTATATTATTATTATTTCAACAACCGGAAACTTATTTAGCCGACTTCAACTACTGTACGTGCTCTCTCACATCTATAATTATACCCCCATCTTCTATGTCATTGCACCGTTTTCTGTGACTCAATTATATACCCATTTTCTATGATGAGGATGTATTTGCTATGACTCAATTATTCCGTATTTTCTGTGATGAAGCGTTTTCTATAATTCAATTCTTATTTTCTGTGATGACATTTCGTTTTTAATGGTTGTAATTTTATCATTATGTCTATTTTCCCACAGTTAGAATGTTTTTTTTTCCTTTCTAATCATGGAAGATATATATTACAGTGTGACTTGCATATACCAGATACGTTCACTTAGCACCATTCACAGCTAATATTTAACCTATATAGTCTTTCCCAGCTTATTTCACCTGATGATTAAACCTTACTGATAAATGAGGGGGTTAGGATGGTTAGATTAAATTAGCTTTGGTTAGGTTAGCTTTGATTAGGTTAGGATTAATTTGGTTATAATTAAATTAGTTTACGTTTATCTTAAGTAAATTAATTAGCGAGTTTATTCGTGGTTGTTTGCTTAACACTGGCCAAACTACGTCAAGTACACGATCTGGTTATCGCGACACCAACCAGCCAATGAGAATAGCAGAAAGCGGAAGTCCGTATTTTTTTCCTTCATTCCAGTAGACTGACTCTGAAGAAAACGGAACCGGAGAAACACAATGTCAATAACCTGTTGACATTGATTCTTAAACGCTGTACGAGTTTCTGAGAGAATATGTCTGTGTATCTTAGTATAAGTGTGACAGTTATAATGTGTTCTTACAGATTCAGTTGAAAGAATAATTTAAAGTAAGAATATTTTACGTCTCAAGGGGATAAATTAACGTAAGAATCTTCGTAACGTAATTTAAGTGAGACAGTTAAACCTATGCCTCAGTAAAGGAGAAGGGGACATTACCAGGTTACTTAAGAATCTTAGAAAATCCCACGTTCGATGACTCTACACTGCCTGGGTCACGAGTCCCCTTGAAGACAATGCTGACAGGGTGCGGTGTCTCGTCATTTTCAGTGAGAACCGACTCTCACGGCCCAGGAAGATGGATTCACTTGGATGTTTTTTTCGGAAAACTTGAAGATTGCCCCCCACCACCCCCCCAGGCTTAATTAATCTTATGTTTAACCACCCTAACGTTAACCTAACCTATTCTAACTAAATATCAACTAGTTTATCCTAACCTAATGTGACCTTGCCTAACATAACCTAATATAAGCTAACCTAGCCTGATATAATCTCACCTAACCTAACATAACCTACCATAGACCCAACATAGACCCAACATAGACTGTTAAGTGTAGCCGTTTGCTGTTAAAATATTATCACTGCACTTCAACAGCCAAGGTCTTGAAACGGCTGTCAGTTTCTCTCTTGCTTTCAGGCAGTTGACAGGTTATAATATGACGCTGACAGTTCTACAGCATATGACAATGACAGTTCTATATGGCGCTGACAGTTCTGTATGACGATGACAGTTCTATATGACGCTGACAGTTCTATATGACGATGACAGTTCTATATGACGCTGTTCTACGAGATATGACGCTGACAGTTCTATATGACGCTGACAGTTCTATATGACGCTGACAGTTCTACAGCATATGACAATGACAGTTCTATATGGCGCTGACAGTTCTGTATGACAATGGAAGTTTTTATGACAGGAAGACAAGAATGAGTGAGGCAGGTGAGAGAGAGAGAGATAATGAGTCATACTGAGGTGTTTATACCTGTTTCTAACATCATTATCTCCTATAATTAGTGAGATAAATGTCACTCTCTCTCTCTCTCTCTCTCTCTCCGGAGGGTCTAATCTTCAGGAGACAGGTAAGACCAACTACAGACCAATATTAATGATTTACGGTGTTCATTTTACATCAACAAACAAACAAAAAATAAATACAGAGCTTGTAAGTCTTGTAGGACCAAATAACTCGTTAGGGGCGGTGCGGATACAGTGCACTGAGGAAGCAATATGGACGACACTACTCTCAATTGTCTGTATACACATACACACTATACACAAAAGACAAGGTTAGGTTAGGTTAGGTTAGGTTAGGTAGAGTGAGGCAAGACGAGCAGGTTAGGTGGGTGGTGACGTCATGATGTAAACAATGTGACGTCACGGACCATAAACCAGGCGTCATTCCCCGCCAGTGTTTTGTGGGTTGGTCACCGACGTGTACCTCCTTATATTAATTTTTTGTGTGTGGTTGTCTTGTCGGTTGTTTCAGTTGACCTCCAGTGACCTTTTCGTTGGGTGGAAATGCACGCAGCTGTGGCCACTAGACGCCATTTCAATGTAAAATCGACGCTGATATAAAGTTCTATTTTAAGTCGATTCAATATTGAAATAAAGTTGTTTTCCAGATCATTGTCACTTACTTTCCCCAGATCCCCCCACCCCCTACCCCCTCTCTCTCTCTCACTCTCTTGTTAGTAACGTGATCTACGAAAATATCTCATATCTTTAACTAAAAATATCTCAACTATAATAATAATAATAATAGAGTAGTAGTAATAATAATAATAAACAAGGTCACGTCTGAAAACACCAACACTACTAACTAATGGCCCACTTATAAAACAAAAAGAGAATCTGGAGGGGTCGCTGAATACCCTGTGAACTCCACCTCATACACCCCTCACTGTAAAAGGAATGTGAACCTATACTAGCCAGGTGCAACACTATAAAGACCCTCACATCTGCGACATCTAACACCATTAAATCCCATAAACTTCAGCGGATCCTCTAAAACAATAAGCCTCTCATAGGAACGAAATGAAGAAAATAAGAGCATCAATAACAATTCTATAAGTGTCACAACAACAAAATAAAAGCGCATCCGGATTTTTAAACACCATAAGCCGTAGTGGATCCTCTATAGGCGAGATAAATCCCTCTGGATGATCACTTGAGACAAAAGAGCATAACGAGTGGAAGTACCGGGTTTGTGTCCGGAATTTATGGTGGTAATGGTGGAGTGATGATTCGTGATAGTAGTGGTAATAGGGTGATACTATTAGTGGTGTGGTAATTGTA